CGCGACATATTCGAAAGTTTACACTTTTCTTTCGAGCTAGATTTATCGCGTTTCCTTTGGTGGAACCGTTAAACATATTTGTGCCTTCCTAGTAAATGTTTATAAAATAAATTCATAGGACCAAATTGGAGATAGAGGAAAAAAACACAAAATTGCAAATAGCTAGGAAACTGGCTTTGAAACTCCTATTTTTTTCGGGCAGGGATTTTAAATGATCGCGCAGGGGCAAAATTTGAACCGTTAATTTGCCTTCCTAGTGAAAATTCATAGGTTTAGAGAAAATCGAAAATCATTTTTACATTTTTTTTTTTACTTTTAACATCGGCATGGCAAATTTTCCAAACATTTTTTAGTCCGAACCTTATTAAAACTGCCCTTTTGATGGCTTTTTAGAGACCTTGATGAGCAAAAAACATTCACTGCCCTTTTGATGGCTTTTTTTTAAGAAAAACATTACGCTGGCGCACGCGCCAAAATTAAGCAAAAACCCTATGGAGCCTTCTTAAACGATAGGCAATTTTGTTTTTTCACATGCGACGTAACAGGCCACTGAATATTCGAACTACTTTAGTTACGCCTTGAGCTTGATTCTCCCAATATTTGTCTGACAGAATGATAATGTAAACTCATTAATAAAAATGAAAATTAAGGCGCGGCACCCATAGAACTATACGCAGAGAAAGACAGTTCGTTCACCTTTGAAAACAGTATCCTTGTCGTTTGATAAAAGAAACCAGAAGCAAGAAACTGAAAGAAAACTTAACCTGTCAATGATAAATGCAAATAAATATACGTTCTTGTCCACGCGTGAGGTGATGATGGCTGTATATTCGCCGAGTTACTTTTTTCTCCAAAGATTGGAGAAAATTAACTCGGGTGAAGACAAATTACGACCTTCTTCAATAAAATAATGATAATAATAACAATGATAATAGTACTAAGAATAATCAAATTACTAAAAAATGTTTTAACATATGTGGCGTTCTTTTTCCTCGTTTCTGTTTGTTAAAGAAAAACCCCCTAACAGAAAAGAGAAGTAATATCACCAATGATGATACGAACACATTTTTCACAGGGTATCATTAAGATCTCATTACTAATTCTCTTTACTGTCTCCCATACAGTTCTTGTGATGATGGTTTGGAAAATTTAGTATTGGATCAACTTATAATCCCGTAATTGATATTTCTTCTTATTCTCATCGCTTGTCTGCTTGATATTGTATTGATATTGTAAGGAGAAATTCTGTCTTGGTCACTCATGGAAGTTAAAGGGTTAACCTCTTGGAAAAATTGCAAAAGGACTAAAAAGTGATCTTCACCGCTCACACCAGTTTTGAAGACTTCAGAGCTACAACGAAAGCTATTGAGGGGGAAACGAGCATTTTATAATAACAGTTGCGGCATTTTGCAAGAATAAATGCATTTTGTAATACGCATTGCAGAAATTTGTGACAAAATCGAGTCACGCATTTTGTAATCATTAATGGCTGCAACATTTTGTAGTAATCGTCGGTCTGTGCAATTATTAACAACATCCTACGGCAAATTGTAATATGTTGCTCTTGCAAAAAAAGTATCATTCCACAGACTAGGTATTTGCAGTTTTCCTCCTCTGAATAATGATTTGAAAAGCATTAAGATAGGCATCAGACGGCAAAACACATTTGCAATGGCTACTGAAATGTACCCAACCGTAAAGGCACACAGAACCGCGCACTGGTTGTGGGCACAAAGTTGGCAAGATCACATTTTCCGCCTCATATCCTTTACAAAACAACAATGTAAACATTTGTTTTCTTTTGGAACCAGATAGAGACAATATCATAAAGAATATACCACTTTCGTGACTCGTGCACAAAAGATTGTCACAAGAATATTTAATCTCACCTAAAACAGGCTCAGAATCAGATTTGTTTCATCGGTGAAGGGTGATTCTCGCCTGATTGCCTGCTGTGGATCAATGGGAACTTTGTCAAACATTCAGGAACAGGAACGGGGAGCGCAGATCGCAGAACGGAGTACGAGGAACGGGGAACGCTGAGCGGCGAACGTTGAACAAGGAATCGGAAACGGGGAGCTGGGAATGACGGTCTTCTATTCAGACCCTTTTTCCGTGTTGTTATCCGCCATTTTAAACTGTTATGCGGATTACCGCTGTACTTTTGGTCCCAGTTCTTGTCCATTTTAAACTGTTATGCGGATTACCGCTGTACTTTTGGTCCCTGTTCTTGTCCCGTTCCCCGTTCCTGATTTTAATAACATCCATCTCGTGTTGACCCAAATTCAAACTGATGTTTGTGTTTCAGTGTCTCTACAGATGTGTGATAACATTTTATTTCATTATTTATGCGGATGTAAAATGAACTGTTTCAGAACGGTTGGACTAATCAACACATCTATAGTCTACGCAGTCACCTTCTGCTGTTGTTTGGGATAAGTAAGCGTGAGCTGCTCTGGTCAGTTATCAAATCTTCAACAACCCCGGTCTTCCCCCGAACAATCCCCGGGCATTCGACTGTCGTCTGTGCCCCAGGAGAAAGTAATTTAAACGTGCCAAGGTGGGATGGAAATCTAAACTGAAAGTAAATTTAAACGACCCAATCTTCAACAGTTCAAATACCCGGGGGGGATCTCCCTGAAAGGGAAGTTGAATTTTTAACTACTCGACGCGTAATGAGTTCTTTTGTAGAGTGTACATAGAGATGACGTTGAGCTAAACCAGCTAAATAAAAGTTGCACATCTACACTAATGAGGCGTTTTAGTTCGAAATGGCATAGCTTTGGTTGCTTTTTTGCTTATGAACACGGAGACTTCCGTCAACAGTTTTAAAAGTGGAGCATTACGTGGCGTGGCATTACACTATTATCCACCCCTAGCAAGATCTTAGCGAAGGTCATCATGAAGCGCTTATCACTGGCTGTGGACCATAGACTTCGTGAAGAACAGGCAGGTTTCAGGAGAGGAAGGGACTGTATTGATCATATTTTCACACTGAGAAATATTATTGAACAGAGTACCGAATGGCAGCGAACTCTCTATATCAATTTTGTAGATTTCGCCAAGGCCTTTGACAGTGTGCACCGGCACAGCCTCTGGAAGTTATTACGAGCATATGGAATCCCCTTCCACCTTGTTGAGATCATCAAAAGCTTCTATGACAACTTTACCTGCTGTGTTGGTGATGGTGACATCTTATTTGAAGTTCACACTGGTGTCAGGCAGGGGTGTGTTATGTCTACATTTCTTTTCAACCTTGTGGACTGGATCATGCATCGCACCACTGAGGATCAGGTCAGGGGAATCAGATGGACACCTTTCTCCTACCTGGAAGACCTGGACTACGCAGACGATCTAGCCTTACTATCACACACCCACACCCACATACAAGAGAAGACGCATCGCCTCAACACCTTTGCAAAGCAAGTTGGCCTGAACATCAGCAGCAAGAAGACTGAAATTATGGCACTGAACGCTACCAACACACGACCAGTCCAGATTGATAACGAAGAGCTTCCTTACACAGACAGATTTACCTACCTCGGCAGTATCATCAGTAGAGATGGAGGAACTGACCTGGACATCCAGAGCCGTCTCAACAAGGCCAGAAATTCGCTCAATATGATGAATAAGGTATGGCGTTCTTCCACCTATAGTACTCGTACCAAGCTGAAGCTCTATCATGACTGCGTCCTCACAACCCTCCTGTATGGCTCAGAATGTTGGCGCTTAACGGAGAAGGATCTATTAAAACTCTCCACTTTTCACACCAAAAGCCTTCGGCGTATTTTACGCATCTTTTGGCCTAATGTCATTTCCAACAAAGATCTTTTTGAACGGTGTGGAACCGAATCAATGGCTATCATTCTGATGAGGAGACGCTGGAGGTGGATTGGCCATGTCACCTGCCAAGAAGCTTCCATTGCAAAAACTGCTATGCATTGGACGCCAGAAGGGAAACGCAAGCGGGGTCGCCCCAAGATCACATGGCGACGGACAGTTGAGAAGGAAATAAAGGAGATGGGGAAGACCTGGAAGGGCATCAAGTTCATGGCAAGGGATCGCTAGATGTGGAGGGAACACGTTGCTGCCCTACATGCCTGTTAGGCGTAAAGGGCATGATGATGATGATGACATAGAGATGACGTTGAGCTAAACCAGCTAAATAAAAGTTGCACATCTACACTAATGAGGCGTTGTAGTTCGAAATGGCATAGCTTTGGTTGCGTTTTTGCTTATGAACACGGAGACTTCCGTCAACAGTTTTAAAAGTGGAGCATTTTGAAAACGCTCCTTTTCTCCGAAGACAAGTGAAAACGGAGGCTTTTGAAAACGTTGACCAAAACATTCGTTCCATATATACTCTATATATTTCTCTTTGCGTTTCAGGTGATCAGTTAATGTTGAGGAAAGTCGCAAATGCATCGAAATGTGCGCGTTTCCAGTTTAAACACATTATTCTGTGCAGTGGATACCGAAACGAACACTAGTGTGGCAAAAAATATCTTCTTTCTTTTTGTTGGACACAAAAACCGACTCTTTTGAAACCGCTTAGTGTGTTCGGGGCCAAATGGGCAAGGTATTTTTTTCGTCTTGAACATCTATTAGATTTCTTAAAAGTGGATCCGAAATTGTCAAAGTGTCATAAGTGATAACTTCGTTGCTAGCTCGGATCGGAATCCACCAATCACAACATTTATGTTGACCTGGTAATCTTTGGATTTAAACTTCCACAAGTAAATAATCAGAGAACAAGGATTTTGATCTCGAGTTGAAATATTATACATCGTCAGTGCATGCCCTGAAAATTGGCGCCAGAGCCAGTTTTATGTTGCAAGCTTGCGATGTTACAGTGTGATTCCAAAGTTCGAAGGCTATCGAATAGTGTGGTGTAGCAGAGGGGGAATCTTTGTAGAGTCATGGCGAAATCACATAAACCTTCTCGTGATGTTACAGCAGAGAAGAAAGCTGGTACATTGAAATCTGGTGTTGCAGCCGATAAGAAGAAAAAGAAAGTGAAGAGAAAGGAAAGTTATTCACTGTACATCCACAAAGTGTTGAAGCAAGGTCATCAAGATACTGGAATTACAACCAAAGCCATGGGTATCACGAACTCTTTCGTTAGCGACATTTTCGAGCGTATAGCAATGGAGGCATATCGCCTGACAAAGTACGGTAAGAAGTCGACAATGAGTTCCCGCGAAATCCAAACTGCTGTACGGCTGCTTCTGCCAGGTGCAGTTGCAAAGCATGCAGTCAGCGAAGGCACGAAGACTGTCACCGAATACACAAGCAGCAAGTGAACGAGGAGTACGATATTTTCTTTAAATCCAATGGGCTTACGTCTTTGTAAATCTGTGATCAACCAGTCAACAGATGCTGCCGTTGTTTATTTTATTGTTAACTCAGCCGAGGTTTAAAGCGGTACTTAAATAAATTGCATTTCAAAGACAACTTTTCCAACTTTTCCGAAATGACTTGACGTGCGCATATGGCACTTTTCATTGTAGTTTTGTAAGTTGTTGAAATAACTAGCCGTCCATTGAAAAAAGATGTCGAATTTAGATTAAGTGATTAGCTTCTGTATTTCGCAATATCTTTGCCTTCACTGAAATTAAAAGAGAAGGCGTTTCACTCTGAGAATTCTCTGGTAGCTTGTCCCTAACTATTGACATGCAGACCTTACAGCACTCGCTGTGTTGTAGAGTTTGAAACAATATTACGAAAGACACACAAATTGGTCGTGCGATGGGCTGCAAATAAGTTTTTGTTGAGCTATTTTTTTTTAAAAATAAATAACTCTATGTTAACGAGTAGAGTGGTATGTTGTTTGCACCAATCAGATCGCCGCATTAGGTTATGTATCTCACACCGATCAGATCGCCACATTAGGTTATGTATCTCGCACCAATCGGATTGCCGCATTAGGGTATGTATCTCGCACCGATCATATCACAGCATTTAGATGTCTTGCACCAATCACAGCGTTTGGGTATTGTTTTCTTATAAATTATGTCATGGAATCAGGGGGCCGTGCACAGAGAATGAACTTAAATAGAACATTTGGGCCCATTTGATAAGTGCAATGGCCTTCGCGAGAGCCTCGTCGATTGAGGTCGAGATTTATTAGGATATGAAAGGTTTGTATTTAACTTGTTGCATCATTTTTTTTCAGTTAAAACGTGTTTTTTTTTTCGCTCCTTTATCTCACAACGCATACGCCAAACAACTAACATTCCATCGCGTACTATGAAAACAACGTCTAAAGTCCGATCAGAAAATACCCAATCATTGCATTACATGAACATTTCACCATTTTTCACGTGCTTGAATTTTATTCCACCAATCAAATTCCACTTGTCCACATTAAACTATGCTCTATCACGCGTCATCTCCTGGTAAACAACTTACATTTTATCACATATTCAAACCGTATTATCCAACCCCACTGAAAAAAAGTCACATAAAACTTAATGCTACTGATAACGGCTTTTTCACGCAATTCTCCCGCGTTTTGACTTTTTCTACAAATAAAATTCGCTTTTAGCTGCGTTGGACCTAACTCCTTGCGTGTTTAGTCCTTGTAGACAACCTGCTTTTTTCCACGTTTTTCACGCCCTAGGGGCAAAGTCCAGAAAGGCAACAATGAATTATTATCCTTTTTTCTCGTTCAGTGAATCTTCACTTATTCGAGATCGCAATATATTCTTGGTTAGGGTCTATTGGAGATACAACAGAGTTTCAGGTTACTTTTCGTTGAAAAATTACGTGGAATTATATTTTTGTTTTAAGCGTAGTCTCTTCCGCAACTGTCACGCAACGCGCGCTCTCTCTCCAACGGGGAATATAGGGCGTTATGTGACGAGACCAAACAAAGGCCACGAAGGAGACTACAGTGAGCGTGGCACCGGTGTATTTTATTTTTTCTCAAAATTATTAAGACAATAGAGAAAATAGACCCCAATATACCTGTGTGAGTCTGGATTAATTAGGTTTTTTTCTTTCTCTTAAAGTGAAATAATGCGATATTTTCGTTCTTTTGAAAGTTATGAAAATACTAGGAACAGAATGCGTCCCATCTCGACTTACCCAGCTTAAACAAATAACCCTTGCATGCTACGCATGCCTATGTTTTACAACTGCTGATTATTTATTACAAGGCAATGAAAAGCGATCGAATATTGCCTGCCTTCCCTTCGAAATGATCTGCTAAAGACCCATACGCGAAAACCTCCTTTCCTTTTTCTTAGTTTTCCAGACTCATATTTTGTCGGATCATCGTCCAGTGTGAGAGCAAAACTAGAGCCGCGTGGGGTAATATCGAATGCGGATGCAAGGGGTTTGTTTTTTTTGCAGCTTTCGTGCGTAGACCCACGTTTCCCCACGGGGGAAAGCAGCTGGAAACTGAGACTCTTCTTGAAAAATTATTCGTGGAAAATAGAAATACCAGAATTGTTGATTCGCAGAAAACAACAGAGGATTTCGGGCTATTTCAAATAAAAACAATGCCGAGATTTTGTGCTGTTTTCTCTACCGCTTCATTAAAACCAAATGCTAATTTAAGACTTTCGTTTCACGAGCCGATGACCGCAACATTACCTTACAGCTCATTTCCTTAGGCTTCTTGGGGTCCCAGTCACTCGAATGAAAGGAAAGTGGTTCTTTACACTTTTACTTCTAATTTTTCTCTTTAAAGAGAGGAGGGGGAGGGGAGTGGGCTGACGTTTTGCATTCACTAAACAGGTGAAACGATAGAAATTTCTGAATGCCGCGTACAAAAACCAAGGAGTGAGTGCGAATACTTAAATTTGGATCGGCTTATAATTCAGAATATACGGAAACATTGAAAGAAATTGATTTCTACTTAACGCTTAATTAAGTTTTCTAAAATCTTGATCTTCTAAAGAGCTAGCTTTCTTTTTAGAAGTGCCGAACATTTATACAGATTGCAATAATTTTGTATTTGTATATCATCGTCCTTGGCCAGTTTTAGAAAGGTTCTTTGGTGGGTTTTATAATGGTGTTGAAAAGCCATCTTTAGGTTTTGTCGTTTTTGAATGAAATAGATAGAAATAGATGAAAACCATTTATTAAACCATTTTGTTTATTTATTTATCGAATTTCGTTTTTTGTTGTTTTTATATGATACACCATACCATGGTATTTGAAAATAAAAGCGTTAAAACAGGTTTTACAACTTGATACATTTGACGCTGCAGTTTAATTCAACGTCATCCAACCTCCGGAATTTATGACTTTATAACTTTTATTCTTAACTCATTATTTTGACTGTGCGTGAAGAGAACAAAGTGAATTGAACCATTGAAATGTTTTCCTTCAGTACGCGCATGCGCGAAATGCTGACTACGAACTTTTTCCCATACAAACTTATCCCATATGAGTTATACTGATTTTTTTCAGGTTTGACATGCATGTACCTTAAAGGAGCTTATTTAAAGTATCACGGTCCTAAGAAGAAATTTCTGGAAAACTATTCGGGTATTTGTAATGACAAAACAATTAATTACCGATCTCTAACCCTAATTTTGGGGTCTACATACTTGTTTCTTTCAGTTTTGTTTTCATCTCTATGTTTATCATTAAAACATTCCTGAGATAGGAAGCGAGTTTCACTTATGTTCGCCGTCCTTTGTCTCCTCCGGATTCTGCTGTGATATCTTCACGCTTGCTGTCTTGACGGGATCAATTTGGGCGTACACTGTTTTGGGACTGTTCTTTTACAAGCTTTGCACTGTTTTCGCGGGAAAGGATCAGATCTGCGTACACAAGGCCACGGTATGGAGCGGGCTTCTACATTGAACATGGAACAGAGAATAATACCTTATGAGCAGATCATGAAACAAGAGGCATTAAATAACGATAGCAACACAGTAACGAGGTAAACAAATAAACAAACAAACAAGCAAACAACAACAGCAACAAAAACAACATTAAATGAGAAATAAAACACCAAAGATTGTAAACGAATTTGATAAGATAACCGTGTCAGTATTCCCTTATTTTGCTTCTGATCAAGGGTTTTTTTTATTTCAAATTTATTTTTATCAGTTTAGTCTTGTATTTTTTTGTTTATTTGTTTGTTGCAGAGGATCCTTTAGACACTTAAACAGTAGCCAGCTGCCGTGCTCCAGCTGTACGCTCAATTATCATACGTAGACATTTGAATCGAAAAAGTAAATAGACTAAGATTGTTCATTTACGAAACAGTGTTGAAAAACAAACACGTCTTCATCTAAAAAAAAATCCAACAAATAAGAGCAAAACAAAACAAAAAGAAACAAAAAAAACTGTTGTCAAGATTTGTGAGATGTATTACCTGTGGCGGCTTCCTCTTCTTTTTTGTCTTGTCAACAGCTGCGCACAAATATTCAGTGTTCCCGCCAGCCTGAGGTGTCTCGCTCCCTGTTGCTTCTGTGTTGTTGTCGAGCCCTGAGTCAGTTTGATAAGACGAACCATTCTCTGGTGTCAGAGACGGGGACTGATCTACACAGGACGCCCATTGCACAGGTAAACCACTTGTTTCTTCCTGAGGGCGGCCCGCAGTCTTTTCGAGGGCGCTCACTTCAGAACTGGCTCTGCCTTTTCTTTCTTTATGAACAACAGCGTATACATGATCCTTATTTTCTTCTTTTTTATCGCACAAAGCAGGTGGCTGCTGTATTCCTTTCTCACCACTCACCAACACTGTGTTTTCTGGCGCTCTTTCCTGAATATCTGAACATCCCTCGCTTACTGAACTCAACTTTCGATTAGTCTCAATGTGATCATAGCCGCACTCTCTTTTGCAGTCGCTCACTGTTTCGTAGGTGGCCAGCCCAGATTCCGTTCGTGAAAGGGTTAGGTGAACAGTAAGCTCAGCGGAGCTCTGTGTTTGTTGAACAAGCACAGGGTCGAGTGATGTCAACTCAGAGCTCGAAGGCTTCTCGTAGGTGCAAATGACACGATCTTCGTCTAAACATCATCTATGACGCAAGAAATTATGCTTTACTGATATGTTAAAGAAATAAAAGCGCGCTGATTGCATTGTTGAGTTATATAGGCACTTGGGAATTTTTAAGGACACGAGAGAGGTGCGGAGAAGCACGAGCCGCAGGCGGGTGCTTCTCTCACTTCTCGAGTAACAAGTTTTTTTTGGTTCTTTTATAATAATATACGTGAAAAAATTACTCAGTTCTGATTGGTTAAGATAAATGCAGTTTTCAAATAATTCAACGAGGAAGAGCGTTAATTCAGTGCAAAGATAGTAACAACCAGACATTCTGATTGCTCAATAAACAAAGAAATTCACAGAAAGCTAATCAAATGCGAGCCTTGGACGTCTTAACATTTGGCTACTCTGAAAATTTGCGAGCGAAGTAATGGCCGGCGTTTGAAGTAGGCCTTCTTTCAACACCGCAACAACAAATACAACAGCCCGAAAACAACCCTAACAACGAAAACACTGTAAAAAGCATTGCTTTTTGGTTGTCGATTTGGAAAAAGTGGTGTTTAGAGAGGGGAATCGTCAAGGCCGAAATGAAAATTACGAGCCGATCCAGCTTAACACTTTGCACGAGCGATTCTACGCCGAAATTAAAACAAACATGGTTAAACCTCGCAAACGACGATTTCATTCCATCGAAAGCGATTAGGACTCAGACTGAACAATTTCTTGAACTGTTTTGCCGGACTTTCAGCTGTTTTGTGCCCTATATATGTGAAAATATCATTGAGTATTACTGTTTTGATCTTACGCCGTTGTTTTTACCGAATGCACAGGTTTGAATAAATTGTTTTTGCACTTGATGCGCGCACTTTGCTTCTGCGTAATTATGATAAGCTATCTCGTATTTTTTATATTTATATTATTAATACGTAATCACATGATTTTTCTGGTGCAATGTGGAATACATAAGCACTTGTTAATTTTTTCAAAGACCACAAATTGCACGAGACCGTAGGGCTCGTGCAATTTTGTTAGTCTTTGAAAAAATTAACTCGTGCTTATTTATTCCAAATTGCACTCGAAATCATGTGATTACCTATACTAAAATGTATCATGAATTGCGTGCGCTCGTACCGATGACATAGGCTGCGTGCCTAATATCTCAACAGTGCACTTGTGTGACGTAAGGCGTGTGCTCTATGGAAATATAATGAACTCGTTCTGACCAATCACGGCGCGCGCATTTCTCTGAACATTTTATAATGTGCAGTAAATTGCTCATCAAACAAATTTGTTTTTGACTTTTATAATTTCTCTTACTAATGTTTTTAGGGTCAGCAGTTTTACATTAAATGACTCAGCTGTTGTAACATCAGTTCATAGTGTCACTGTACACCCTGGTACTGCCTATCTTACTTCCGACCTTGTCTCCCTTTTGTAAGGAAGACCATGGTACGCAAAAGACAAATGCCGTGAGTATCTCTAACTTAAGGACTATTTTTCGCTGACCTGGAGACAGGCGACAACCAGCCAAAGCAACACGCCGAAGGGCATCTTATTGCCTCTCTATTTGATCAATTTGTTCCATAGCTTATTTTTCCTTTTGCAACAAATGTTTTAATCGCTTCCAGGGTAGTGGTTTGCCAAATGTAACTGAGAGGCAAAAAAGAAACCTTCTCCTTTTTATAAACTTAATAATAAGCAAAAACTCTTTAAGTGTACTTAAATACGTATCAGTAATCTAGTGTATACTTACTCATTGTAACACAATTTCCATAGTTATCCCCAAAATCGTGTCACCAATTAATTTTCACCGTAGTTGTCGTTGTTAGTGTTGAAAGAAAATAAAAAAAAATAGGAAACGTAAGTGTGTTCTTTTCAGTGAAGGTTTTAGTCAAGGGTCGAGGGTGAAATGTCAAGGGTTCAAAAATTCGAAAATTTGCTCTTGTTTTGAAGCCCATGGTCCAAATCGCCTAAACTTTATTGATTAATTTTTTCTCTGAAATACTTCAGCGGTCGAAACCCGTCACCAAAGAGGTTTCTTGATCGTTGAAAGAACCACCATAAATAACCAAGTTTTGTTTTGCGTGATCCAGGCGCGGATGTCGACAAGTTAATAAAACCTCTTGCGCTCGAGGAAACATAAGTAATAATAAACAATTAAATGAATAAATCCTTGACATATTTTGAACCCTCGCCCCTGAACATTTTCCCCTCGACCCTCGGCTCTCGACAAAAACCTATACTTTGTTCTTTTCGAAGCATTGTCAAAAAGTGAACGATGCATTAATGCATAAACTGCTGCAATTATCAGAAGGACATTTAAAATGGATTTTAAGTACATGCTCTTTTGCACAGTTGACTGATTACGTGGATAACTCAAGGTAAAAAGTAAAGGAGACGAAAGTAATGTAAAGACACACGAAAAGGATTGTTCCTCATGATAGAAAAAAAGTTAGATACGAAACAAAAGAAAACAAAGTGAAAGGCACTTACATTGTTTATCGTGGCGCCGACGTCTGCGAAAGAACATTAGTCCGAAAGCGACTACAAGGAGCAGAATGAAAATGGCCAGTAGCACCACAACAATCACAATCAAGTTAGGCTTGCCAGCATGTACATCGTCTGCCAAGGGATATTCAGTGACGGTATTCCCTGACGTGACCCCTTATTTGATATATAAAAGAAGAGGCTGTCTCAGATAGGGCATGGAACCAAACGTTCAGATGCAACATTTTAAAAACAGTAAAATACTTTGACTAATTAAATCCACGTGTTAGCATTCTCGATACAAATTCAACGTTGCTCTCATCTATAAAATTTATACAAACACTGTAAAGTCAATAAAACGATGGTGATAATGATGGTGGTAACTAATAACAGAACAGACAAAGGAATGAAACGCATGGAAGTTGAAAAACTAGTGATAAATTTTTTGTTTCTATTTTTTTAAAGGTTCTTTTCTGTATATCATACCTATGCTTTGATGATTGCCCATCCATTTTTAAGGGAAGCGCAAATTAACAGTAACAGTGCGTTACGAATTTATTTTATATGGGAAAATTACATAAATAAATAAATAAATAAATCTTTGCATGAAAAATGGTAATAACAAAAAGAAAGGTTGGATAAAAGAGGAACACAAAAATATAAGCATTTTCAATAAAAATTCAACGTTTTTCGAACATATAAAAATTGTAGAAATACTTGATAATGCTCACATGCATGAAAAATGGTAATAACCAAAAAAAAGGGTGGATAAGCTTTTACCTGTTGTCGCAGTTGTAGATGGTCCTTTGGCCCGAGCAGTTGTCGATGCCTGGGATCCATCATTCCGTCCTAAATTAGAGAGGAACACAAAACCAAAGTTAGTAATTCACTATTAGCATTTTCAATAAAAATTCAACGTTTTTCTAATATATAAAAATTGCACAAATACTTGTAGGTAATTAAAATGATAATGCTCACAAAAGTGGTAAATAACAACAAACCTAAACAAAGAACCAAAAGTATGCACATTTTTATATTCTACTTGTTTAAGGTTTGTCTGTTCCTTTTCTACTCACATATATATATAAATTTAAAGTTAAAGATTTTCAGGAGTTTCAAGGAGTAAGTCGGGGGAAGTTATGCCACTCTGCTTTATTTATACTTACATTCAGCACTAATTCACATCATCTTCTGGACATATCTGTTGGATAGGTCAAGCCTTCAACAGTTACAATGCCAATACTTACCTGTTATGGTGGATGCCGTCGCTTTCGCTGATTTTTTCTCTAGACAAGAATATAAAAATTCACTAGTCATTGTAATTTTGTGATTTTATATCCTATTTTAAATGGAGCACAAAGCAATGGTAACAGTGCGGTATCTATATATGGAAAAAAAGACAAACAAATATATAAATAAATGAATAAATAGATATATTAAAACAATTTAGCCAATAGTATAACAAGAAGTCCTTATTGGCTCATCATTAGGATCCAAAATGACTTCACGGTCTATCTAGTGTTTATAATATATTATGTAATCTTTTTAATATCTTCCTCGGTGTAAAGGTCTTCCGAGAGAAGGACTGGGCCGTAATACGATTGACCTATTCTTATTCTCAGTTTTGTGTAATGTGAATAAAGGGTCTATTACCACATATGAATCCTGCTTTGGATTCGGGTGAAGTACAGCTTACATCATTATAGAGCCCATAGTCTTTACGATAATCTCTGTACATTAGCGCGCAGTTCTTATATTTGCCATTAGGTTCTCCTTTTGCCCAGGGCCAATGTCCTTTATTGGACGCATTGACTGTGCTGTTATCACTTAACCATCTCCACACTTTCGTTGATGCATCCTTCCTCAATCCTATGAGGTATTCAGTGGTATCTTCTTTTTGGATGGTTCGATTCAGGAAGTTCCACTCCTCACGACTCTCAATAGAAACAAGGTTATATCCAGACTGTTCACATATTGTTTTGCTTCTTTCCCAATTGTACCGGTTACCATTGCTCCCATAGAAAATGTAGCTGGAACCACTGAAGTTCTTCACGGGAGCTGAATGTAGAATTGAACAAAGACAAACCCTATTCATTAACTATTGACCTTATCAGCCGATAACACCTTGGGAGCAAGTTTAGAAGCAGAAACAAACTGCTCTAACAATAATATTCTTTGGAGTGAAATAATATCCAAAACCAACTTAGGTGAACGTTTATTCAACTGTATTCGAATGTAAACAGCTCTTTTTGGTCCCTATAGGTATGGATCTAAATCGGAATCAATCCATTCTTTTTCTTGCTTTGTTTTGTATTTTGCTTCTTGTTTTTCGTTTTTTATTTGTTTTCTTTCGTTTGGTATGCGATTAGCTTCATACGAAGAATGTTTGCTCCCTTTTCAAAGTTCCACTCCTTACCAATCTGTCGAATGAGTATAATTCTTAATACACTTTAGGTTTATTTTAATGTTGGATCCTAGGTGCTAATGTGTGGAACAAGCACAAAGCCTGTTGTGCATTAATGTTATTAAACTATTTTTTCAACTAGCTCTCGAGAACGAGACAAAACCTTAATTTCGGCTTTTTTACCAAAAAATGGCTGCATCGATTGTAAATTTGGAATGGTTTCGTGGTGTCTGTGTTTCGACGATAAATTCTACAACTATTACCAAATTCGCAAACGAAAACACAGCGACTAAACTTACTGTTTTTTTTTGTCCTAACTGTGCGACTGCTGAACGACAACTAACTGACACGACAGATTCGAATATTAATTGGACTTAAATTCCGGCATGTAGTGTTTTGTTCAGCCGTCCCAACGGACGGCGTTAATGTTAATGACCAAGTATTCGCCGGAACAGTCTGAATACATTGCGATATCTAAAGAGCGGTGAGCACTATTTGTCCTGCCAATTACAGTGCCATCCTTTTTAACTAGTGAATTGCGCGCATGCACAAGAGCGAGTTGTAGATACGATGTGGGGAATGGCACTCGCTCGCTCGCTCGCTCGATTGGTCGATTCCTGTAAACTTTTTTTCAATTTTAGGCTTTTGAGTGCATTTGATAGTTTTTGGCCAGCAATAAACAAACGAAATGGCGACCTTTGTTGCTAAGAATAGTGGTGGGGTGAAAAAGAAGCCAATGATAATCTTAAAAGAGTTTTTTTTTCCGTTGTAGTTTCAACAAGCGGCGCCAGCGACTGGCAGGCATGCAAGGATTCACACTGAAATAACAGAACCTTCGTTTTTAACTCGTGAATTGCGCGCATGCGCAAGAGCGAGTTATAGATACGATGTGGGGAATGGCATTCGCTCGCTCGCTCGCTCGATTGGTCGATTCCTGTAAACTTTTTTTAGATTTTAGGCTTTTGAGTGCATTTGATAGTTTTTGGCGAGCAATAAACAGACGAAATGGCGACCTTTGTTGCTAAGAATAGTGGTGGGGTGAAAAAGAAGCCAATGATAATCTTAAAATAGTTTTTTTTTTCGTTTTAGTTTCAACAAGCGGCACCAGCGACTGGCAGGCATGCAAGGATTCACACTAAAATAACAGAACAACCTTCGTTTTTCATAAAATTGTAATTTACAATCCTTGAACTTGAAAACAATCCGAAGATTCATTGAAAATATCACTTAGTGCGAAGCGCTCGGAGTTTACAGATGTTCAAAAGCTTTTTCTGTTATGGCGTGAGGTTGAGGACAAAATTGATCATTACGTTTCGTCGCGTGTGTTTTTCCTGTGTGAAGCAACAGAAGATGCCGGCGACTGACGAAATTACAAATTAACACGAAAATCAAATAACACCTAAACAAACATTTTTAGCTACCGATTTTCAGTGAATTTTTAAAGAACAATTTTCTTTTAAGTTTTAAGACAATTTGAAGATTCAACATACATACAACGTACTAAAATGCGAAAGTTACACGCCACAAAATTGATAAATAGGCCTGAAATGAAATTCTATCTTGGCTTAGTTATATCACTCAAAACTCGTTCTCATTTGTCTCATTTGATAAAGAGGGAATCGTTAATGTTTTCATTAAGACAGTATTGCCTTGATTTTCTAATATTTACAACGAAAGACAGTAAATTTCACTTTTCACCCACATTTACTTCCAACCTTTTCTTTTGAACCAGAAACAAAAATGATAGACGTTTAAAACACATGACATCATCCACCTTGTCAAATGTAATAGCATGATCATTTCAATTGTGATGCCTTCTTATCCCAACGTTACTTTGTTTCTTTGCTACATTAGCGAACACTGAACTACTGCTCGTACTCTAGATATAACAATCAACCACAAAATTCCCTAAACCAGATAACATTAAACATAATCTAAAAAATCATGTGTCAATTCACGAGTTTGCTCACAGAGCACTTTGATTCATAAATTTGTAATTTACAATCCTTGAAGTTGAAAAAATCCGAAGATTTACTAAAAATATCACTTACTGCGAAGCGCTCGGAGTTTACAGATGTTCAAAAGTTTTTTTCTGTTATGGCGTGAGATTGAGGACAAAATCGATCATTACGTTTTCGTATCGTGTGTTTTTCCTGTGTGAAGCAACGAAAGATGCCGGCGACTGACGAAATTACAAGTTAACACGAAAATCAAATAACACCTAAACAAACAATTTTAGCTACCGATTTTCAGATAATTTTTAAAGAACAATTTTCTTTTAAGTTTCAAGACAATTTGGAGATTCAAAATACATATTACGTACTAAAATGCGAAAGTTATAAAGCACAAAATTGATAAATTGGCCTGAAATGAAATTCTATCTTGTTATTGATTATACGATGCCTAGCACGTGACTTAAATCTACTCAGGTGGAGATCCAAAATGACGGTGGCAGTCTTGGCTTAGTTATATCACTCAAAACTCGTTCCCGTTTGTCTCATTTGATAAAGAGGGAATCGTTAATGTTTTCATTAAGACAGTATTGCCTTGATTTTCTAATATTTACAATGATAGACAGTAAATTTCACTTTTCACCCACATTTACTTCCAACCTTTTCTTTTGAACCAGAAACGAAAATGACATACGTTTAAAACACATGACATCATCCACCCTTGTCAAATGTAATAGCATGATCATTTCAATTGTAATGCCTTCTTATCCCAACGTTACTTTGTTTCTTTGCTGCATTAGCGAACACTGAACTACTGCTCGTCCTCTAGATATGACAATCAACCACAAAATTTCCTAAACCAGATAACATTAAACATAATGCAAAAAATAATTTGTCAATTCACGAGTTTGCTCACAGAGCACTTTGATTTCTTTTAACAAGCAAGCATACTTAATAGTCAGCTTTCAAAAAGAAAAAACATGTAGATGTTAGTCTAAACATTGTGCTTACCAGTATTACTCTTGGCGTAAATGGTTCTAATTAGCACAAGAAGAGCAGAATATATCAGAAAACACACTTTCTCCATTTCAACAAACAACTGTCTCCCCCAGTCTGCCCAAGCTTTAGAAACAAAATTGTGTGGGAATCGCGGTATGATATGTGTATCAGGCCCTTCAGTTCCGCACTCGTAAACAGGTAATTTCGTCCAAGTCGAGCTAAGACAAGACTGTCAAAACCAAACACACGCACGCGCATCAAGCACGAATGTAGTTTCACTCTTTCAGCATCTGAAATATAATCTTTGTTTTCCTCTATAATTAGCTTAGAGCAACTGATTTTTCAGTTTCAAAAAATACTTTTTGGAAAACAGCCTTATCTCTTGAGACCTCTTTGAATTATTATCCTTTTTTCTCGTTCAGTGAATCTTCACTTATTCGAGATCGCAATATATTCTTGGTTAGGGTCTATTGGAGATACAAAAGAGTTTCAGGTTGCTTTTCGTTGTAAAATTACGTGGAATGATATTTTTGTTGTAAGCGTAGTCTCTTCCGCAACCGTCACGCAACGCGCTCTCTCTCCAACGGGGAATACAGTGCGTTATGTGAAGAGACCAAACAACGGCTACGAAGGAGACTACAGTGAGCGTGGCACCGATGTATTTTATTTTTGCTCATAATTATTAAGACAATAGAGAAAATAGACCCCGATATACCTGTGTGAGTCTGGATTAATTAGGTTTTTTTCTTTCTCTTAAAGTGAAATAATGCGATATTTTCGTTCTTTTGAAAGTTATGAAAATACTAGGAACAGAATGCGTCCCATCTCGACCTACCCAGCTTAAACAAATAACCCTTGCATGCTACGCATGCCTATGTTTTACAACTGCTGAATATTTATTACAAGGCAATGAAAAGCGATCGAATATTGCCTGCCTTCCCTTCGAAACGATCTGCTGTAGACTCATACGCGAAAAGCTCCTTTCCTTTTTCTTAGTTTTCCAGACTCGTATTTTGTCGGACCATCGTCCAGTGTGAGAGCAAAACTAGAGCTGCATGGGGTAATATCGAATGCGAATGTAAGGGGTTTGTTTCTTTGGAGCTTTCGTGCGTCGACCCACGTTTCCCCACGAGGGAAAAGCAGCTGGAAACTGAGACTCTTCTTGAAAAATTATTCGTGGTATTATAGAAATACCAGAATTGTTGATTCTCAGAAAACAAAAGAGGATTTCGGGCTATTTCAAATAAAAATAATGCCGAGATTTTGTGCTGTTTTCTCTACCGCTTCATTAAAACCATATGCTAATTTAAGACTTTCTTTTCGTGAGCTGATGACTGCAACATTACCTTAACGCTCAGTTCCTTAGGCTTCTTGGGGTCCTAGTCACTCGGATGAAAGGAAAGTGGTTCTTTACACTTTTACTTCTAATTTTTCTCTTTAAAGAGAGGAGGGGGAGGGGAGTGGGCTGACGTTTTGCATTCACTAAACAGGTGAAACGATAGAAATTTCTGAATGCCGCGTACAAAACCCTAGGAGTGAGAGCGAATACTTAAATTTGGATCGGCTTATAATTTAGAATATACGGAAACATTGAAAGAAATTGATTTCTACTTAACACTTAATTAATTTTTCTAAAATCTTGATCTTCTAAAGAGCTAGCTTTCTTTTTAGAAGTGCCGAACATTTATACAGATTGCAAGAACTTTGTATTTGTGTATCATCGTCCTTAGCCAGTTTCAGAAAGGTTCTTCGGTGGGTTTTATAATGGTGTTGAAAAGCCATCTTTAGGTTTTGTCGTTTTTGAATGAAATAGATAGAAATAGATGAAAACCATTTATTAAACCATTTTTTTCATTTATTTATCGAATTTAGTTTTTTTTGTTTTTATATGATACACCATACCGTGGTATTTGAAAATAAAAACGTTAAAACAAGTTTTACAACTTGACACATTGACGCTGCAGTTTAATTCAAAGTCATCCAACCTCGGGAATTTATGACTTTATAACTGAATTTTTATTCTTAACTCATCATTTCGACTATACGTGAAGAGAAAGCTTCCCTCTAGCATGAAACTAAACACCGAGAACATAGTGAATTGAACTATTGAAATATTTTCCTTCGGGACGCTGACTACAAACTTATTCCAACACAAACTTATCCCATATAAGTAATACTGATTTTTTTCGGTTTTGACATGCAAGTGCCTTAAAGGGGCTCATCTAAAGTATTGTGGGTACAGTCCTAGGAAGAAATTTCTGGAAAACTATTCGGGTATTTATAATGACAAAGCAATTAATTACCGATCACTAACTGTAATTATGGGGTCTGCATACTTGTTTCTTTCAGTTTTGTTTTCATCTCTATGTTTATCATTAAAACATTCCTGGGATAGGAAACGAGTTTCACTTATGTTCGCCGTCCTTTGTCTCCTCCGGATTCTTCTGTGATATCTTCACGCTTGCTTTCTTGACGGGATCAATTAGGGAGTATACTGTTTGGGGCTGTTCTTTGACAAGCTTTGCACTGTTTTCACGGGAAATGATCAGATCTGCGTACACAAGGCCACGGTATGGAGCGGGCTTCTACATTGAACATGGAAAAGAGAATAATAACTTATGAGCAGATCGTGAAACAAGAGACATTAAATAACGATAGCAACACAGTAACGAGGTAAACAAATAAACAAACAAATAAACAAACAAAAAACAACAGCAACAAAAACAACATTAAATGAGAAATAAAACACCAAAGATTGTAAACGAATTTGATAAGATAACTGGGTCAGTGTTGCCTTATTTTGCCTCTGATAAAGCTCTTTTTTGTTTCAAATTTATTTTTATCGGTTTAGTCTTGTATTTTTTTGTTTATTTGTTTGTTGCAGAGGATCCTTTAGACACTTAAACTAAAGTCCAGCTGCCGTGCTCCAGCTGTACGCTTAATTATCATACGTGGACATTATGAATCGAAGAGGTAAATATATTAAGATAGTTTCCTTAATGAAACAGTGTTGAAAAAGAAACACGTCTTCATGTAAAAAAAAATCCAACAAATAAAAGCAAAACAAAACAAAAAGAAACAAAAAGAAACTTTTGTCAGGATTTGTGAGATGTATTACCTGTGGCGGCTTCTTCTTCTTTTTTGTCTTGTCAACAGCTGCGTACAAATATTCAGTGTTCCCGCCAGCCTGAGGTGTCTCACTCCCTGCAGCCTCTGTGTTGTTGTCGAGCCCTGAGTCAGTTTGATGAGACGAACGATCCTCTGATGTCAGAGACGGGGACTGATCTACACAGGACGCCCATTGTACAAGTAAACCACTTGCTTCTTCCTGAGGGTGGCCCGCAGTCTTTTCGAGGGCGCTCACTCCAGAACTGGCTCTGCCTTTTCTTTCTTTATGAACAACAGCGTATACATGATCCTTATTTTCTTCTTTTTGATCGCACAAAGCAGGTGGCTGCTGTATTCCTTTCTCACCACTCACCAACACTGTGTTTGCTGGCGCTCGTTCCTGAATATATGAACATCCCTCGCTTACTAAACTCAACTTTCGATTAGTCTCAATGTTATCATAGCCGCACTCTCTTTTGCAGTCGCTCACTGTTTCGTAGGTGGCCAGCCCAGATTCCGTTCGTGAAAGGGTCAGGTGAACAGTAAGCTCAGCGGAGCTCTGTGTTTGTTGAACAAGCACAGGGTCGAGTGATGTCAGTTCAGAGCTCGAAGGCTTCTCGTAGGTGCACATGACACGATCTTCGTCTAAACATCATCTATGACGCAAGAAATTAGGCTTTACTGATATGTTAAAGAAATAAAAGCGCGCTGATTGCATTGTTGAGTTATATAGGCACTTGGGAATTTTTAAGGACACGAGAGAGGTGCGGAGAAGCACGAGCCGCAGGCGAGTGCTTCTCTCACTTCTGGAGTAACAAGTTTTTTTTGGTTCTTTTATAATAATATACGTGAAAAAATTACTCAGTTCTGATTGGTTAAGATAAATGCAGTTTTCAAATAATTCAACGAGGAAGAGCGTTAATTCAGTGCAAAGATAGTAACAACTATACATTCTGATTGTTCACTAAACAAAGAAACTCACAGAAAGCTAATCAAATGCGAGCCTTGGACGTCTTAACATTTGGCTACTCTGAAAATTTGCGAGCGAAGTAATGGCCGGCGTTTGAAGTAGGCCTTCTTTCAACACCGCAACAACAATACAACAGCCGGAAAACAACTCTAACAACGAAAATACTGTAAAAAGCATTGCTTTTTGGTTGTCGATTTGGAAAAAGTTGTGTTAAGATAAGGGAATTGCCAAGGCCGAAATGAAAATTACGAGCAGATCCAGCTTAACACTTTGCACGAGCGATTCTACGCCGAAATTAAAACAAACATGGCTAAACCTCGCAAACGACGATTTCATTCCATCGAAAGGGATTAGGACTCAGACTGAACAATTTCTTGAACTGTTTTGCCGGACTTTGAGCTTTTGTGTGCCTTATAGATGTGAAAATATCATTGAGTATTACTGTTTTGATCTTACGCCGTTGTTTTGACCGAATGCACAGGTTTGAATAAATTGTTTTTGCACTTGATGCGCGCGCTTTGCTTCTGCGTAATTATGATAAGCTATCTCGTATTTTTTTATATTTTATTATTAATACGTAATCCCGTGATTTTTCTGGTGCAATTTGGAATACATAAGCGCTTATTAATTTTTTCAAAGACCACAAATTGCACTCGAAATCATGTGATTACGTGTTAATAATATATATATATAATGGTAATTGAACTGAGTGGAGTGCAATTTGGGCTGAAATCATACGTGTGATTTCAAAATCGAACGAGCGCGCAGCGGGAGCTCGATTTGAAATCACAGGTATGATTTCAGACCAAAATTGCACGACACGAGGTTCAATTACCACTTTATTACATCCATTTTGAAATCACCCAAATACAGGACTTGGTCAATTCGAATATTTTATTGATGCAGTACTGAGCCGGTTTTTAAATAAAAAGCGGAACCGGAAACGCTTTTACATCTTATTTTGTATGCAAAACAGAAAGACTTTGACGTCATGTGTCAAAAACTCAGTCAAGCGTATCAAAAGAAAGACAACCTTCATTCAAGAAATTCGAGAAGTCCTTAGTAACTCAGAAAAATAGTGAAGCGTTAAAGTTCAGTCCTCGTCGTCTGACTCAATGATGTAAGCTCTTCGTTTCTTCTGTGGTTGGGGTGGAGAATTCTGGCTGTCTCTAGAGAAGAAATTGAAGGTGCAGCCTGTGTAATTCTGCGATGGAACGGGAGCAGCACAACTGAAGGCTTCCATGCGGAACTGAGACTGCAACGGAAAACGTGGTGGAAATCCTGAAAATTCAGCCGGCTGAAAACCAGGATTGGAGCCCATGGCCTGATGCATTTGGCCTTGTTGTTGGACGTGATAAATAGGAACCAGAGGTGTTCGTTTATATTGGACTGCAATCTCTTGATTTGAGGCTTCATTTGCAGTGTTTTGCCGGGAGACTTCGTTTGCTTGATTTTCGTTTGACACTTCTTTATATCCACTGATAATTTGAGAGAGTTCTTTCCTGTGATTCTCGTCTATTTCATCGTAGTCGTCTAACGAAGATTCACGTGCATGGCCTGTTATTTCACAGATAACATTGCGCGGTTGACCAGACTTCTTCAGTTTTGATACCAATGTTTTCCTCATGCCGTGGTTCGTCAGCTTCTTATTCGTCCTGAGACAGGAGGCCATGGATTTCATTAAATTGCCGATGGTGTTTTGTCCCATTCGAACTTTGGTGTACCAAACATCTGCTGATTTAGGACGATTTATGATGCTAAGATAGAGTGGCCCTGTGTTCTTCATTCCTGCGGGTCGCTTGGACAACCAAAGCTTGAATAGCCGCACTGGATCGCATTTTCCGCCATCGGTGCTGAACATTGCCTGTGGTGTTGTTCTTCGCCTGATGGTGAGACCACCGCTCCGCGTTTTAGTGGGACCTTCCCTGAACTCAACAACTTCAGTTCCATCTTCTCGCTGTCTTATAATTACGTCTTCCACGCATGCATCGTAGTGTTCTTGGCGACCACGAAATCCCAGTTGTTCTGTCAAATTTTTGAAGTTGACATTGGTCAAGACCTTTCCATTAAAATCACCCAACTGACCTTTTTCCCACAGGGCTGACTCTTCTTCAGGTGTGATTGGCTGAGCTTTGTTGGGTCTCTTTCCCTTTCCTTGTTGACGTAGGGAAATTGCTTTCGCATGGAGGATTTCTTGTGAGGAGTGAAACTCTCTCGATCGCACGATGCTCAATGGATAGTTCTTCTCCTTTAGATATCGTTCAATGGCACTCTGCATGATTTTAAGGGATTCTGGCTCGTAGTCATCTCCGTCCTTTTTTTTCACCTCGGCGTAAAACTTACTCAAGACCTTGTCAAGTTTTTCAGGCGCCATTGTTTCGATGGAGACATATTCAAGATGGCGGCATTGACACCAGCTTCTGAAAACATTCATCCATTGTTTTGTGGAGCGGGACGTATTTTTATTTGAAGCGACAGACTTAAGCTCCTGTATTTCATCGCTTGAAATGATAGGAAATCTTGAGACATCTAACTCTTGTGGTGGCTTTTGATTTTCTTCGTTTGTTGCTGACTCGGTGGACTCGGGATTGTGCGGATTTTGAGCTTGAGAGGGTAGAAAATCGTCAAAATATTCACCAAAATGTACACGAAAAGTGGGAAAGTCCCTGGAATGTTAGTCTTCAGTCTGAAGGATCTCATTGTCATCATTCAAAAACTGGAAAAAATTAAATTCATCCATTTTTGGGGGGGGGAAAATAAGAGTTATGGAAACAAAAGTTGCAAAATTTGCGAAATGATACTCTTTGTCTTTCATTTTCCTGCAATTTGATTGGTTACTTTAAACAAGCCTAGAAATCTGATTGGTTGTTTTGTTTTAAGTGTAACTTCCTCATTGGCTGGAAAAAAGATGCGATTTAGAGCAAAAAATGGTGCGATTCGTGAATAAATCGCACCAATTAGAGCCAATCAGATCACAGGGACCACCAGTGATTTCAAAATGGATGTAATAAAAAAAAATACGAAATAGCTTATCATAATTACGCAGAAGCAAAGCGCGCGCATCAAGTGCAAAAATACTTGTGATTACCTATATTAAAATGTATCATGAATTGCGTGCGCTCGTACCGATGACGTAGGCTGTGTGCATTATATCTCAACAGTGCAATTGCGTGACGTAAGGCGCGTGCTCTATGGAAATATAATGAACTCGTTCTGACCAATCACGGCGCGCGCATTTCTCTGAACATTTTATAATGTGCAGTAAATTGCTTATCAAACGCTATCAAATTTGTTTTTGACTTTGATAATTTCTCTAACTAATGCTTTTAGGGTCAGCAGTTTTACATTAAGTAACTCAGCAGTTGTAACATCAGTTCATAGTGTCACTGTACACCCTGGTACTGCTTATCTTATTTCCGACCTTGTCTCGCTTTTGTAAGGAAGACCATGGTACGCAAAAGACAACTGCCGTGTGTATCTCTAACTTAAGGACTATTTTTTCGCTGACCTGGAGACAGGCAACAACCAGCCAAAGCAACACGCCGAAGGGTATTTTGTTGCCTCTCTATTTGATCAATTTGTTGCGTTGCTTATTTTTCCTTTTGGTAACAAATGCTTTAATCGCTTCCGGGACACTGGTTTACCAAATGTAACTGAGAGGCAGAAAAGAAACCTTCTCCTTTTTGTATACTTAATAATAAGCAAAAACTCTTTAAGAGTGCCTAAATACGTATCAGTAATCTAGTGTATACTTACTCATTGTAACATAATTTCCATAGTTACCCCCAAAATCGTGTCACCAATTAATTTTCACCGTCGTTGTCGTTGTTAGTGTTGAAAGAAAAAAATTTAAATTTTTTTTAAAAATAAGAAACGTAAGTGTGTTCTTTTCAGTGAAGGTTTTAGTCAAGGGTCGAGGGTGAAATGTCAAGGGTTCAAAAATTCCCTTATTTATTGATTTATTTATTTCTTTGCTTATTTAAAATTTGTTATTATATCATTCCTTGTATCACGTGGTCGTAAGATTTCCCACCTTTCTCCAAGTGTCAGCAATACCAGGATGTTAGCTCTCTAGTTTCCTCTCCGTTCAGCACTTTCTCGCATTCTCCTATTTCACTTGCGCGTGTTTCAGTGAGTTATTCGTAATGGAGGGTTTTTTATCAGCGTTCTCCCTTCTAAATAATCTTTGTTGGAAGTCTTTTAATATTTCCATTAAAAAGACCTTCAGCTTTGCTCAGAGAACGTTGTTAAAAATCCTACCAAAAGTAAAACCACGACTTCATGAACTTCTATATAACGTGGTTCTTGGTAGGAAGAACGATATTCTTTGCCCCGGTAATACGAAAATCTATGATTAAGTACCTCGATATTTTTAGTCCCTTAGCGGGCTCAAAAGTGGAAACGTGCGAATAGCTAAGAGAAAAGAGCGGGGAATTTTGCGACCAAAAGATACAAAAAATGTTTGTTTAAAACTATGAATACGTGATTCACAGAACTTCGCGAAGAGGATGGGTGGAAACTCATAGACGAACTTTACACCTTATGTACAAAAAAACCGGCGCAAAAATACGACTGCGACGCAGGTAGTGGGGAAGCGGAAGTGAGACACTGATTACTCACCGATGGCTCCAAATTTGCTCTTGTTTTGAAGCCCATGGTCCAAATCGCCTAAACTTTATTGACTAATTTTTTCTCTAAAATACTTCAGCCGTCGAAACCCGTCACCAAAGAGGTTTCTTGACCGTTGAAAGAACCGCCATAAATAACCAAGTTTTGTTTTGCGTGATCCAGGCGCGGATGTCGACAAATTAATAAACCCCTTCCGCTCGAGGAAACATAAGTAATAGTAAACAATTAAATAAATAAATCCTTGACATATTTTGAACCCTCGCCCCTCGGCTCTCGACAAAAACCTACGCTCTGTTCTTTTCGAAGCATTGTCAAAAAGTGAACGATACAATACTGCATAGACTGCTGCAATTATGAGAAGGACATTAATATGGATTTTAAGTACATGCTCTTGTGCACAGTTGACTGATTACATGAATAGCTCAAGGTAAAAAGTAAAGGAGACAAAAGTAACGTAAAGACACACGAAAAGGGTTGTTCCTCATGATGGACAAAAAGTTAGATACGAAACAATGAAAAGATAGTGAAAGGTACTTACATTGTTTATCGTGGCTCCGACGTCTGCGAAAGAACATAAGTCCGAAAGCGACTACAAGGAACAGAATGAAAATGGCCAGTAGCACCACAACAATCACAACCAGGTTAGGCTTGCTAGCATGTACATCGTCTGCCAAGGGATATTCAGTGACGGTATTCCCAGACGTGACCCCATAATTGATATGTATAAAAGAAGAGGCTGTTTCAAATAAGGAATGGAACCAAACGTTCAGATGCAACTTTTTAAAAATAGTAAAATCATTTTGATTGATTAAATCCACGTGTTAGCGTTCTCAATACAAATTCAACGTTGCTCTCATAAAAAAAATTATACAAATACTGTAAAGTCAATTAAACGATGATGATAATAATGGTGGTAACTAATAACAGAACAGACAAAGGAACAACGCATGGATGTTGAAAAACTGATGGTAAATTTTTGTTTCTATTTTTTTTAAAGGTTCTTTTCTGTATCTCATACCAGTGCTTTAATGATTGCCTATCCAGATGCGCAGATTCACAGTAACAGTGTGGTACGAATTTATTTTACATGGGAAAATTACATAAATAAATCAATAAATCTTTGCATGAAAAATGGTAATAACTAAAAAAAGGGTAGATAAGCTTTTACCTGTAATCGCAGTTGTAGATGATCCTTTGACCCGAGCAGCTGTCGATGCCTGGGATCCATAATTCCGTCCTAAATTAGAGAGGAACACAAAACCAAAGTTAGTAATTAACTATAAGCATTTTCAGTAAAAATTCAACGTTTTTCTAACATATAAAAATTGTACAAATACTTGTAGGTAGATATTAAAAATGGTAATAACCAAAAAAGGGGTGGATAAACTTTTACCTGTTGTCGCAGTTGTAGATGGTCCTTTGGCCCGAGCACTTGTCGATACCTGGGATCCATCATTCCTGCCTAAATTAAAGAGGAACACAAAACTATAGGCATTTTCAATAAAAATTAAACGTTTTTTTTTAACATATAAAAATTGTACAAATACTTGTAGGTAATAATAATGATAATGTTCACATGCATCAAAATGGTAATAACCGAAAAAAAGGGTGGATAAGCTTTTACTTGTTGTCGCAGTTGTATATAATCCTTTGACCGGAGCAGTTGTCGATGCCTGGGATCCATCAGTCAGTCCTAAATTAAAGAGGAACACAAAACCGAAGTTACAAATTCACTACTAGCATTGTAAATAAAAATTCAACGTTTTTCTAACATATAAAAATTGTACAAATACTTGTAGGTAGATATTAAAAATGGTAATAACCGAAAAAAAAAAGGGTGGATAAGCTTTTACTTGTTGCCACAGCTGTAGATGGTCCTTTGATCCGAGCAGTTGTCGATGCCTGGGATCCATCATTCCAGCCTAAATTAAAGAGGAACACAAAACCAAAGTTAGTGATTCACTATTAGCATATTCCATAAAAATTCAACATTTTCCTAACGTGGAAATTGTACAAATACTTGTGGGTAATAATAATGACAATGCTCACAAAAGTGGTAAATAACAACAAACCAGAACAAAGAACCAAAAGTATGCACATTTTTTTTTCTATTTGTTTAGGGTTTGTCTGTTCCTTTTCTACTTACATATGTGTAATAAATTTAAAGTTAAAGATTTGCAGGAGTTTCAAGGAGTAAGTTAGGGGAAGTTATGCCACGTTACTATATTTATACTTACATTCAGCGCTGATTCACATTATCGTTTAGACATATTTGTTAGTTGGGTCAAGCCTTCGACAGTCACAACGCCAATACTTACCTGTTGTGGTGGATGCCGTCGCTTTCGCTGATTTTTTCTCTAGACAAGAATGTGAAAATTCACTTATCATTGCAATAATGTGATTTTATATCCTATTTTAAATTGAGCGCAAAGCAATGGTAACAGTGTGGTATCTATACATGGAAAAAAAAAAGGCAAACAAATATATACATAAACGATTAAATAGACATATTAAAATAATTTAGCCAATTGTATAACAAGAAGTCCTTATTGGCTCACTATTAGGATCCAAAGTGACTTTACGGTCTATCTAGCATTTATAATATGCTATGTAATCTTTTTAGCTTTCTTCCTCGGTGTAACTGACTTTCAAGAGAGGGACCGGGCCGTCATACGATTGACTTGTTCTTATTCTCAGTTTCGTGTAATGTGAATTAAGAGTCTATTACCTTCTCCATCTTTAAATTCACATATGAATCCTGCATGGGGTATGCATGAAGAGCATCTGACATCATTATAGCGTCCAAAGTTACCACTATAATTTCTGTACATTTGCGTGCAGTTCTCTTTACCATTTCCGTTGCTAGGTTGTCCAACTGCCCAGGGCCAATCTCCTTTATTGGACGCATTGACTGTGCTGTTATCACTTAACCATCTCCACACTCCAGTTGATGTATCTTTCCTCAAACCTATGAAGTATTCAGTGGTATTCTCGTTTTGGATGGTTTGATTCAGGAAGTTCCACTCCTCACGACTCTCAATAGAAACAAGGTTATATCCAGACTGTTCATTACATATTGTTTTGCTTCTTTCCCAATTGTACCCGTTACCATTGCTCCTATAGAAAACGTAGCTGGAGCCACTGAAGTTCTTCACATGAGCTGAATGTAGAATTGAACAAAGACACACCCTATTCATTAACTGTTGACCTTATCAGCCGATAACAACTTGGTAACAAGTTTAGAGGCCGAAACAAACTGCTCCAACACTAATATTCTTTGGAGTAAAATAGCATCCAAAACCGACTTATTTGAACATGTATTCAACTGTATTCGAATGTAAACAGCTCTTTATGGTCGATATAGGTATGGATCTAAATCGGAATTAATCCATTGTTTTCCTGGCTTTGTTTTCCATTTTGCCTCTTGTTTTTTGTTTTTTATTTGTTGTTGCTGTTGTCTTCTATTCGGTGTGTGATTAGCTTCATACGAAGAATATTTGCTCCATTTTCAAAGTTCCACTCCTTACTGATGTGTCGAATAAATATCCCCCTTAATAATACATTATTTTACGTTTATTTTGATGTTGGATCCTAAGCGCTAATGTGTGGAACAAGTACAATACCTGTTATGCTCTAATTTTTCTTGAAATATTTTTTCAATTAGCTCACCTGAACAATACAAAACCTTAATTTCGGCTATTTTATTACCAAAAAATGGCTGCATCGATTGTAAATTTGAAATGGTTTCGTGGTGTCTATGTTTCGACGATAAATTCTACAACTATTACAAAATTCGAAAACGAAAACACAGCGACTAAACGTACAATTTTTTTGTCTGAACTCTGCGACTGCTGAACTACAACTAACTGACACGACCGATTCGAATATTAATTAGTTAAGACTTAAATTCTACCACTATTCGCCGTAACAGTCTGAATACATTGCGATATCTAAAGTGCAGTGGGCACTATCTGTTTTGCCAATTACAGTACCAGCCTTTTTTCTTTTAACAAGCAACCATACTTAATAATCAGCTTTCAAAAAGAAAAAAAAAAAAGAAAAAAACATGTAGATGTTAGTCTAGACATTTTGCTTACCAGCATCACTCTTTACGTAAATGGCTCTAGTTAGCACAAGAAGAGCAGAATATATCGTAAAACACACTTTCCCCATTTCAACAAGCAACTGTCTCCCTCAGTGTGCTCAAGCTTTAAAAACAAAACCGTTTGCAAATCGCGGTATGATATGTGTATCAGGTCCTTCAGTTCCGCACTTGTAAACATGTAATTTCGTCCAAGTCGAGTTAAGACAAGATTGTCAAAACCAAACACACGCACGTGCATCAAGCACGAATGAAGTTTTTTTCTTTCAGCATCTGAAAAATAATCTTTGTTTTCTCTATGATTAGCTTATAGCAGCTGATTTTTCAGTTTCGTCCTCGTAAATCAGCTTTATCTCCTTTTTCTACGATTTCCTTCAGAGTTTATCAGTATAAACCTTGTTGTGTTTAGTCTGAAACGAGTCTGAGATTTCTCAGACTACTTTTAGCACTTTCTATTCTATTTCTATTGTTGGACAAAAATGAAAGTTCTGTTTAAGCACTGAATGATAAGAAATGAGAATGATTACGATGTAGACGCTTTAATGACGTTTATGATTATTTCTAGACCTTTTTTATTTTGATATACGTAAGTGAAAGAATCAAAGAGGACGCATCGATTCTCTGTTACTCTGGGTTTCGCGCCTAAGCGCTCGTCAGACAGAACTTTATTTAATGAAGAACATACCTCATTATATACAAATTAGATGAGTAGCTAATTAATTCACTAATTAATTTTAATTTTCCTGCACGACAGTCCAACATGCACGATTGAAAAGCAAGTCAACCTCTTCTTTAAAAATTTCCGTTTTCAGAGTTGTGCAAAATGTCATCTGTTCTCAGCTTTTTACAGTTTTCATAATTCAAGGTAATGGTAAAACATTGTTCAATTGATTTGTCAAATTTCTTCGGAAAAACTACGCTAATTATGTGCAAAATAAATTTTAATTTGTATGCTTATTTAGAATTCATAAATAAATCATTACTTGTACTCGTGATTGTAAGACAGAAATGCCAGGATGTTAGCTTTCGTTTTCTCTCTCCAGCACTTTCTCTCATTCTCCTATTTCAGTTACGCGTATTTGAGAGAGTTGTTCGTTATGGAAAATTCTTGACAGCGTTCTCCTTTCAAAATAATCTCTGTTGGAAGTCTTTTAATACTTCCGTTGAGTTTTAAGTACGTGCTCTTTTCCATAGTTGACTGATTACATGGATAACTCAAAATAAAAAGTGAAGGAGACTAGAGTTAATATATAAAGACACATGAAAAGGAAAATTCCCCATGATAGACCAAAATCTAGATATGAAACAAATGAAAACACAGTGAAAGGCACCTATATTGTTTATGGTCGCTCCGATGTCTTCGAAAGAATATAAATCCGAAAGCGACTACAAGGATCAGAATAAAAATGGCCAGTAGCACCACAACAATCACAATCAGGTTAGGTTTGCTAGCATGTAAATCGTCTGCCAAGGGATATTCAGTGACAGTATTCCCAAACGTGACCCCTTAATTTCGATAAAATGTGTAGCTGCTGAAAGGCAAAATTATATTACAGATCAGATCGTAGGAGTTCAACGGCGTCAAAACATGGCGAAGCAGTTCAAGTACTTTAATTGGTACTTTTCACATCGGATCTCTTCTGTTTGTGACATCTTTGATCAAAGAAAACATTGCAAATATTGTTGAAAATAGCTTTTCTTTCTTAGTTCTATGATTTCCAATAACTTTTGACAATTTCAAGTTTAATATCTCTCCGAGACAGCTTTGCTACACGACATCTCGAGCCCAAAAAAATGTTTAATTTTAATCGATTCGCATGCCTTTTTGTATGTTACTTCACCTGCCCTGTTTGTCATTCAAATTAAAATGACACTGTTGATAAAAAGAAAAAATTTAAATCAGTAAACGGAATGAAATGACTGGAAGGGAAATCTTGGTTTCAGGTTTCTGTTTCTGTTTTTCATTTTACTTTAACTCATGAGGGGAAATAAAAATTTAGAGGGCTGAACCTTTTCTCAAAGAAATTTCAATAAGCCTTTGTTAGATCTGATACGGTTTTATGTTCGTTTGTAATCTTTCTGGGATTGTACTGAGAATCAATATCATATAATTTTAGGCTATTTGTAAGAGCTAACCATCTAAATTTGTTTCTGTTGTGAGGATACAAATCTTCCACACTCCGCGATTCCTGATCCCTGGTACGTGATCATGAACGCCTATTTGAGGTTGTCACAGGTACCCCAACTTTGAATTTATTGCAAAAACAACAGCATTTACATTTTAAAAGTTTTACGATTTCGCCTTTGAGCTCTCTGTTGAAAACGCCATATATTATCGGGCTGATGGCGATAGTGCTACCAACAACAATGCTATAAAACACGTAAACAAGGCGAGGAGCGAAAAATTGACCAAGAAATACTCCAACTAAATCGATGACATAAACTGGCGTCCAGCAAATCGTGTAACTCAGCACGATAGCAAACAAAAGTTTTGTTACTTTAATTTCCTTCGCTGAAATTCCGCTGCCGCTTCCATTTCCACCTCCACGGTGTCTCAGTAATGCGTTGTGTTCTTTCACTCTTTGGTAAATCTTGAAATAACAACAAGAAATGATAAGATATGGAAGCTGAATGTTAAAGAAACCTGTCAAAAAAGCGTGCACCAGATTCAGCTTCGTCACATCAAAGATACAGACTCCCTTTCCGGGATGAAATTTAAACTTGTTGCCGAGAAGCATGTAAGACACAGGAAAATTTCCAGCCAAGATCCATGACACAGCGATCGATATGTAAGCGTTCCTCTTTGTAAAGTACTTGCGATGAAGGTTCGATTTTACCATGAGGAAATATCGATTTATTGCAATTAAGGCCATGGAATAAATGGAACCTGTGGCTAACATGGCAGTAATGAATCCTACAAATTGGCAGATAGCGTCACCAAATGTCGGCGTTCCTTTTAATACTACTTCGGGGATGAAAATCCAGATGGATAATGACAACAATAACTCCATCGCACTCAGAGAAGCTACGTAAAAGTTAGAGATAGTTCTTAGCGATGAAGTCAGGCTTATGACCAGGAGAACAAGAAAATTCCCGCAGACGCCGATTAAACCTATTAGCAGAAACATAACCAGTTCTGTGAAAATCTCGGCTTTTGTTCTCGTTGCTAACTGCAAAATGAACACTTTACTTCGATTTAGCTGAGCTTCGTTGTCTGCAAACATCGCAGTTGGATTCTCCTTTTCTATTATCAGCCGGGCAAACTATTGAACAAGACTGAGATAAAACATTGATAAACGTTATATGAAATATGCAAAGAGTTTCGAGCCATAAGTTACGACAAATGCCTTTAACTTGAAATATATAGGAAATTCGTCGTCAGAGAGGAAGAGCGAGGCAATGATTGACCGAGGGAGCGCAATATTGGCATGAAATGGACATTTTATGAAACGAATTTTAAAATGACAAACAGAGGAATTCAGGAAAAAGTTTTCAAGAAGACCAAACCTTTAGTGAGCGAGGATGCCGGCTGTCTTTTGGAAGAAACCCTATGCGTGAACTCTTTACGCCTCAGGGGTTAGGATCTTGGGTTGTTTGCTCATGCCTAAATTTAATCACAAGAACAATGACTTAGCGCAACAAGGAACTTAACGCCAATTGTACACGAAGTTAAGGACTATAATTTGCAAGATCATTTACAGAGAAGGACATAACTAAAGCTATCAGCTGATAGAATCAATTAATTGTGAACTGCTCTCCCCCAAATGTCTTCTCCAAGTTGTCTATAATAAATGCGACAGTTAGCATAATCATATGTTTTATTTTCATTTTTCAGTTCTACCTTGGACAGACTATACGCTACTGTCATGCGATTACTGTTGTTTTAGGAACGAACAATGGGATCGGAGCAAATTTTTTTCCTTGATATAATTTTTTCTTTCACGTCAATCTGATTGTTCGTCTGTACTTTAAATGACTGGTTGGGAAATAGCCAGACTATATCATGAGTAGTCCATGAAGTGCACAAAGTAATTTTCCTTTTTACGTTTCCTTTTTCTTTCGTTGATGATTCGCTTGCTCTTTAATTTAAGTTACTTTCAATTAAACTTAGATCCTGGAATTGTTTCCGTTAAGTCTTGGGAAACATTACATTTGATCAAATTTTCATAAAGATTTAAGAGATATGTCAAAATGAAAATATGAAGTCCTTTAATTAGCGAGGGTTCTTCGAGAATAGTGAACCCTTGAAAGAGTCATCAACGTACTTTTCTTCTCAAAATAACGACCAAATTTTCATCGTACCAGTTTAGACAAGGAAATCACAGCGCAAAATGTAATGTATATGACATCAAAAGGTTTTCCAGAAACATGTCACTTACCTCAATCGGTTCTTTTAACAGAGGACGTCCTCCGATATCGTTGAACAGTGAAAAGATATATTGCTTACTTTTGGTTCAACCAACCAAACAATTGCTTCTTTTTGTTCCGATTTTAATGCGCGAGACATTTTAAATTCCGTGCTTGCTCGAGAGCAAAATCGAAACTAAAAACTTCTCAATCAGAGTTCCCCATCTTTCCCTTTGTCTAGAAAGAACAAAATGTCAGAATGACGTTCAAATGACACATTTGGTTTGTGATTGATAGCTGAAGCTTAACCGCACCAATCAGGAACTCCGTTAGTGGGCGAACGGAGTTTTGCAAAATAACAATGACTTCGGACAGGCGTAATCTTCACTTCCTCACCCCCACCCTTCTCCTTATTTTTGACCCACGATCGCCCCCTTGGCACAGCCTTCAACTGCCATTAAAATCAAAGATGGCGGCCATAATTTTTGTTAAGGAAATACTGAGCACTCGTGCCCCAAAATTACGCCTGCTCTGCAGGTTAACAATTACACGGTTTTGTCTTTTGTTCTTTAACTACAAGTGATATATTCCGTTCAGGAAACACCAGATGAAAGTTATAATTCTTGGCATGAATTCAGACTGACACATTTATTACGTTGATCGATTGATTACTACAGCTGACAAGTGTTAGGAATTAATTTTGAAGTTACAGAAAAAAGATTTACAAAGGAGTCTAGGGCTCAGCTGGCCATATCTGATTTTGATATTCAATTAACGTGGAAGGATCCTGAAAATTCCAATGGAATTCGAGGCAATTTGAAAAGGCAACTCCTAGACACATTATTTATTTTAGTTTCCAAAAGTTACGTGGTGTTGATATTTTCCTTGGTTTTACAACGTTCCAATGAAATCGGGAAAAAAAGGAAGGATGGACAGTAGTTAAAATAGACTAGATCAAACATCTCTCCAAATGATAGAAAATCTGTCCAAAACATCAATAACACCAACGAAGGTCATCAGCTGCTTGAAATTACTGCGTTTTGATCGCTCAGCAAGTTGTGAGAACATCATAGCCTCGGTTCCAGACCCCGACAGTTTCATACGTCCTGGCAAGCGGGGCGACCTGAACTAAGACTGTGTCAAAGAGTTAACATTTCCGTCTTTTTTTCATCGACAAAAAAGGTCCTTTGATTTGTATCAATATCGTTAGCAGCTGAAATTATGAATATATCAAAGAATGATTTAAAGCTAGTTTTGCTATTTTTTTTAAATTCATTATTTATCAATTAATTGTTTTATAGATTTTGTAAGCACGTAACAGATGGTTTTTCATTCTCGTAGATATCTTTTGTCTTTTGAATTTTTGTCTCTTCTCACGACGTCCTTCAGCGTTTCAGCGGCATGATGATATAATCACGTTCAGTCTGAATCGTGTCTTTGTTTTCTGAAACTTCCTCTAGCATTTTTTTATTAAAGTGGCTGACTTAATTATTAGGCTAATGAAGAGAAGTTTTGTTTGAGCAAGGACTGACAAAAACAGAGAGATGTTCAATGTAAACATTTGTAAAGCATGTGGATATTATTATAAGAATGATTCAAGTTCAGTAAAGTTACCGTAACCCTTGAAATTATTTTATTCGACATGTTTTCAGGAAACATTTGTTTGTTTTCGTTTTCATCGAAGTTAATGTTCGGGGCCAAGTCAAGAAAGCATTTGAACTGAACGCTTTGTTTTCACACAACTCATTCTTCAGGTAGTCCATGATTGCTTAATGCTTTGTTCGTGATAACCGATTCATCGAGGGGAATGGACTGGCCATGGTGTTTTGCTTTGTCAAAGAAACTACCCTCTGCGCCCCTACGTTGACTTTATGGCTTACGCAATCGTACATTCTGACACATGCACGTGCGTTTAATATTAAGAGAGCCGCATCTTATGATTGGAACTAAGGCGCCTGATATCCATGTCATGATGCGATTCACTGGTCGGTGTTGACAAGTCTTGTATTTTTGCAGTATTTCAAGGTATCCTTGTGCTATGCATAACTATACATGCAAATTAAGTATGTTACCTGGTCATAAAAACCAGATGCCTCGGCATCGGACAACTCGAATTTTACTTTACTTCATTGATTTGATAACTCTATAAACAGTCATGAAAGTTTCAAATTACCGGGAGGTGTGGAAGGAAAGAATGAAACAGGAATACTGTCCAAATGCTTATTTTTTCATTTTCCTGCACGATTGTCTAACATGCAAAATTGAAAAGCAATTCAACTTTTCCTTTAAAAATTTCCGTTTTCAGAGTTGTGCGAAATGTTATCTGTTCTCAGCTTCTTACAGTTCTATAATTCAGGGTAATGGTAAAACATTGTTCTACTGATTTGTCAAATTTCTTCGGAAAAACTAGGCTAATTATGTGCAAAATAAATTTCTATGAAGCTTCGCAGACACAGCAGCCTTTGCATTGCGCGCTTTAGCTGATTGCGTATCAATCAATTACATTTACATTTCAATTTATTCTCATCACTTGTCTGGTTGATATTGTTTTGATACCGTAAGGAGAAATTCTGTCTTGGTCACTCATGGGAGTTAAAAGGTTCAAGACATTCTCGGTAGGTTTTGGTGGAGGGTTCGGGGTAAAATGTCAAGGTTTCAAAAAAAATTTCAAATTGATTGATTAATTTATTTGTACGTTTATTTAGAACTCATAAATATATCATTACTTGTATCTCGTATCGTAAGACAAAAATACCAGGATGTTAGCTCTCTCGTTTTCTCTCTTCAGCACTTTCTCGCATTCTCCTATTTCACTTACGCGTGTTTCAGTGATTTATTCATAATGGAGAATTTTTGACAGCGTTCTCCTTTCAAAATAATCTCTGATGGAAGTCTTTTAATACTTCCGTTGAGAAGACTTTGCTCGGAGAAAGTTGATAAAATCCTCCCAAAAGTAAAACCACGACTTCATGAACCTCTATACAACGTGGTCCTTGGTAGGTCCAAGTCCCCTGGGCTCATAAGAGGAAACCCGCGAAAGGCGAAGAGAAAAGAGTAGGAAATTTTGCGACCACAAGATACAAAATATGTTTATTTAAAACTACAAATACGTGATTCACAGAACTTCACGAAGTCAAACGGAGGAAACTTAAAGCGTTATAGACGAAATTTACATCGTACATATAAAAAAGCGGCGTAAAATTACTACTGCAACGCAGTTAGGGGGGAAAGGGAAGTAAGACACCGATAACTCACTGGTAGCTCGATATTTGGTCTTGTTGTGAAGCCCATAGTCCAAATCCCTTTTTTTATTTATTTATTTTCTCTGAAATACCTCAGCCGTCGAAATTCATCACCAAAAGGATCTCTTGACCGCTGAAACAGCCACCATAAATGACCAAGTTTTGTTTTGCGTGATCCAGGCGCGAATGTCGACAAATTCATGAACCTCGCTGCGCTCGAGGAAAAATAAGTAATAATAGAGATTGAATAAATAAATCGTTGGAATGTTTTGGATTGGTTGGATTTTAAGGATTTTGATTGGTTGGATTTTAAGTACGTGTTTTTTATGCATAGTTGACTGATTACATGGATAACTCAAATTGAAAAGTAAAGGAGACTAGAGTTTATATGTAAAGACACATGAAAAGGAAAATTCCCCATGATAGACCAAAATTTAGATATGAAACAAATGAAAACACAGTGAAAGGCGCTTATATTGTTTATAGTCGCTCCGATGTCTTCGAAAGAACATAAGCCCGAAAGCGACTACAAGGATCAGAATAAAAATGGCCAGTAGCACCACAACAATCACAATCAGGTTAGGTTTGCTAGCATGTAAATCGTCTGCCAAGGGATATTCAGTGACAGTATTCCCAAACGTGACCCCTTAATTTCGATAAAATGTGTAGCTGCTGAAAGGCAAAATTATATTACAGATCAGATCGTAGGAGTTCAACGGCGTCAAAACATGGCGAAGCAGTTCAAGTACTTTAATTGGTACTTTTCACATCGGATCTCTTCTGTTTGTGACATCTTTGATCAAAGAAAACATTGCAAATATTGTTGAAAATAGCTTTTCTTCCTTAGTTCTATGATTTCCAATAACTTTTAACAATTTCAAGTTTAATATCTCGCCGAAGAACAGCTTTGCTACACGACATCTCGAGCCCCAAAAAATTTTTAATTTAATCGATTCGCATGCCTTTTTGTATGTTACTTCAGCTGCCCTGTTTGTCATTCAAATTAAAATGACAGTTGATAAAAAGAAAAAATTAAATCAATAAACGGAATGAAATGACTGGAAGGGAAATCTTGGTTTCAGGTTTCCGTTTGGAAACGCATTAAAGACATTTGGGGAAGAAATCCTTTTTACTCAAGGCAATCTTTATTTCTATGTCTCTGAGAGATAATATCATTTAGTGAGCCACCATTGATTGAAATATCTATAAGTTAAATTACAGAGATGCAGTATATATCTATATATATACATATATATATATATATATAAATATATATATACACACACACATCATAAAACAGCTTTACAAATATAGTTTCAGCATGAGTAATTGGCAGTAATTAGCATAACACCAGCACCAACTATCATAATTTATTCATTACATTTTACTTAAACTCATGAGGGGAAATAAAAATTTAGAGGGCTGAGCCTTTTGTCAAAGAAATTTCAATAAGCCTTTGTTAGATCTGATGCGGTTTTTATGTTCGTTTGTAATCTTTCTGTGATTGTACTGAGAATCAGTATCATATAATTTTAGGCTATTTGTCAGAGCTAACCATCTAAATTTGTTTCTGTTTGTGCGGATATAAATCTTCCACAGTCCACAACTCCTGATCCCGGGCACGTGATCATGAACGCCTATTTGAGGTTGTCACAGGTACCCCAACTTTGAATTTATTGCAAAAACAACAGCATTTACATTTTAAAAGTTTTACGATTTCGCCTTTGAGCTCTCTGTTGAAAACGCCATATATTATCGGGCTGATGGCGATAGTGCTACCAACAACAATGCTATAAAACACGTAAACAAGGCGAGGAGCGAAAAATTGACCAAGAAATACTCCAACTAAATCGATGACATAAACTGGCGTCCAGCAAATCGTGTAACTCAGTACGATAGCAAACAAAAGTTTTGTTACTTTAATTTCCTTCGCTGAAATTCCGCTGCCGCTTCCATTTCCACCTCCACAGTGTCTCAGTAATGCGTTGTGTTCTTTCACTCTTTGGTAAATCTTGAAATAACAACAAGAAATGATAAGATATGGAAGCTGAATGTTAAAGAAACCTGTCAAAAAAGCGTGCACCAGATTCAGCTTCGTCACATCAAAGATACAGACTCCCTTTCCGGGATGAAATTTAAACTTGTTGCCGAGAAGCAGGTAAGACACAGGAAAATTTCCAGCCAAGATCCATGACACAGCGATCGATATGTAAGCGTTCCTCTTTGTAAAGTACTTGCGATGAAGGTTCGATTTTACCATGAGGAAATATCGATTTATTGCAATTAAGGCCATGGAATAAATGGAACCTGTGGCTAACATGGCAGTAATGAATCCTACAAATTGGCAGATAGCGTCACCAAATGTCGGCGTTCCTTTTAATACTACTTCGGGGATGAAAATCCAGATGGATAATGACAACAATAACTCCATCGCACTCAGAGAAGCTACGTAAAAGTTAGAGATAGTTCTTAGCGATGGAGTCAGGCTTATGACCAGGAGTACAAGAAAATTCCCGCAGACGCCGATTAAACCTACTAGCAGAAACACAACCAGTTCTGTGAAAATCTCGGCTTTTGTTCTCGTTGCTAACTGCAAAGTGAACATTTTACTTCGATTTAGCTGAGCTTCGTTGTCTGCAAACATCTCAGTTGGATTCTCCTTTTCTTTTACCAGCCGGGCAAACTATTGAACAAGACTGAGATAAAACATTGATAAAAGTTATATGAAATATGCAAAGAGTTTCGAGCCATAAGTTACGACAAATGCCTTTAACTTGAAATATATAGGAAATTCGTCGTCAGAGAGGAAGAGCGAGGCAATGATTGACCGAGGGAGCGCAATATTGGCATGAAATGGACATTTTATGAAACGGATTTTAAAATGTCAAACACAGGAATTCAGGAAAAAGTTTTCAAGAAGAGCAAACCTTTAGTGAGCGAGGATGCCGGCTGTCTTTTGGAAGAAACCCTATGCGTGAACTCTTTACGCCTCAGGGGTTAGGATCTTGGGTTGTTTGCTCATGCCTAAATTTAATCACAAGAACAATGACTTAGCGCAACAAGGAACTTAACGCCAATTGTACACGAAGTTAAGGACTATAATTTGCGAGATCATTTACAGAGAAGGACATAACTAAAGCTATCAGCTGATAGAATCAATTAATTGTGAACTGCTCTCCCCCAAATGTCTTCTCCAAGTTGTCTATAATAAATGCGACAGTTAGCATAATCATATGTTTTATTTTCATTTTTCAGTTCTACCTTGGATAGACTATACGCTACTGTCATGCGATTACTGTTGTTTTAGGAACGAACAATGGGATCGGAGCAAATTTTTTTCCTTGATATAATTTTTTCTTTCACGTCAATCTGATTGTTCGTCTGTACTTTAAATGACTGGTTGGGAAATAGCCAGACTATATCATGAGTAGTCCATGAAGTGCACAAAGTAATTTTCCTTTTTACGTTTCCTTTTTCTTTCGTTGATGATTCGCTTGCTCTTTAATTTAAGTTACTTTCAATTAAACTTAGATCCTGGAATTGTTTCCGTTAAGTCTTGGGAAACATTACATTTGATCAAATTTTCATAAAGATTTAAGAGATATGTCAAAATGAAAAAATGAAGTCCTTTAATTAGCGAGGGTTCTTCGAGAATGGTGAACCCTTGAAAGAGCCATCAACGTACTTTTCTTCTCAAAATAACGACCAAATTTTCATCGTACCAGTTTAGACAAGGAAATCACAGCGCAAAATGTAATGTATATGACATCAAAAGGTTTTCCAGAAACATGTCACTTACCTCAATCGGTTCTTTTAACAGAGGACGTCCTCCGATATCGTTGAACAGTGAAAAGATATATTGCTTACTTTTGGTTCAACCAACCAAACAATTGCTTCTTTTTTTGTTCCGATTTTAATGCGCGAGACATTTTAAATTCCGTGCTTGCTCGAGAACAAAATCGAAACTAATAACTTCTCAATCAGAGTTCCCCATTTTTCCCTTTGTCCAGAAAGAACAAAATGTCAGAATGACGTTCAAATGACACATTTGGCTTGTGATTGACAGCTGAAGCTTAACCGCACCAATCAGGAACTCCGTTAGTGGGCGAACGGAGTTTTGCAAAATAACAATGACTTCGGGCAGGCGTAATCTTCACTTTCTCACCCCCACCCTTCTCCTTATTTTTGACCGACGATCGCCCCCTTGGTACAGCCTTCAGCTGCCATTAAAATCAAAGATGGCGGCCATAATTTTCGTTAAGGAAATACTGAGCACTCGTGCCCCAAAATTGCGCCTGCTCTGCAGGTTAACAATTACACGGTTTTGTCTTTTGTTCTCTAACTACAAGTGATATATTCCGTTCAGGGAACACCAGATGAAAGTTACATTTCTTGGGATGAATTCAGACTGACAGATTTATTAAGTTAATCGATTGATTGCTACAGCTGACAGGTGTCACGAATTAATTTTGAAGTTACAAAAAAGAGATTTACGAAGGAGTTTAGGGCTCAGCTGGCCATATCTTATTTTGATATTCAATTGACCTGGAAGGATTCTGAGAATTCCAATGGAATTCAAGGCAATTTAAAAAGACAACTCCCAGTCACATTATTTATTTTAGTTTCCAAAAGTTACGTCATACCACCATGAGGCAACCACCGAATTGACAGCCAACTGGTGTTGATATTTTCCTTGGTTTCACAACGTTCTAATGAAATCGGGAAAAAAAGGAAGGATGGACAGTAGTTAAAATAGACAAGATCAAACATCTCTCCAAATGATAGAAAATCTGTCCAAAACATCAATAACACCAACGAAGGTCATCAGCTGCTTGAAATTACTGCGTTTTGATCGCTCAGCAAGTTACGAGAACATCGAAGCCTCGGTTCCAGACCCCGACAGTTTCATACGTCCTGGCAAGCGGGGCGACCTGAACTAAGACTGTGTCAAAGAGTTAACATTTCCGTCTTTTTTTCATCGACAAAAAAGGTCCTTTGATTTGTATCAATATGGTTAGCAGCTGAAATTATGAATATATCAAAGAATGATTTAAAGCTAGTTTTGCTATTTTTTTTAAATTCATTATTTATCAATTAATTGTTTTATAGATTTTGTGAGCACGTAACAGATGGTTTTTCATTCTCGTAGATATCTTTTGTCTTTTGAATTTTTGTCTCTTCTCACGACGTCCTTCAGCGTTTCAGCGGCATGATGATATAATCACGTTCAGTCTGAATCGTGTCTTTGTTTTCTGAAACTTCCTCTGGCATTTTTTTATTAAAGTGGCTGACTTAATTATTAGGCTAATGAAGAGAAGTTTTGTTTGAGCAAGGACTGACAAAAACAGAAAGATGTTCAATGTAAACATTTGTAAAGCATGTGGATATTATTATAAGAATGATTCAAGTTCAGTAAAGTTACCGTAACCCTTGAAATTATTTTATTCGACATGTTTTCAGGAAACATTTGTTTGTTTTCGTTTTCATCGAAGTTAATGTTCGGGGCCAAGTCAAGAAAGCATTTGAACTGAACGCTTTGTTTTCACACAACTCATTCTTCAGGTAGTCCATGATTGCTTAATGCTTTGTTCGTGATAACCGATTCATCGAGGGGGAATGGACTGGCCATGGTGTTTTGCTTTGTCAAAGAAACTACCCTCTGCGCCCCTACGTTGACTTTATGGCTTACGCAATCGTACATTCTGACACATGCACGTGCGTTTAATATTAAGAGAGCCGCATCTTATGATTGGAACCAAGGCGCCTGATATCCATGTCATGATGCGATTCACTGGTCGGTGTTGACAAGTCTTGTATTTTTGCAGTATTTCAAGGTATCCTTGTGCTATGCGTAACTATACATGCAAATAATGATACTGCTAAGTACACTGCCAAGATTGATAGCTCTATGAGTGGTTTACTATTTAAGTATGTTACCTGGTCATAAAAACCAGATGCCTCGGCATCGGACAACTCGAATTTTACTTTACTTCATTGATTTAATACTCTATAAACAGTCATGAAAGTTTCAAATTACCGGGAGGTGTGGAAGGAAAGAATGAAACAGGAATACTGTCCAAATGCTTATTTTTTCATTTTCCTGCACGATTGTCTAACATGCAAAATTGAAAAGCAATTCAACTTTTCCTTTAAAAATTTCCGTTTTCAGAGTTGTGCGAAATGTTATCTGTTCTCAGCTTCTTACAGTTCTATAATTCAGGGTAATGGTAAAACATTGTTCTACTGATTTGTCAAATTTCTTCGGAAAAACTAGGCTAATTATGTGCAAAATAAATTTCTATGAAGCTTCGCAGACACAGCAGCCTTTGCATTGCGCGCTTTAGCTGATTGCGTATCAATCAATTACATTTACATTTCAATTTATTCTCATCACTTGTCTGGTTGATATTGTTTTGATACCGTAAGGAGAAATTCTGTCTTGGTCACTCATGGGAGTTAAAAGGTTCAAGACATTCTCGGTAGGTTTTGGTGGAGGGTTCGGGGTAAAATGTCAAGGTTTCAAAAAAAAAATTTCAAATTGATTGATTAATTTATTTGTACGTTTATTTAGAACTCATAAATATATCATTACTTGCATCTCGTGATCGTAAGACAAAAATACCAGGATGTTAGCTCTCTCGTTTTCTCTCTTCAGCACTTTCTCGCATTCTCCTATTTCACTTACGCGTGTTTCAGTGATTTATTCATAATGGAGAATTTTTGACAGCGTTCTCCTTTCAAAATAATCTCTGATGGAAGTCTTTTAATACTTCCGTTGAGAAGACTTTGCTCGGAGAAAGTTGATAAAATCCTCCCAAAAGTAAAACCACGACTTCATGAACCTCTTTACAACGTGGTCCTTGGTAGGTCCAAGTCCCTTGGGCTCATAAGAGGAAACCCGCGAAAGGCGAAGAGAAAAGAGTAGGAAATTTTGCGACCACAAGATACAAAATATGTTTATTTAAAACTACAAATACGTGATTCACAGAACTTCACGAAGTCAAACGGAGGAAACTTAAAGCGTTATAGACGAAATTTACATCGTACATATAAAAAAGCGGCGTAAAATTACTACTGCAACGCAGTTAGGGGGGAAAGGGAAGTAAGACACCGATAACTCACTGGTAGCTCGATATTTGGTCTTGTTGTGAAGCCCATAGTCCAAATCCCTTTTTTTATTTATTTATTTTCTCTGAAATACCTCAGCCGTCGAAATTCATCACCAAAAGGATCTCTTGACCGCTGAAACAGCCACCATAAATGACCAAGTTTTGTTTTGCGTGATCCAGGCGCGAATGTCGACAAATTTATGAACCTCGCTGCGCTCGAGGAAAAATAAGTAATAATAGAGATTGAATAAATAAATCGTTGGAATGTTTTGGATTGGTTGGATTTTAAGGATTTTGATCGGTTGGATTTTAAGTACGTGTTTTTTATGCATAGTTGACTGATTACATGGATAACTCAAATTAAAAAGTAAAGGAGACTAGAGTTAATATGTAAAGACACATGAAAAGGAAAATTCACCATGATAGACCTAAATTTAGATGTGAAACAAATGAAAACACGGTGAAAGGCGCTTATATTGTTTATGGTCGCTCTGATGTCTTCGAAAGAACATAAGTCCGAAAGCGACTACAAGGATCAGAATAAAAATGGCCAGTAGCACCACAACAATCATAATCAGGTTAGGTTTGTTAGCATGTACATCGTCTGCCAAAGGGATATTCAGTGACAGTATTCCCAAACGTGACCCCTTAATTTCGATAAAATGTGTAGCTGCTGAAAGGCAAAATTATATTACAGATCAGATCGTAGGAGTTCAACGGCGTCAAAACATGGCGAAGCAGGTCAAGTACTTGTGACATCTTTGAACAAAGAAGACATTGCTAATGTTGTTGAAAATAGCTTTTCTTTCTTAGTTCTATGATTTCCAATAACTTTTAACAATTTCAAGTTTAATATCTCGCCGAAGAACAGCTTTGCTACACGACATCTCGAGCCCAAAAAAAATTTTAATTTTAATCAATTCGCATGCCTTGTATGTTACTTCACCTGCCCTGTTTGTCATTCAAATTAAAATGACAGTTGATAAAAAGGAAAAAAATTAAATCAATAAATGGAATGAAATGACTGGAAGGGAAATCTTGGTTTCAGGTTTCTGTTTGGGAAACGCATTAAAGACATTTGGGGAAGAAATCCTTTTTACTCAAGGCAATCTTTTTTTCTATATCTCTGAGTGATAATATCATTCAGTGAGCCACCATTGATTGAAATATTCATAAGTTATATTACAGAGATGCAATATGTATATATATATACATATATATACATCATAAAACAACTTTACAAATTTAGTTTCAGCATGAGTAATTGGCAGTAATTAGCATAACACCAGCACCAACTATCATAATTTATTCATTACATTTTACTTGAACTCATGAGGGGAAATAAAAATTTAGAGGGCTGAACCTTTTGTCAAAGAAATTTCAATAAGCCTTTGTTAGATCTGATACGGTTTTTATGTTCGTTTGTAATCTTTCTGGGATTGTACTGAGAATCAGTATCATATAATTTTAGGCTATTTGTCAGAGCTAGCCATCTAAATTTGTTTCTGTTTGTGCGGATAGAAATCTTCCACAGTCCGCGATTCCTGATCCCGTGCACGTGATCATGGACGCCTATTTGAGGTTGTCACAGGAACTCCAACTTTGAATTTATTGCAAAAGCAACAGCATTTAGATTTTAAAAGTTTTACGATTTCGCCTTTGAGCTCTCTGTTGAAAACGCCATATATTATCGGGCTGATGGCGGTAGTGCTACCAACAACAATGCTATAAAACACGTAAACAAGGCGAGGGCCGAGATATTGGCCAAGAAATACTCCAGCTAAATCGATGACATAAAATGGCGTCCAGCAAATCGTGTAACTCAGTACGATAGCAAACAAAAGTTTTGTTACTTTAATTTCCTTCGCTGAAATTCCGCTGCCGCTTCCATTTCCACCTCCACTGTGTCTCAGTAATGCGTTGTGTTCTTTCACTCTTTGGTAAATCTTGAAATAACAACACGAAATGATAAGATATGGAAACTGAATGTTGAAGAAACCTGTCAAAAAAGCGTGCACCAGATTCAGCTTCGTCACATCAAAGATACAGACTCCCTTTCCGGGATGAAATTCAAACTTGTTGCCGAGAAGCATGTAAGACACAGGAAAATTTCCAGCCAAGATCCATGACACAGCGATCGATATATAAGCGTTCCTCTTTGTAAAGTACTTGCGATGAAGGTTCGATTTTACCATGAGGAAATATCGATTGATTGCAATTAGGGCCATGGAATAAATGGAACCTGTGGCTAACATGGCAGTAATAAATCCTAAAAATTGGCAGAGAGCGTCACTAAATGTCCACTTTCCTTTTAGTACTACCTCGGGGATGAAAATCCAGATGGATAATGACAACAATAACTCCATCGCACTCAGAGAAGCTACATAAAAGTTAGAGATAGTTCTTAGCGATGGAGTCAGGCTTATGACCAGGAGTACAAGAAAATTTCCGCAGACGCCGATTAAACCTACTAACAGAAACACAACCAGTTCTGTGAAAATCTCGGCTTTTGTTCTCGTTGCTAACTGCAAAATGAACACTTTACTTCGATTTAGCTGAGCTTCGTTGTCTGCAAACATCTCAGTTGGATTCTCCTTTTCTTTTACCAGCCGGGAAAACTATTGAACAAGACTGAGATAAAACATTGAAAAACGTTATATAAAATATGCAAAGTGTTTCGAGCCATAAGTTACGACAAATGCCTTTAACTTGAAATATATAGGAAATTCTTCGTCAGAGAGGAAGAGCGAGGCAATGATTGACCGAGGGAGCGCAATATTGGCATGAAATGGATATTTTATGAAACGGATTTTAAAATGTCAAACACAGGAATTCAGGAAAAAGTTTTCTAGAAGAGCAAACGTTTAGTGAGCGAGGATGCCAGCTGTCTTTTGTAAGAAACTTTATGCGTGAACTCTTTACGCCTCAGGGGTTATGATCTTGGGTTCTTTGCTCATACCTAAATTTAATCACAAAAACAATGACTTAGCGCAACAAGGAACTTAACGCCAATTGTACACGAAGTTAAGGACTATAATTTGCAAGATCATTCACAGAGAAGGACATGACTAAAGCTGTCAGCTGATAGAATCAATTAATTGTGAACTGCTCTCCCCCAAATGTCTTCTCCAAGTTGTCCATAATAAATGCGAAAGTTAGCATAATTATGTTTTATTTTTCTTTTTCAGTTCTACCTTGGACAGACTACACGCTACTGTCATGCGATTACTATTGTTTTAGGGACGCACAATGGGATCGGAGCAAATTTTTTTCCTTGTTATAATTTTGTCTTTCACGTCAATCTGATTGTTCGTCTGTACTTTAAATGACTGGTCGGGAAATGGCCAGACTATGTCATGAGTATTCCGTGAAGTGCGCAAAGTAGTTTTCCTTTCTACGTTTCCTTTTTCTTTTCGTTGATGATTCGCTTGCTCTTTAATTTAACTTACTTTCAATTAAACTTAGATCCTGGAATTGTTTCCGTTAAGTCTTGGGGAACATTACATTTGATCAAATTTTCATTAAGATTTAAGAGATATGTCAAAATCAAAATATGAAATCCTTTGATTAGCGAGGGTTCTTCGGGAATAGTGAACCCTTGAAAGAGTTATCAATGTACTTTTCTCCTCAAAATAACGACCAAATTTTCATCGTACCAGTTTAGACAAGGAAATCACAGCGCAAAATATAATGTATATGACATCAAAAGGTTTTCCAGAAACATGTCACTTACCTCATTCGGTTCTTTTAACAGAGGAAGTCCTTCGATATCGTTGAACAGTGAAAAGATTGCTTACTTTTTGGTCAATAAATTCACTTTAATAGAAGTATGGATTTCATCAATTTTTGATGACTGAGTTAAAATTCACTCGCTGAACAACAGCTTTCGCTGCGTGAGATCGCTAGTCGAAGTACAAGTAATTAATTCGAAACTAAGTTTATTTCACCTGTCGAACATGATTCAAATAGTGCTGACAGTTGGTAAACATGGATGAGAAAACAATTGAGGGAACGAATTAGTTGAAATGGAAATCTAGGTTCAGGTTTCCCCCTGTTTTATAGCTACGATTTGCTAAGAGTTTCAATATTCTTTTGTTATTTTGTTCTTATATTTTGACTTAGTCGAGGAACAGTTCTTTCTTGCTTAAAGTAATTTATAATTTTAATTTTTCCCTTTTCTTTACCTCTTAACATAGTTACATGATTCACTTAGCTTTCATCAATAGAAATTAGTGGAAGTTGTATTAAATAGATTCAATATGCACAGTCACAGAGTACTTTACCTCGCGGATATAGTTTCAGTACAGACAATTTTAATCGCTATTTGCATAATAAGAACGGCCCACTGTAATGTTTTATTCATCACACACAAATTTCTCTGAATCAGGGGAAATGAAATAATTACACAAAAAAAGCTTGCGAAAAAACACATTAATTAAGAGTCATATTGTTTTTTAATAAATGTCCAATTTTGCATCCGTCAACATTTTTTTCAAAGATCGAGGCCGAGGCTGATTATTTTTTATCTGACATCTTAGTTTCTTTAGTTCTGGGTTGGGTACTTTCGCTCAACGTGGCAGTATTATTGTTGTTCCTGTTGCCTAACCTAACAATCCTCTTAAACTCCGTTTTAAACTCGCGGTTGAAAAACGCATAAACGACAGGATTCACAGCGCTATTGACGCCAACCATGTATGAATATAGCTGGTAGACTTGACGAGGGAAAGTGTACTTTCCAGTAAACAACTCTGTAGTGTCAACAATCAACACTGGAAGCCAACACAAAACGTAAAAGACAACAACAATGAACAGAAATCTTGTAACGTTTAGATCTTTGGCAGAAATCCTTGGAGAATTATTGGGTCTGTTATTCAGATTAGCTTTGTGTTTCCGAATTGTTAGAAATATCCTGAAATAACTGGAAGAGATTATGCTAAACGTAAACAAGGCGAATGTCATATTCAAGGCGAGCCCCTCTGCAACACTGACGTCATCGAGGTCATAAATGCAACAGAACTTTCCCGGATAGTAGCGGAAGTTTCCTTTCAACAGGAAGTAAATTGGCCAGACGAAGGCGGCTAGCCAGGCGAGTGACAAAGAAGTCAACACTGGTTTCACTTTGAAATACTCTCTGTATAGGTTAGGCCGTACAACTTTGAAATAACGATTTACAGAAGTTAAAGTCAGAATGAAAAGCGACGCTGATCTTAGCGTTGTAGCAGTGTAACCGTGATACGAACATGACGCTTCGCTGTAAGGCCAGCGACCCGCGATCAAAACGCTTAAGGACAGCGGCATAACGAGGAATGACATGAGCACATCGGTCAAAGCCAAGGCCGTAATGTAGTAATTTGGCGTGGTGCGCAGGCGTGGATTTCGCTTGACTGCCCATAAAACCAATGCGTTGCCTAGAAACGCAATCAACATCACTATCACCATAGGAAAGCTCTCCAAAGTAATCTGTAACCACCCTCTCTGCAAAAGGGAACGCGCCATTTGGAGCGACTGTGAAGAGAGATTGACTGGAACGGGCATTGTAATCTTTCCTAGGCTGCCTCGTGTAAAAAACGTGATTTGTGCAACGGTGGTTGGAAAAAAACGTTTTCTGTGCACTGGTGTAGTAAAAAAAAATTGTGATTCTCAGCTAGCTACAAAAAAGTCATGATGAAAATAGAAATAATGAAAACAATAAGAATGAGCGGTGAGACCAGATTATAAATCAAGGCTTACAATAGATGTATAAGGAAGACCTCCACGATTTAACTGGTTTATCTTTAAATTGAAATCTTTAATTCATAGCATAGATACAATACCTCAAAGAAATATGGCTTGATAATATCAAAGAGGAACCTTTGAAACCTAAACAAAAGATCCAGGCGGATTCCCGATTTCGGGAAAATTTCGTCTTAGTTTCTACATGCTCAGTATCTATGAATATGTGCTATACCCAAAGCTATCATACAGTCTAAAAGCTTGCCGGTTTAAATGTACGAATGAATCTACTTTTATTTTAAAACTCTAAGTAAACCATACTATTCTTTGGTCTTACAGCTCCTCTCAGACAATAATGTTTAAATAATCTTAGCTCACGACAAAGAGACCAATTCTTACGCGATTCAGAATTTCAAAGAGATCAAGAATAAAATCTCTGTCTCTTTTGCCCCCCTTCCTATGTATTTCAAATGCGGGAGAGCTGATATTTTCATGCTACCAAAGTGAACACTTTACTTACCTTTGCAGCTCCGTCGTCTAAAACTTAGACATCCTATCTTTTCCAATGCGACAAAAATAATAGTTCCACAGATTTAAAACAATCAGTGTGATGGCTCCAGGGTTCCATTCAGTTAATTGAAATCTTGGTGCCTATAAATAGCGTTTTTTTGGTAACAGCTTAACCACTTTCTCGCAATTCAAATGAGTTTTGCTATTGTAAATACCATGTCATTTATTAGAAACCTCGAGCTCACCATGTGGTGACCGCGAATATTCATGAAAAGTCAAGATTGTTCAAACTTGTTTGATTTTAATTTTAAACCACAACAGATTCACTTAAAAGCTTTCAGTCCTACTTCAAATACGCTTTCAGTAAGTCTTTGCAAATCGACCTGTTCAATTTGGCCATTTAAACTGTAAATTGCAAAACAAAAACCGCGCACTAATCATCGATGGAAGTGAATAATACTTTCTTTAAGATCACTAAATGGATTTGAAGAAAAACTTGTCGCGACAGTCATTGAACTTGAGTTTTTTCGCCAAACCAGTTGGCGAATAACATATATGTATGTTTTGAAATCGCTGTTGATCCCTGTGATCTAATTGGCTTTCAGCAGTGCCATTTATTTACAAATCGCACTATTTTTTGCTCAAAGTTGCATCTTTTTTTCTAGTCAAAGAGAAATCAAGCGTCACCAAAAGAAATCCACTAATCAGATTCCGAGGTTTGTTTAAAGTAGGAGATATGTCAACATGTAGAAATTTTAGATTTCCGGCTCGCTTCTTGCGAAAAAGCGTAACGAAAAGGTGATATTTATTTAAGATGTTGCAAATCTTGCTGATGGAAGTGATTTGAACTTATTAGCAATGCAAAAAATTTGGGAGTTCTGGTCTCGTTTCATGAAATTTATTTGAATTGAAGTCAAATAAAAAGTTTGGCGTAAAGTTGTCAACCATATTTTTGACGTAAAATATGTCGCTATGGTTTTCGTGTGACAGCATGCGCATTCTCGCACTAATGTAAAATTTCTATGGCCTGGATAACGCGCGCTTAACATCATAAAGACCAACAGTTCAAGGGAAAAACAACCGAAAGCCTTTCGAGGTGTCCTCTAAACGAGTTATGGGGCGAATGCACGTAATATAACATATATTTTGTTCTCAACCAGTCGATCTCAGCTCACTTTTGCCTTCTTCTTAATGCTTCAGTTGTATCCTATTTCTGACCAATTACAAATTTTTAGCAGATTTTTGGCAAACCTTACTCGAGCAACAGCAAATTTTTTTCCTTGATATAATTTTTTCTTTCACGTCAATCTGATTGTTCGTCTGTACTTTAAATGACTGGTCGGGAAATGGCCAGACTATGTCATGAGTATTCCGTGAAGTGCGCAAAGTAGTTTTCCTTTTTACGTTTCCTTTTTCTTTCGTTGATGATTCGCTTGCTCTTTAATTTAAGTTACTTTCAATTAAACTTAGATCCTGGAATTGTTTCCGATAAGTCTTGGGAAACATTACATTTGATCAAATTTTCATAAAGATTTAAGAGATATGTCAAAATGAAAATATGAAGTCCTTTAATTAGCGAGGGTTCTTCGAGAATAGTGAACCCTTGAAAGAGTCATCAACCTACTTTTCTTCTCAAAATAGCGACCAAATTTTCATCGTACCAGTTTAGACAAGGAAATCACAGCGCAAAATGTAATATATATGACATCAAAAGGTTTTCCAGAAACATGTCACTTACCTCAATCGGTTCTTTTAACAAAGGACGTCCTCCGATATCGTCGAACAGTGAAAAGATTGCTTACTTTTGGTTCAACCAACCAAACAATTGCTTCTTTTTGTTCCGATTTTAATGCGCGAGTTATTTTAAATTCTGTGCTTGCTCGAGAGCAAAATCGAAACTAAAAACTTCTCAATCAGAGTTCCCCATCTTTCCCTTTGTCTAGAAAGAACAAAATGCCAGAATGACGTTCAAATGACACATTTGGTTTGTGATTGATAGCTGAAGCTTAACCGCACCAATCAGGAACTCCGTGAGTGGGCGAACAGAGTTTTGCAAAATAACAATGACTTCGGGCAGGTGTAATCTTCACTTCCTCACCCCCACCCTTCTCCTTATTTTTGACCGACGATCGCCCCCTTGGCACAGCCTTCAGCTGCCATTAAAATCAAAGATGGCGGCCACAATTTCGTTAAGGAAATACTGAGCACTCCGCGCCAAAATTACGCCTGCTCTGTAGGTTAACAATTACACGGTTTTGTCTTTTGTTCTTTAACTACAAGTGATATATTCCGTTCAGGAAACATTAGTTGAAAGTTACATTTCTTGGGATCAATTCAGACTGACACATTTATTAAGTTAATCGATTGATTGCTACAGAAGTGTCATGAATTCATTTTGAAGTTACAAAAAAAGAGATTTACGAAGGAGTTTAGGGCTCAGCTGGCCATATTTAATTTTGATATTCAATTGACCTGGAAGGATCCTGAAAATTCCAAAGGAATTCAAGGCAATTTGAAAGACAACTCCTAGTCACATTATTTATTTTAGTTTCCAAAAGTCATGTCATACCACCAGGTGGCGACCACCGAATTGACAGCCAACTGGTGCTGATATTTTCCTTGGTTTTACAACGTTCCAATGAAATTGGGGAAAAAAGGAAGGATGGACAGTAGTTAAAATAGACTAGATCAGTCATCTTTCAAAACGATAGAAAATATGTTCAAAACATCAATAACACCAACGAAGGTCATCAGCTGCTTGGAATTACCGCGTTTTGATCGCTCAGCAAGTTGCGAGAACATCGTAGCCTCGGTTCCAGACCCCGACAGTTTCATACGTCCTGGCAAGAATGGCGACCTGAAGTAAGACTGTGTCAAAGAGTTAACATTTCCGGTTTTTTTTTCATCGACAAAAAAGGTCTTTTGATTTGTATCAATATCGTCAGAAGCTGAAATTATGAATATATCAAAGACAGATCTGAACCTACTTTTGCTATTTTTTTAAATCCATCATTTATCAATTAATTATTTTATACATTTTGTGAGCACGTAACAGATGGTTTTTCATTCTCGTAGATATCTTTTGTCTTTTGAATTTTTGTCTCTTCTCACGACGTCCTTCAGCGTTACAGCGGCATGATGATATGATCACGTTCAGTCTGAATCGTGTCTTTGTCTTCTGAAACTTCCTCTGGCATTTTTTTATCAAAGTGGCTGACTTAATTGTTAGGCTAATGAAGAGAAGTTTCGTTTGAGCAAGGACTGACAAAAACAGGAGGAAGTTCCATGTAAACATTTATAAAGCATGTCGATATTATTATAAGAATAATTTAAGATCAGTAAAGTTACTGTATCCCTTGAAATTATTTTATTCGAAATGTTTTCTGGAAATATTTGTTTGTTTTCGTTTTCATCGAAGTTAATGTTCGGGGCCAAGTCAAGAGAGCATTTGAGCTGAACGCTTTGTTTTTACAAATTCATTCTTCAGGTAGTCTATGATTGCTTAATGCTGTGTTGGTGATAACCGATTTATCGAGGGGAATGGACTGACCATGGTGTTATTGCTTTGTCAAAGAAACTACCCTCTGCGCCCCTACGTTGAATTTATGGCTTACGCAATCGTACATTCTGACACATGCACGTGCGTTTAATATTAAGAGAGCTGCACCTTATGATTGGAACTAAAGCGCCTGATATCCATGTCATGATGCGATTCACTGGTCGGTGTGGACAAGTCTTGTATTTTTGCAGTATTTCAAGGTATCCTTGCACTATGGGGAACTATATATGCAAATAATTATTCTGCTAAGTACACTGCCAAGATTGGTAGCTCTATAAGTGGTTTACTATCTAAGTATGTTACCTGGTCATAAAAACCAGATGCCTCGGCATCGGCCAACTCGAATTTTACTTTACTTCATTGATTTGATAACTCTATAAACAGTCCTGAAAGTTTCAAATTACCGGTAGGTGTAGAAGGAAAGAATGAAACAGGAACACTGTCCAAATGCTTATTTTTTCATTTTACTGCACGACTGTCTAACACACAACTGAAACGCAAGTCAACTTTTCCTTCAAAAATCTCCGTTTTCAGTGTTGTGCGAAATGTCATCTGTTCTCAGCTTCTTACAGTTTTCATAATTCAGGGTAATGGTAAAACATTGTTTAACTGATCTGTCAAATTTCTTCGGAAAAACTACGCTAATTATGTGCAAAATAAATTTCTGTAAAAGCTTCGCAGACACAGCAGCCTTTGCATTGTGCGCTTTAGCTGATTCTATTGTGTATCTATCAATTACATTTACATTTCAATTTATTCTCATCACTTGTCTGGTTGATATTGTATTGATACCGTAAGGAGAAATTCTGTCTTGGTCACTTGTGGGAGTTAAAGGGTTAAAGACATTCTCCACCGGAGAGGGATATGACATTAGAAATTGTTGTTATCTCGGACGCACTCTTATTTGCAGTTGCTCACTGTTTCGAAGGTGGCCAGCCCATATTCAGTTCGTAAAAGGGTTAGATGAACTGTAAGCTCAGCGGAGCTCTGTGTATTTTTAACCGAGTGCAGGGTTAAGTGGAGATGTCTGTTCAGAGCTCGAAGGCTTCTCGTAAGTGCATATGAACTCGAACTTTGTCTAAATTAGGCTTCGCTGAAATGTTATGCAATAAATTCCTCATTCAAATTTGTTTGTTTACTCTGATAATTTCTCTACCTATCGTTTTTGCGGATCAGCACTTTTCCCTTTATTTACTCAGCCGCTGTAGCATCAGTTCATCTTTTCACTGCACACCCTGGTACTACATTATATTATTTATTACCATGCTTTAATCTCAGAACCTCGCTTTTGTAAGGAGGACCATGATACGCAAAAGATAACTGCCGTGTGTATCTCTAACTAACTTCTGCTATCAATTAATCTTAAGTAACCTATACCTGTGAGGAAAAGTGACTTTGACCTCAAGTTTTACACTATGTCTTACTTATTTTGTGTTTTAAATTTTACTTTTTTAGGAGAGTCCTGGGTTTCAATGATGAATTTTTTTTTCCTGAGAAGCCCATTTTATACACTTTAAAATGACATATTGTAGGTGTTATTCCTGTAAATGTTTGTTGAGATATGAATTAAAAACTGAATGTGGACAAATCTTCGCTAATTTTTTTGGAATGACATGGGTGCACATAAAAATTCATAAAAAATTCATTATTCTTTTTCTTTCAGATTTTCAGGAAATGTTGCTGACATGTTAATAATTAACTTCTGCTATCAATTAATCTTGATTAACCTATACCTATAAGGAAAAGTGACTTTTACCTCAAGTTTTACACTATGTCTTACTTATTTTGTGTTTTAAATTTTACTTTTTAGGAAAGTCCTGGGTTTCAATGATGAATTTTTTTTTCCTGAGAAGCCCATTCTATACACTTTAAAATGACATATTGTAGGTGTTATTCCTGTAAATATTTGTTGAGATATGAATTAAAAACTGAATGTGGACAAATTTGTGCGTTTTTAACTGCTGGTGTTGGGTTAAGGACTATCTTTCGCTGTCCTAGAGACAGACAACAACCAGCCAAAGCGACACGTCGAAGGGCATTTCATTGCCTCTATATGTGATCAAATTGTTGCGTTGCTTATTTTTCCCTTTGGTAACAAATTCTTTAATAGCTTCCGGGACAGTGGTTTGCCAAACGTAACTGAGAGGCGGAAAGAAAATCTTTTTCTTCTAATATACTCAATGATGAGCAAAAATTCTAAAAGTGTAAATAAATATATATCAGTAATCTAGTGTTTACTTACTCAATGTAACATAATCTCCACAGTAATCCCTAAAATCCTGTCACCAATTAATTTTCATCATTATCGTCGTTTTTACGTGTTGACAGAAAATAACAGAATTTTTAAAAAAATAGAAAGGGTAAGTATGTTCTTTTGAGTGTAGGTTTTGGTGGAGGGTTCGGGGTAAAATGTCAAGGTTTCAAAAAAAATTCCAAATTGATTGATTAATTTATTTGTATGTTTATTTAGAACTCATAAATATATCATTACTTGTATCTCGTGATCGTAAGACAAAAATACCAGGATGTTAGCTCTCTCGTTTTCACTCTTCAGCACTTTCTCTCATTCTCCTATTTCACTTACGCATGTTTCAGTAAGTTATTCGTAATGCAGAATTTTAGACAGCGTTCTCCTTTCAAAATAATCTCTGTTGGAAGTCTTTTAATACTTCCGTTGAGAAGACCTTGCTCGGAGAAAGTTGCTAAAAATCCTCCCACGACTTCATGAACCTCTATATAACGTGGTCCTTGGAAGGACGAGCGATATTCTTTGCCTCAGTAATACGAAAATCTATGATAAAGTACCTTGATATTTTAAGTCCCTTGGGCTCATAAAAGGAAACCCGCGAAGGCGAAGAGAAAAGAGTAGGAAATTTTGCGACCACAAGATACAAAATATGTTAATTTAAAACTATAAATACGTGATTCACAGAACTTCACGAAGTCAAATGGAGGAAACTTAAAGCGTTATAGACGAAATTTACATCGTACATATAAAAAAGCGGCGTTAAATTACGACTGCAACGCAGTTAGGGGGGAAGGGGAAGTGAGACACTGATAACTCACTGGTAGCTCGATATTTGCTCTTGTTGTGGAGCCCATGGTCCAAATCCCTTTCTTTCTTTATTTTTTTCTCTAAAATACCTCAGCCGTCGAAATTCATCACCAAAAGGATCTCTTGACCGCTGAAACAGCCACCATAAATGACCAAGTTTTGTTTTGCGTTATCCAGGCGCGAATGTCGACAAATTTATGAACCTCGCTGCGCTCGAGGAAAAATAAGTAAAAATAAAGATTAAATAAATAAATCGTTGGCATGTTTTGGATTGGTTGGATTTTAAGGATTTTGATTGGTTGGATTTTAAGTACGTGCTCTTTTGCATAGTTGACTGATTACATGGATAACTCAAAGTAAAAAGTGAAGGAGACTAGAGTGAATATATAAAGACACATGAAAAGGAAAATTCCCCATGATGGACCAAAATTTAGATATGAAACAAAATTAATGAAAACACAGTGAAAGGCACCTATATTGTTTATGGTCGCTCCGATGTCTTCGAAAGAATATAAGTCCGAAAGCGACTACAAGGATCAGAATAAAAATGGCCAGTAGCACCACAACAATCACAATCAGGTTAGGCTTGCTAGCATGCACATCGTCTGCCAAGGGATATTCAGTGATAGTCTTCCCAAACGTGACCCCTTAATTTCGATGAAATGTGTAGCTGCTGAAAGGCAAAATTATATTATAGATCAGATCGTAGGAGTTCAACGGCGTCAAAACATGGCGAAGCAGGTCAAGTACTTGTGACATCTTTGAACAAAGAAGACATTGCTAATATTGTTGAAAATAGCTTTTCTTTCTTAGTTCTATGATTTCCAATAACTTTTTAACAATTTCAAGTTTAATATCTCGCCGAAGAACAGCTTTGCTACACGACATCTCGAGCCCAAAAAAAATTTTAATTTTAATCGATTCGCATCCCTTTTTGTATGTTACTTCACCTGCCCTGTTTGTCATTCAAATTAAAATGACAGTTGATAAAAAGAAAAAATTAAATCAATAAACGGAATGAAATGACTGGAAGGGAAATCTTGGTTTCAGGTTTCTGTTTGGGAAACGCATTAAAGACATTTGGGGAAGAAATCCTTTTTACTCAAGGCAATCTTTATTTCTATATCTCTGAGTGATAATATCATTCAGTGAGCCACCATTGATTGAAATATTTATAAGTTATTACAGAGATGCAGTACATATATATATATATATATATATACATCATAAAACAACTTTACAAATATAGTTTCAGCATGAGTAATTGGCAGTAATTAGCATAACACCAGCACCAACTATCATAATTTATTCATTACATTTTACTTAAACTCATGAGGGGAAATAAAATTTTAGAGGGCTGAACCTTTTGTCAAAGAAATTTCAATAATCCTTTGTTAGATCTGATACGGTTTTATGTTCGTTTGTAATCTTTCTGAGATTGTACTGAGAATCAATATCATATAATTTTTAGGCTATTTGTCAGAGCTAGCCATCTAAATTTGTTTCTGTTTGTGCGGATACAAATCTTCCACAGTCCGCGATTCCTGATCCCGGGCACGTGATCATGGACGCCTATTTGAGGTTGTCACAGGAACTCCAACTTTGAATTTATTGCAAAAGCAACAGCATTTAGATTTTGAAAGTTTTACGATTTCGCCTTTGAGCTCTCTGTTGAAAACTCCATATATTATCGGGCTGATGGCGGTAGTGCTACCAATAACAATGCTATAAAACACGTAAACAAGGCGAGGAGCGAAATATTGGCCAAGAAATACTCCAGCTAAATCGATGACATAAAATGGCGTCCAGCAAATCGTGTAACTCAGCACGATAGCAAACAAAAGTTTTGTTACTTTAATTTCCTTCGCTGAAATTCCGCTGCCACTTCCATTTCCACCTCCACTGTGTCTCAGTAATGCGTTGTGTTCTTTCACTCTTTGGTAAATCTTGAAATAACAACAAGAAATGATAAGATATGGAAGCTGAATGTTAAAGAAACCTGTCAAAAAAGCGTGCACCAGATTCAGCTTCGTCACATCAAAGATACAGACTCCCTTTCCGGGATGAAATTTAAACTTGTTGCCGAGAAACATGTAAGACACAGGAAAATTTCCAGCCAAGATCCATGACACAGCGATCGATATGTAAGCGTTCCTCTTTGTAAAGTACTTGCGATGAAGGTTCGATTTTACCATGAGGAAATATCGATTGATTGCAATTAGGGCCATGGAATAAATGGAACCTGTGGCTAACATGGCAGTAATGAATCCTAAAAATTGGCAGAGAGCGTCACCAAATGTCCACTTTCCTTTTAGTACTACCTCGGGGATGAAAATCCAGAGGGATAATGACAACAATAACTCCATCGCACTCAGAGAAGCTACATAAAAGTTAGAGATAGTTCTTAGCGATGGAGTCAGGCTTATGACCAGGAGTACAAGAAAATTTCCGCAGACGCCGATTAAACCTACTAACAGAAACACAACCAGTTCTGTGAAAATCTCGGCTTTTGTTCTCGTTGCTAACTGCAAAGTGAACATTTTACTTCGATTTAGCTGAGCTTCGTTGTCTGCAAACATCTCAGTTGGATTCTCCTTTTCTTTTACCAGCCGGGAAAACTATTGAACAAGACTGAGATAAAACATTGATAAACGTTATATAAAATATGCAAAGTGTTTCGAGCCATAAGTTACGACAAATGCCTTTAACTTGAAATATATAGGAAATTCGTCGTCAGAGAGGAAGAGCGAGGCAATGATTGACCGAGGGAGCGCAATATTGGCATGAAATGGATATTTTATGAAACGGATTTTAAAATGTCAAACGCAGGAATTCAGGAAAAAGTTTTCTAGAAGAGCAAACGTTTAGTGAGCGAGGATGCCAGCTGTCTTTTGTAAGAAACTTTATGCGTGAACTCTTTACGCCTCAGGGGTTATGATCTTGGGTTCTTTGCTCATACCTAAATTTAATTACAAAAACAATGACTTAGCGCAACAAGGAACTTAACGCCAATTGTACACGAAGTTAAGGACTATAATTTGCAAGATCATTCACAGAGAAGGACATGACTAAAGCTGTCAGCTGATAGAATCAATTGATTGTGAACTGCCTCTTCCCCAAATGTCTTCTCCAAGTTGTCCATAATAAATGCGACAGTTAGCATAATTATGTTTTATTTTTCTTTTTCAGTTCTACCTTGGACAGACTACACGCTACTGTCATGCGATTACTATTGTTTTAGGGACGCACAATGGGATCGGAGCAAATTTTTTCCTTGATATAATTTTTTCTTTCACGTCAATCTGATTGTTCGTCTGTACTTTAAATGACTGGTCGGGAAATGGCCAGACTATGTCATGAGTATTCCGTGAAGTGCGCAAAGTAGTTTTCCTTTTTACGTTTCCTTTTTCTTTTCGTTGATGATTCGCTTGCTCTTTAATTTAAGTTACTTTCAATTAAACTTAGATCCTGGAATTGTTTCCGTTAAGTCTTGGGGAACATTACATTTGATCAAATTTTCATAAAGATTTAAGAAATATGTCAAAATGAAAATATGAAATCCTTTGATTAGCGAGGGTTCTTCGGGAATAGTGAACCCTTGAAAGAGTTATCAACGTACTTTTCTCCTCAAAATAACGACCAAATTTTCATCGTACCAGTTTAGACAAGGAAATCACAGCGCAAAATATAATGTATATGACATCAAAAGGTTTTCCAGAAACATGTCACTTACCTCATTCGGTTCTTTTAACAGAGGACGTCCTTCGATATCGTTCAACAGTGAAAAGATTGCTTACCTTTTGGTCAATAACTTCACTTTAATAGAACCATGGATTTCGTCAATTTTTGATGACTTTGAGTTAAAATTCACTCGCTGAACAACAGCTTTCGCTGCGTGAGATCGCTAATCGAAGTACAAGTAATTAATTCGAAACTAAGTTTATTTCACCTGTCGAACATGATTCAAATAGTGCTGACAGTTGGTAAACATGGATGAGAAAACAATTGAGGAAACGAATTAGTTCAAATGGAAATCTAGGTTCAGGTTTCCCCCTGTTTTATAGCTACGATTTACTAAGAGTTTTAATATTCTTTTGTTATTTTATTCTTATATTTCGACTCAGTCGAGGAACAGTTCTTTCTTGCTTAAAGTAATTTATAATTTTAATTTTTCCCTTTTCTTTACCTCTTAACATAGTTACATGATTCACTTAGCTTTCATCAATAGAAATTAGTGGAAGTTGTATTAAATAGATTCAATATGCACAGTCACAGAGTACTTTACCTCGCGGATATAGTTTCAGTACAGACAATTTTAATCGCTATTTGCATAATAAGAACGGCCCACTGTAATGTTTTATTCATCACACACAAATTTCTCTGAATCAGGGGAAATGAAATAATTACACAAAAAAAGCTTGCGAAAAAACACATTAATTAAGAGTCATATTGTTTTTTAATAACTGTCCAATTTTGCATCCGTGAACATTATCTGGCTGATTATTTTTTATCTGACATCTTAGTTTCTTTAGTTCTGGGTTGGGTACTTTCGCTCAACGTGGCAGTATTACATTGTTTTTCCTGTTGCCTAACCTAACAATCCTGTTAAACTCCGTTTTAAACTCGCGGTTGAAAAACGCAGCGCTGTTGACGCCAACCATGTATGAATATAGCTGGTAGACTTGACGGGGGAAAGTGTACTTTCCAGTAAACAACTCTGTAGTGTCAACAATCAACACTGGAAACCAACACAAAACGTAAAAGACAACAACAATAAACAGAAGTCTTGTAATGTTTAGATCTTTGGCAGAAACCCTTGGAGAATTATTGGATCTGTTATTCAGATTAGCTTTGTGTTTCCGAATTGTTAGAAATATCCTGAAATAACTGGAAGAGATTATGCTAAACGTAAACAAGGCGAATGTCATATTCAAAGCGAGCCCCTCTGCAACACTGACGTCATCGAGGTCATAAATGCAACAGAACTTTCCCGGATGGTAGCGGAAGTTTCCTTTCAACAGGAAGTAAATTGGCCAGACGAAGGCGGCTAGCCAGGCGAGTGACAAAGAAGTCAACACTGGTTTCACTTTGAAATACTCTCTGTATAGGTTAGGCCGTACAACTTTGAAATAACGATTTACAGAAGTTAAAGTCAGAATGAAAAGCGACGCTGATCCTAGCGTTGTAGCAGTGTAACCGTGATACGAACATGACGCTTCGCTGTAAGGCCAGCGACCTGCGATCAAAACGCTTAAGGACAGCGGCATAACGAGGAATGACATGAGCACATCGGTCAAAGCCAAGGCCGTAATGTAGTAATTTGGCGTGGTGCGCAGGCGTGGATTTCGCTTGACTGCCCATAAAACCAATGCGTTGCCTAGAAACGCAATCAACATCACTATCACCATAGGAAAGCTCTCCAAAGTAATCTGTAACCACCCTCTCTGCAAAAGGGAACGCGCCATTTGGAGCGACTGTGAAGAGAGATTGACTGGAACGGGCATTGTAATCTTTCCTAGGCTGCCTCGTGTAAAAAACGTGATTTGTGCAACGGTGGTTGGAAAAAAACGTTTTCTGTGCACTGGTGTAGTAAAAAAAATTGTGATTCTCAGCTAGCTATAAAAAAGTCATGATGAAAATAGAAGTAATTAAAAAAAAAAGAATGAGCTGTGAGACCAGATTATAAATCAAGGCTTACAATAGATCTATAAGGAAGACCTCCACGATTTAACTGGTTTATCTTTTAATTGAAATCTTTAATTCATAGCATAGATACAATACCTCCAAGAAATATGGCTTGATAATATCAAAGAGGAACCTTTGAAACCTAAACAAAAGATCCAGGCGGATTCCCGATTTCGGGAAAATTTCGTCTCAGTTTCCACATGATGAGTATCGGTGAATATGTGCTATACCCAAAGCTATCATACAGTCTAAAAGCTTGCCGATCTAAATGTACGAATGAATCTACTTTTATTTTAAAACTCTAAGTAAACAATACTATTCTTTGGTTTTCTAGCTCATCTCAGACGATAATGTATAATAATCTTAGCTTACGACAAAGAGACCACTTCTTACGCTATTCAGAATTTCAAAGAGATCAAGAATAAAATCTCTGTCACTTTGCCCCCCTTCCTATGTATTTCAAATGCGGGGAAGCTGATATTTTCATGCTATCAAAGTGAACACTTTACTTACCTTTGCAATTCCGTCGTCTAAAACTTAGACACTTTTCCAATGCGACAAAATAATAGTTCCACAAATTTAAAACAATCAGTGTGATGGCTCCAGGGTTCCATTCAGTTAATTGAAATCTTGGTGCCTATAAATAGCGTTTTTTTGGTAACAGCTTAACCACTTTCTCGCAATTCAAATGAGTTTTGCTATTGTAAATACCATGTCATTTATTAGAAACCTCGAGCTCACCATGTGGTGACCGCGAATATTCATGAAAAGTCAAGATTGTTCAAACTTGTTTGATTTTAATTTTAAACCACAACAGATTCACTTCACTCACTAAAAGTTTTCAGTCCTATTTCAAATACGCTTTCAATAAGTCTTTGCAAATCGACCTGTTCAATTTGGCCATTTAAACTGTAAATTGCAAAACAAAAACCGCGCTCTAATCATCGATGGAAGTGAATAATACTTTCGACAGTCATTGAACTTGAGTTTTTTTAAGATCACTAAATGTTTTTTTTTTTTTTCAAAAGTAAACTTTTTGTCGCGACAGTCATTGAACTTGAGACTTTTACTTGTAAAAAAACCAGTTGGCGTTTTTAAATCACTTTTATCACTGTAAAAATAACGGTGAAATATATGTATGTTTTAACAAAATCTCGCTCTGTTGATCAACCTGTTGATCCTGGAATTTGTGATCTAATTAAAAACGTTTTCAGCAGTGCCATTTAGTTTTTACAAATCGAATAACACTATTTTTTTGCTCAAACATTTATTTGCATCTTTTGCTCCAAGTTGCATCTTTTTTTCTAGTCAAAGAGAAATCAAGCATCACCAAAACAAATCCACCAATCAGATTCCGAGGTTTGTTTAAAGTAGAAGAGATGTCAAAATGTGGAAATTTTAGATTTCCGGTTCGCATCTCGCGAAAAAGCGTAACAAAAAGGTAATATTTATTTAAGATGTTGCAAATCTTGCCAATGGAAGTGATTTGAACTTATTAGCAATGCAAAAAGTTTGGGAGTTCTTGTCTCGTTTCATGAAATTTATTTGAATTCAAGTCAAATAAAAAGTTTGACGTAAAGTTGTCAACCATATTTTTGACGTAGAATATGTCACCATGGTTTTCGTGTGACAGCATGCGCATCTCACAAATATAAAATTTCTATGGCCTGGATAACGCGCGCTTGACATCATAAAGACCAACGGTTCAAGGGGAAAAAACGATCGAAAGCCTGCCGAGGTGTCCGCTAAACGAATTATGGAGCGAATGCACGTAATATAAAATACATTTTGAATAAAGTTCTCAACCAGTCGATCTCAGCTCACCTTTGCCTTCTTCTGAACGCTTCGGTTGTATCCCATTTCTGACCAATTACAAATTTTTAGCAGATTTTCGGCAAACCTTACTTGAGCAACAGCAGCCGGGATATGACCCGTCACGCCGTCCGGCAACGTGCGTCGCTTTTACTCATGAAGCTCCATGAAGCTGTTAGGGACCTTTAGCAGTTAGGACAGCAACGCTAAGGGAGACGTTGATTTTAAAATGAATTTATATTCTTAGTTGGAATCTCGGGAATTACTGGATGTTTACCGGCGCCACAAGTTAACCTCAGCATATCGTATGAGAGCGGCGTTGAGTACTAAATGGAAACTTGAATATTTTGCCGTCGGATTCCCTCTTTGCGACTACGCAAATTTTGATGATTACACGGTGCTGTTTTGCAGAGTACGGCTAGGAAATGTACACAGTTTTAAAACGCAAGTGCTGAGCTATTGTTCTGCTCATTAGATCTTTTGTTTTGCCACGTCCTCGTTGCCGTCATGCGCGCGCTGAAGGCGTGCTGACGACATTTGTATGTATAAGTTATGACATGACTCAGGGCCTCCTCATATGAGCCTGGTTGACCGGGCTGGCCCTGTTTCCGAGATCTCGCCTTACCTCTAAATCCTTTGTAAAATTTTGGATGTGTTCATATGAAAGGGTGGCCTGGTTCGGTTACCGAGATCTCGGTTTTTCCAACCGAGACCTCGGTAAGCGGGCTGGAAAATTTTGCCATATGAACACTTCATTCCGGGTACCAGGATGAATTCCTCGCAATAGCGCATGCGTTAAATGGTCGATGACGTAGCAGCGCAGTTTCATCACACAACTAGGCGGCCCGAATGGCATAGTTTTGCTTTGCCTGATGAATTTTCCAAATCATTAGCAACCCGTTTAACTGAAGCGATAAAGCTAAAATGGTTGCCAAGGCCATGATAGGCGCAAAAGTATTAACTCGATTGCGTTTCGCCATCTTTGTTTTGTTTTTTAATTTCGCGCCAAAACTCGTCCCAGGATCTGCGGCCTTTTCTTATCTCGGAAACCGGGCTGAATTTTCTCATATGAACCCAAGGTGAAATTCGTCCCGGTAAGCGGGCCAGCCCAGTCAACTGAGCTCATATGAAGAGGCCCTCAGAGAGCAATTTGCTCTCATTAAGTACGTGTAAATTTTTCAAATACAAAGTCCCGAGGGCGAGTGCAATTCGTAGTTTAAAATATTTAGATAAAAACGAGGCAAAACCACGTGATAATTTCTGTCTCAGAGAGCACAATCTCTTTGATGCGATAATTCCATTTCTACAGGATCAGTGTTCATGGCATTCAAAGTGGAAAAGTTATGGATGGTTTGAAATAGAAATCTCGTACCCAGATCTCCGCTTCACCCACAAAAGAGATCTGGGTGCGAGGTTTATCTGGATATAATTATTAACTTTATTTTTGGACCACTCGGCGTTGTTTCTTTTGTAAATGGATTCGTTTCCACTATCTCTGAGTTTGGGCTATGTGCCATTTTCTTCCCTCTCTCCCTTTTTTTTTCAGTTTGATTGCCTTTCATCAGAAATCTAAATATCCAAATATAGTGATTTACCATTGCGTCATACTACTGTGCGCATGTACTTTCCCAGTCGGTTGCCAACATGGCGGCTCGGCGAACGGGATTACTGCTATTCCAACGATGTAATTTTTGTTCGAGAGAAACACTCAAGCGAAGATTTGGCTCTATTGTGTGCAGTTTTTCAAGAATTGGAAATAATTTACTGGTTGCGTCACGTAGAAATGGAATTTTCTTTTTGTCGGGTGAGAACTTGCTTCCGTATATCAGCTGACATAACACAACTTTTTCGAAAACAACCTTACATAATCGTTTTAACTGCTTTGTCACCTCTATCCTCAGCGTCTTCGCGCAAGATTAACCCCTCATTTTTGGGAGCGATTTCGTCTCATAGAGAATTTCACACGTCAGGTTAGTAAAACAAATATTATCAGACAGATTTCACCGGCGATATTTTGCGACGATCGCAGTTTCAACCCACGTGTTCTTGCTATGTGAAATATTGGAAATGCCGGTATGAGTTAAATTTTTGAATGATCTTTTTGATGTCGCTTCTTATTTGAATATATTTTGGTGATAGCTACGTATGAATCGAGAAGAAAGATGGTAACAATTTTTTACTTTAGTCCAGTACAAAAAAAAATTGCGTTTGCCATACTGTCCTGAGTGTTTCCATCAGCAATGACGTTTGCGAAATATTCTGTTATTGTTTTTGTCATGAAACCTTTTTTCTCCACAGATCCAACTTACAAGAAAGATTACTACAAAATTCTTGGAGTACCACGTAATGCAGACCAAAAGGAAATAAAAAAGGCGTACTTTAATGTGAGTACATGTACACTTCGTGCTACATAGGTGTTGACACACCTTTGGATCGACATTTCAACATGATTCTTATCGTATCTGGCAAAAAGAAAGAGTCGAGAAATCCTGATACCTTTCCTATGGTAACTTTAGTAAGATGCTGTGATCAACAGAATTTTACCACCTGTGTCATCTTTTCAAAACACCAACATGAACATTCTCTAAACACATTGACTTGTCAGGACCTTTAATAAAAGGCACATAATCTGTAGCATGCATGAGCTGCAACAATAAGGGAAGAATTTACAGATGATAGGAAAGTGGTGGAGAGAAAAGGGTTTCTCCACACATTTCCAGAGAAGAAGGTAAAGGAGAAGGAACCTTACTTCACTTGAAATTAAAGATGTGGACTATTCAGATACTAGCACTACATCATACTTACTTTCCTCCTATAACTAGTCCTATTTATTCTCTTTAACTCTTTACACCCTAACATCAGTAGACAAATTCTCCATACTGTTCTTTATACATTTCTTGTGGTATTGACAAGGAGGAATTGTTTATAAATCAAGATATTCCTGAAAAGGTTAATTATTTCCCACATAATGTATGGATAAATTATATTTTAGTTACTCTGAAGAGTTTAAACCAACAGTAGATGCAATGAAGTAAGCATGTAATTTTCACCTTATGATTCAAGCCTGTGTACCAACTGGGCATGTTTTTTTTATTATTATTAATTTATTTCTTTTGCATCCAGAGTTACACACATTGCTTAACATCCACTTTCCTCTTTCAGTTGGCAAAAAAATACCACCCCGATACAAATAAAGGTGCTGATGCAGCTGAAAAGTTTCAGGAAATAAGTGAAGCATATGAGGTATGTTACTGGTAATATACTATGGGACATTTTTTTTTTTGGTATTTGACTATAAATTTTTTCAATATTGATGACATTTGGCCAAAAAAACTCCCTTCATCATGCCTGGCCTCTTTACTTGAATACACCATGTCAAGATGTTGTTCCTGGGTTTCAGGTTTTGCCTATGAATCTTTCCTTTACTGTGTGGGAAACATCACTTTTAAAAATTTAAATGGGAAAAAAGTTTAAAAAAAAGGACAAAAGGATAAGAGTGGTGAAGGATGCAGATCAGAGACATGGAAAATAACAGAGAGACTTTTTTAGCTCTCCCAAAACTTCCTGCTAAAGCTGATAGGTGACAGACTTTTTCTTAACTGATAAAGAAGTAAAGAGGGTCAAAGTTACTTTCATGACCAGATGCTGTCACTATTACAATGAGAAAAAAACTGTATTTTACAGTACTGTTGTGACCCAAAATTTTTTCTCATAAATCCACATTCTCCTCAGGTTTTGAGTGATGACAACAAAAGGAGTACATATGACAATTTTGGAACTACAGATTTTAGTGGTGCAGCAGGTAAACAGTCTTTGTGGTGGCACATTTATAACCATTTGGTTTCTTGATATGTTAGTTTTTCATTTTGATTAATTAGCAGCTCTTTTACAGTTAAAAGCTTGGAAATTTCACTTTGCAATTTTGTCCCTTAAAGTTAAATGTAGTGGAGGAAAATACTGACCTTGGTGGTTGAAATTATCTCTTCTAGGCGGTAACCCATATGGTGGTGGAAATCCTTTTGGTGAAGGCATTGATCCAGAAGATATCCTAAAAAACTTCTTTCGTGGAGGAGACAATCCCTTTGGCTTTGGGACCAGAAGTGGAGGATTTGGCTCTGACTTTCAAGAAATCCAGCAGGTCAGACATTCAAAAACTAAACAATTTTGCCTCTTTTTTACCCCCCTTCCTGATAGTTTCTTTAAAATAAAACATCACATATTTATTTTGATTATATATTCCTGTTATAACATATTGAAAGTTAGCAGCAGTTAAGTGTCACCCTGACACCATTGTCAAGGTAATCAAACAACTTATTAACCCTTTGACTCCCATGACTGATCAAGACAGAATTTCTCCTTACAATATCAATACAATATCAACCAGATATGAGATGAGAATAAAGAAAACTATCAATTTGGGGATAATTAGGTGATTGAATACTAAATTCTCTGAACTAGCATTATAAGAATTGTGTGGTTGACAGTAAGGAGAATTATGAATTTGATCTGGGAGTTAAAGTGTTAAAGGCTTTGCACTTCTGGTTTGGACTATATAGTTACCTTCTGTTCAATATTTTTCTCAGTTACTAAGAAGATTGCATCATGATAATATTGGAATATCATTCACTTTCATTAGTTTTTATCAGTCAGTGAATTTTGAAATTCACATGTCGTGTTTAATTTGGGAATTGTCCAGGAAACATAACTGCATTTTATTTCATGATGTTATTTACATTTTTGCTTCAGCATGTTCTAAACCTGTCTTTCATGGATGCTGCCAAGGGTTGCAATAAAGATATTACAACAAGAACAAAAGTAGTATGTAACAGATGCAATGGCAAACGAGCAGAACCTGGAACCACTTATTCGCAATGTCCCACTTGTAAAGGAACTGGAGAAGTAAGAATTGTTCATCTGTGTTGCTCTTTGCTCTTTACATTAGTGTGAGATCTTGAATAATTTTTTTGTACTGTAAATGGTTTCAATAGGAGGGTAACAATTTGATTGCATAGTGTGATTTTCTAGATGGGGCATCCCAGAGAAGGATAGTTTTTTGCAGTGGCAACTGATGTCTCAACAACCTTGGCTGAAGTTGTGATAGTCTCGACTCTGAAGATGACTTCCTCTGAGGTTGTTGAAATACCAGTTACTTTTACTGACAGCAGTCCTTCTCAGGAGTACATGTACCTCCAGCTGGATAATTGGAGTAAAGGATCACAGTTATCTGTGCAAGATAGCAGAAGCATAAACCATGTTAATTTGTTTTCAGGAAACAGTTAACACGGGATTCTTTCATATGAGATCAACCTGCCGGCGCTGTGGCGGCCAGGGTGTTTTTATAAGCTCACCATGCAAGAAGTGTAATGGAAAAGGAAGAGTGAATGAAACGAAGACAATTACTATCCCAATTCCTGCTGGTGTGTAAATCAGTAAAATGTTGTATTCTCTTGACCATGATAAAAATTTTTGAGATAATTTGTGCAGCTGCTCATCAAACTTTTAACTCTGAGAAGTTATTGACAATTCAGCAGATTGGTTGGTGTGTGGATAGCAGTTTTTTTCGATGGATAGTTCTAATCCATTCTTTGAATGATTTGAACAATTATGACAAGTTTTGTTACAAAGATGGCTAGTCAATTTTGTGAAAATGTAGTCATCGTTTTAATACTTTTTTAACTTGCAGGAGTTGAAGATGGGCAAACTGTCAGGGTGCCAGTTGAAGCTGGAGAAGTATTTGTAACATTTAAGGTTTGTGAAAAAATCAATGTATTAGTGTGTACAAATTTTGGTTTTTCAGTAAGTGTGGATATGAAAGTAAATTAAGTTTTTTTTTACCCAGGATAAGTGTTGAATCTGTTTTTTACCCAGGATAAGTGTTGAATCTGTTTTTTACCCAGGATAAGTGTTGAATCTTCTTTTGCCATATGTTTGGCTTGTGTTCATAGGTTAGTGAGAGTAAAGTGTTTGAAAGAGAAGGAGCAAACGTCAGTTCAACAGTGACAATCAGCTTTACACAGGTAATGTACATGTACCTCATCATCTTTGTATTCTCTAACTTGTTGAAGCTTTGTGGGCATGGTGAAATATCAAACCTCCACAAGTGGCAACTTGTATCTCTCTACAAGAACAACAGAAATTAAAGCATCTCATTGGTCATAAAATGTACTCACAGTGCCTAGTTCACTGACAGATCAGTACTTTATTTAATGTGTCAGTACACAGATGGGGTCAAAATATGTTCCAAACATATTTTGACATCTCCTGTGATGTATTACTGCTCAGACCCACAGCAACATGGAATCCTATTTGTTTAATATGATAAAAAAGCAAAATGTTGTTAATGGTGACATCTGTGCACCTGTCCTCCAATAGATCATAATTCAGTCTTATTGTGCTCCTACAACTCATTTTGGCATGCTCTTAACAATGGCCAGTTTTCTTAAATATCTCTGTCATTTATCTCTAGGCCATTCTGGGAGGCACGATACGTTCTCCCGGTATTCATGGAGAGATTGAAATCAAGGTGGGTGTAAGTCACACAGTCAGGGATATCTTAGTGAAGTTAATATGTTTTGCTATGATTGCAGATTTTTCAATAATATATGGTACAGTACCAATTGATAGGTTAGAATAGCAGGTTGATGTTTTGAAAGACTCCAGGGCCTTCTGTTTCTAGGAAGATTCAGGCTTCAGTGGGAAATTCTGAAGTTCTGGACCCTGTAGTTCCATTTTCCTGGTTTTTGAGGTCTAATACAATCCACTTGGCTTTGTTGTTCCAAGAAGCAAACCATATTGAACAAAATGATGTGAAGAGATTCACAAGTATGTTTTAAAGTGCAATGATGTTAGCATAAAGAATACAAGTGGATAACCAGCTTATTACAAGGGTGTAGATCACTCACTATGTGGCTGCTCACCAAGCCCCTAGCCTTGCCAACCACCCCTTCCCCCCTTTGTAGTGTTTTGTCTGATTCTTTTTTGTTTTTTCCCTTAGATCCCTCCTGGTACTCAGTCTCACCAGAAGCTCCGTCTGTCAGGGCGTGGCATTCAAAGATTAAACGGCGTTGGCAAAGGAGACCATTTTGTGAATTTTAAAATACATATACCCAAGTAAGTCAGATTGAAGCTTGTAGGACATTGATTTCTACATTTTCCCCTACATGAGTAGGGGATGGAGGGACCATATGCTAAGAACACTTGATTCTGTTTTACTTGCTCTGGGGAAAGTTCAGGTTAGGCAATTCTGTTGTTTGTGTTCTTGAACAGGACACTTTCTCAGTGCTTTCTGGCAAACAAGGGTATGAATGGGTACCAGCAAAGTGTTAGACAGACTAATGGCCACTCACGTTGGAGAGCAGAGATGCAATGCTATGGATGTCTTTCATAGGAAGACAAAAGCAATTATTCTTAACAAGGGCCAGATGTTTGGACGTGTGTTATTAACCCTTTGCATCCTAACATCAGTATGCATATTCTTCATACTGGTCTCTCTTCATTTCTTAATCATTTAACTCCCAAGATCTGGTTGTTAATTCTCCCCTCCAGCAGTTAGACATTTCCTGGTGAATTAGTCAGGAGAATTTGGTATCATACCATAATAATGACTTCTACCTGATAATTTTGAGCATTCTCATTACCTGATTGTTGGCTGTATGGATGTTTTAGGGAGAAGTTATATGTGAATCACTTCTGGGAATTAAAGGGTTAAAGTGCTGACAAGGAGAATTTGTTTAACAATCAAGAGCCTCTCTCATTGCTGATCATTTCCTTTATATCCTCATGGCCTTAATGTGATTCAGGGGTGATGTTGTGAGGAGAAATTCAGTGCTAGTCATTCTTAGGGGGTTAACGTTGAATAAACGGTGCTTTTTCCTCAGATACCTAAATGAGAAGCAAAAGGCTTTAGTATTAGCATATGCCGAGCTTGAGGATGAGGTCAGCGGCACAATAAATGGAGTCGATAAATCAGCAAAAGGTGGGTAATTTATTTTAAATCTAAGTCAATGGGCAGCCTAAGTGTACAGTGTCATCTCTCTCTCTCTCTCTTCCTCTTCCTTGCATTTGAAATTCTCTAGCAGAAATCTTAAATGCAATGCCACGTTATCAGGGTATAAATTGGCAACTTCAAGGTGTGAGGAGGCAGTTGAGTTTCATTATCACGTATTTTCCTATTGTTTTTATGTTTGGTTTTTTGTTTTGTTTGTTTTGTGTCGGTTTTTTTTTTCGTTGAGTGGAGCTCGTTTATCTGTGATAACTATCTACCACGGTACACTTGTAGCAGAGTTTTAGTTAGGTGTGTCTCTTTATTTGAAGCTCATGGACAGGACTACAGTGAAAAAGTTCCATTGAAATGTAATCAAAACGGGACGATGAAGAACGAAGTAATGATCGTCTAAGTTTGAATTGATTTTTTTTTTAATCAAAATACCCCTTTCGGGAAATTCTCATAATTTAAGTTCACATGACATATTGTCACAGAGTGAGTTTTCAAGACAAGGTTTCACAATGAAAGTTTGCGTGACTAGTTTCCACAACATTTGAGTTTGCGAGGCCAAGTGCCGTGACTAAAGTGACAAGGGTACACAAATGGAGCTTTCGTGACATTGCGTCTCGAAGCTTGTATGACGTTCGTGTCCCTTCATCACACAGACGCCCCACCCAGCCAAACTTGGCAGGCGTATGAAACACCCACCGGTGGAAAGACGGCGAATGAGATTGATCTCGAAGAAGTCGTCAAAAAGAAGCGTCCCTTGGGTCGGTTTATGCCTGACGGATCATGGGATGACGAAGACCCGGAAGGCAGAGCTCGACTCGCGAGACGGCAGTTTTTGAGAATAGCGATGGTCGCATCGTTCACTATAGCTGCCTATCTGTTTATGCAAATCATCTTGCTGGGGGTTGAGGCCCGCGAGTTTGATTCGGAGAACGCTCATTGTGACAATTTAGAAAATGGAAGTTGACAAGCCAGTAGTAAAGGGAGAAATTTTTGTAAATCTAATTTGTTAAATTTTAAGGGGTTTGATAGTATTACGTAGGTGTACCGAGGAGGAATTGAGGAGTCGGGGAGTGTGAAAGTGACAAAGTGTTTAAAATCCCCTGTCAGGCTCTCTTGTTTCCTCCTCTTATTTTTGTCCCCTTTGCTATCTGTTGTGTTGGAAACAGTTACGCTATATAATTTCCTGGTGGAATAACGCTCCACCTGAGAGGTCATCACCCAACAGCTGCTTCGCTTTCCCGCTGTGCAACAGTTTAAGAAGCATTTGCAAGCGACATTCAAAGCTTTGAATTTAGTTACCCAAGCGAATTAGGATTTCAACACCAAGTCACTAACTCTCCTTTTTTTTGGCTCTTCAATTTCTCCAGACCAAGGAACAAAGACGACTGCTGAAGATGATAGCGGATTGCTAGGACGCTTGAAAAAAGCATTCTGCGGAGACGATGACGAAGATGATGACGACAAAGATAACAGGCGTCAGGGAAAGGCGTGACAACGCATGCGCACCCTGCTAAAAGTGTTGCGCAAATTGCACGAACTGTCCACAGTTTTTTTTAGTAAATCGTCATTATTACTCTCTTTTTTATGGTTCAAGGATATGCCAGGCAGTGCATCACTGCCTTCGAAGGTAGGGCGTAGGATTTCTGTCTCAAAAATCCGCTCTGCGAGTCAAATTATTTCCTAGGACGTTACAATTCACGCGAATAATTTTTTTTAGACGTCGTAATATTAAATGTATTTATACAGGCGGAAGGCGTTGCCAATCCTACAGGGTTTTACGGACCTTTTAAGCAAAAGAAATATAAGAATGGCTTGTCTTAAATCGCACTGTAGTTTAAATTATGAATGCACACCAATCTATTTGCGTTTTGTTTATTTGTTTGTGTGATTGTTTCTTTCACCACGTAATATTAAAGGTAGCCGCTTTTTTAAAATTTTTTGCTTTTTTGCCTGTTACTTAGAATTAAATTCCTCTGTTACTCAATTTTGTCAAACATTCTGAGAAGGATTTCTTCATTTCTCTTAGCGTCTGCTCCATTGAGATCAGGAGTTTTTCCCTAAGAATCAGAGTTTTGAAAATGGTTTATTTTCTGACGTGATGACTTAGTAGTAAAAAAATATCTGACTTTTTTTTCTAGCAAAGGTTACTTTATGATATAGTTCTAGTACTGCAGTTAAGAAGATCTTGTTTCCCGCTAACATAAGTTATAGATTCGGGCTTAGGTGAAGTCTAACTAGGGCAAATTTAGAACCGATAACATTTCCCTGAAATAAAAAATTGTTTGGTTCATACGCTTAACCTACCGTTCCACATTCTGTCGAGTTAGAGCAGCAGTTTTCGTTGGCGCAAACTGTGGCCAAGAACTCGAGCAAGAGAATAAGAAATTCGTTTATGGTGAGTTCATGTATTTCTACGGCGGTTTTTCGAGCAGTTGATTCTCGTGCGATTGCTTTTTGCTAAGTTGCATCCTTAGAAAGTTAAAGCGCGTTGCCGTTACACCAATCATTTTATTGCGCATATTGATAAAAATTTTATGTGTTTCTTATGAAGACTCTTAAACCATTGATTTTAAACTTTGAACGTTTCAGAAATAGCTTTTGTCTCGTCGACTGAAACTATCAATTGAACATCGAAAACTAGAAGGCTGATTCTCAAAAATTTCGCCCTAGCCTTGTCCATAGTGGAAGTTTCCTGTTGCTTTCTAGATGTCTGGAGCTGACTCGAGAGAAATTCTCTGTGGGAGGTTCATGGACGAGACGTTTGACTATTTTGTAAGCCTTCGTTACCCTGAGCGCACGTTTTATCTAATGTTCAACTGGGTATGGAAAGTAAAATAGGATTGAATTGATTTTGCGTTTTTTCGCTCTATGGCTGGTTTAGAGACTAAACCAATTAACTTAACCAATCTGATGCAAAACTAGAGCAGTTTTCAAGTGACTGTCGGAAAACCAAAACAAAACAAATCACAACGGCCAATCATAACTAAGTTTACGTCATCATTAGCCAATAAGGACTCAAAGCAAAAACAGGCAACTTACCAAAGCGCGGGAAGACTTGACGACCAAGTCACGGTTGGTTTTCGCGTCTGATTGGTTGAGAGGGTGGTGTGAGTTTTCGCGACCAATCACAGAGGGAAGTAAAGCAAACCAAAGCAGTCCGGGTTAATTTCGACACTCGATAGAGAATTACTCTTAAAAAACCAATCCAGATTTCGAGACTTGCGCTTTGTCTTAACCCTTTAACTCCCAAGATTTCATTAGTAATTCTCCTTACTGTCTGCCATACAGTTCTTGTGATATTAGTTTGGAGAATTTGGTATTAAATCAACTTATAATACCATAATTGATATTTTTCTTTATTTTCATCACTTGTCCGCTTGATATTATTTTGATATTGTGAGGAGAAATTCTGTCTTGCTCACTCATGGGAGTTAAAGGGTTAACTGTCTGTTTTCATAAGCTCCTTGTCAATTATTTGTTTTGATTGGCTGCTACGATCGCCTTAATTTTCGTTTAACTATACTTAATTTATAGGAAAGAAACATCGTTGAAAAAAAATTCGTGCCCAATGTAGAAAACTTAAAAAGGATTAAGCCGGCTTATACAAAAATAAACAAAATAGCTGTTATATTTTAACAACTAACAGATCATCGAATTGATATACTCCTAAACTTTCCCTTATTAGAAATTCTAAGCTTGGCTTTATCCTTTTTCTTTTTCTCGACTTCGGCAATCCATTTGCTGATGTAATATTTCTCCAAATTTCGCGCCTGCACGACTGACGGAGGGTCCAGCGGATTTTTATGTCTCAAGTCCAAGTGATGGGCGCCATCTTCAATCAGCACAGCAATGAGGCTGTCGCTTATGTTGCGGGTAACCCCGCCTGCAGCCCAGGGATCAAGGGCACCGTTACTATGATGGAACAAAATGAAAACAAAAATTCGTTATGTGATTAGTTCTTAGGTATCTGTCGTTAGCAGAAATAAACTGAAAAGAGTTCCCTCTTTGCGAGTTTTGCGCCTTAACGGTGGGGTTGTCAACACAGAGGTGAAACGTCTGCGCATACGTTAACATTGTAATGACTGAGTGGCTCCTACTAAGTGGAGATTAGCTCCGATCCGTTTAGAAAAGATCTTGTTTTATGCACCATTCAATATCTTAGACGAGAATATGAAAATTCATATCAAGAAAAAGATAATCATTAACTTACCTGAACACTATATTACTGTGAGCTTTTAGTTTCTTGCCACCATACTGAATCTCGGCCCAGTACTCCAACGGTGTCACGCCACGTGACTTCTGGCAATCTTTGGCGTAAGCACTGAAATCCCACTGATGGATAAGAAACAAATCACAATTATTGGAATGTAGTTAAGTCTTCATTAGGAGATTAAGTTTGTGCTGGTCTGTCTCTCTAGCGTGTAGTAACCGGGAAGTTGGGGTATTGCTATTTCCCACGACGGAATGCTAACCAGTCCATTGCAAATCATCCCCCTCTCACTCCATCCTCGCTCGCCTTTCCCCCCCCCCCCCCCCCTCTCCCGCCCCCTTCTCCCCACTAAGTATTTCATCAGGTTCACTTGTACCCATATTTACACTCTTGGGGGAGTTTCTAATCGAGAACACGCCAGAACACGCCAAGGTCGAACCAGGAACCGCATTAGCCGTAAGGCTACCGTGTCTCCCCCTATCGAATGTTCCTGAATCCATCCTTTGACTATGGACAGGGAACACTGGGAACCAAAGCGTTCGCCTGAGACTTCACTTAGACCATCTTGCTGCGTTTACCATTTTGTTGGAATAATGAGATGTTATTCTAAGGTATATCTATTTTCAGTTATGCAAGAGTGTTGTATACTTGCCTCTGACTTGGTAAACATATCATTGACGCCGTCTGAACAGAGAGGCATGACCATCTCGGTACAAGCCTAAATCGAAACATAAATCATCCAGTCAACTTAACTTAGAGGACACTTTGACGAACAGTCCTTATTTTTTGCTGTTGGTACGAACGCGCGCAGCAATATCACGAAAGGCCAGGAGCGAGTGACAAAACAGTGAGTAAGTCCAGGGATTCTGCAGTCTAATCCAAAGATTACCTCTGACCTCTTTAATTAAGAGTACAACAAACTACTCAATTGAACAATGTTAGTATCTTAGCGAGTGGGCACACAACCCTCCCCTAACCCAACAACTGTCAACTGAGAACAAGTTAGGGTTGATGTTGGGTAAGGGAAGGGGTGGGTGCGCAGTTTCTCAGATACTAACATTGATCCAACGACTTTTGCCGCAAATCTCAATAAATGAACAGTGTTGATTTCAAATTGGTATCTTCCTTTTTTTTTTTGAAAACCTGAAGCAAAGTGATCAGAACGGCCTATCAGAAAAAATATAAATATATTAAGGCGCCAATAGTAATTCCAATGAAAAGAAGCAAAATGTATGCAGTGACAAATTTACCACTCGTTTATTCAATATTCTAGTCCTCCTTAAAAACTGTTGGTAACGACTGATCCTCCCTCTATTCCCCTGAAAAATATGCAAACCCCCCCCCCCCTTCCACTCCCTCAGGCGATAAAGAATTATGGTCCTTAATTACTTTCGAAGCTTGATTTTCAATTACGCAAGACTGCGCACCAAGCAGCAACTAACCTGAAAATACCAACCATCATCTCCCAGGAAGGATACAGCTTGCTGTGAGGTGTTAAAGCATTTAGCATGGCCTGAGCTGTTGTAGTACACTCCAACAGCTTTGGATATGGCTCCCAGAAGTTTGTCATCGTCTAATGACTCGTCTTGAAGATATTTACAGGTTTCCTTAAGAAAAGATTAAAAAACCGTAATTACAATTGCTTGAAATATTTCCCACCTTTTGATGAACAATCTCTTGTTAAGAGAGAAGAAAATTAAGAAATCTCGCTTCCTTTCACGTGACTTCCGCTCAGCTCTGCGTCTTTAAACTAATTCTAGTCCCATGAGCCACTCCTTTTCACTCACCGAGGTGATCAACAGGAACGAGGACTCTGGGTACGAGAACGTGGAAGATGAACACTTCGAGACTAAGGCTTATGTCGTAAACAAATTATGCACATGCGCCATACCTTAATTGGCCAAGCGGGAAGAGGTTCCAAGAAACTGGCAGGGTACGGATAATCCACTGTAAATGAATGCAGCAGTCAGCAAGAAATATTTGGGCCGTAATTCGTTTAGCGAGGACAACAATGAATAACATAACACTTACCCATTGCTAGGTTGACCCAGGTCTCGCTCAACCAATATTCCAACTGAGTGACGTTATCTTTGGTTTTCAGAGGAGAACACAATTTAAATATACTGGATAATTTTTTCCGCCCGCTATCTACAAGAAAGAAAAACGTAAATTGAAGTATTTAGAGCGATGCAAAGTTCACCCAAAAAATTCAACAGATCACAAAGCCTTTGCTTGATTAGGTTTAGTTGGGTCCAAAATGAAAAAAAGATATTTCTTGTACCTGTTTTGCCGTAATTTTTTACGACATCCCATGACTTCTTTACCAAATTTACACATGGTTCTCCTCCGTCACGTTGGAAATCTTCCGTGACAATTTGATAAAACTTCTAAAAATATATATCAGAAGAAATTTGAAGGAGAGAGTTGTTAGCAATTTCAAAAAGTAATGCAATGTTTTTTTAACACCAATATTACAAAAGGAGGCTCAGGACTTAAACAATTTCGCAAGAATCAGTAGATGGGCTAACATTCGGAGGGGGGGTGGTTGGTGGTGAGGTGGAGGAAGGAGACCACTTATCTTCAGAGGGCTTTCAAATACAAAAATCTGATAATGAGACTGAAAATGTAAAATAAGACCACGCTTTGATCACATTACACTTGAACATGACGATCAAGGTTTTCTACGACTGACAAATTGGTGAAATCATTTTTCTTTTCCTACTTGTTCTGACCAGGTTAAATATGATTTGAAAAAATTCTTAGAAGAGGGTAAGACAGGAGCTAATGAGCAATGAGGCGGGATAGTTTGATGAACCTATAAGTGGAATGGCGGATTTTTCGGTATCGAGAAATCTCAGATGATGTCTCACCTCACAAGGGGTCAATCCAGTAAATTGTAGAATTGGCGCCGAAGCTGCGAGGGCCCTGGGTTAGGAAAAATTAAGAGTTAAAAAAAAAATTCAAGGCAACCTACTTTAGTCAGTAGTCAGTTTTTCAGCAATCTGAATGACTTGCTCTCAGCACCAAGTTCTCGTCTCATTCCTCTCACCGCTCGTATCAGTCCCATTTACTTACCCTATAACAATATTTGGATACTTCATTCGAAACCAAGCGGCCAGCATCCCTACAAAAGAAAAATATATATATATCTAACGAAAGTCAGGTAAATATGTCGTGCACTTTATTTCACAGCATCGCCTGCAAACTAAGGGACTAGTCATTAGGGACCTCAAGCAGTTAACACGGCAACGCCAAGTGAGACGTCGTTTAAAAAAATTAAATTTCTTTTCAGTTATAATTTCGAAAATGGCTGCATTTGTTGACTGTCTCTTACGGCGCGCCGCGGTTTGGTGATTTCACGTTGTTGTTTTGCAAAGGACGACTAAGAAATGTACAAAGTTTTAAAATGCACGTGCTGGTTATTGCTTCTTACCGCCGTACGATCCACCAATAGCGACCACTGGGCTTTCACTTGCTCCTGGTACTGTGTTCTAAAAAAAACACGAGGATTTATTGAGGAGTTGCTTTTGCCAAAGCGTTAGGAACTATTTCAGAAGCATCATTCGACAAACCATTAAGGGGGATAACTTTTGGGGAAGGGGGTTCTACGGTATCTGTGACCCCACCCTCTCCTCTTAGTAATAAAATGGATAATACATTATGATTAAATCACTTGGCATGCTCCCGAATTTCAGTATGACATGAATGAAAATTTCCCTTCTCCCCCCTTCCCCCCTCCCTTCCTTACTCTACCAGAGAATCCTGCTTGTACATCTCTGCATAAAATGTTTCAGAAAATATTAGTCACCTAACATGTTTAAGAGATCATTGCAATTAAATGAGAATTATTTATCAATAACCAACTAGGCAAACCCATATTATCTTGCCTTTATGTGATGAATAAGTACTGCAAAGTCAGCCAAAGCTTGCTCTGAAGTTAAATATCCTAAATACTTCGGTCCCTAAATAAGAACAATTCATTGTTAGTAGGACCTATGAGCTAGACTCAACCGAAAAGAACAGTTTGGAGGCACTAAGTCCCTAAAAAACTTCCTCTCGAGGTGTTCATAAATTCGCAGATCAAAAGACCCCTCTCGTATTTGCCTGTTCCAACTCACAGTCAACGACAGTCGAAGGGGAAAAATAATTCTTCCTCTCATATGTATCATCAAAATGAGTAACGTAAAACAACACACATCGCTCCTTGTTGATTGAGTGACGTAGAATAAGACCTTAAGGAACCTAACGAACTGGTTAGAACAAAGGGAAGGGGTAGCCAATAAAAACCCAACATAAACACATCTAACACCCTTAAGCAAGGGAAAGCGCGCGCACGCTATCAAGCTACCTTTAGTTTGCATGTGATTGGTTGAGGAGGAAGCGCAAGATTTCTAGACTAATCACAAGGCACAGCAGGGCAGACCATTTAAATCATTCATAACTTTCGCCACTTAATTAAACACACCTTGTAAGACAGCTTTCCAAATGGTAACGACTTGCCGTAGTACCTATGCTCTGCAAAAACCAGCATGGCTTTGAATTCCCCTGCGATATCCCACATGAATCCCTGGGTACAAGACAAGTGTTGCACTCTTAGCTCACATGAACAATAACCTTCAAATTACGTTATGATTAACCCTTAAACCCCTAAGAGTAATTAGTAACTATTTTCTCCTATCGGCATCGCCCTAAAACAAACATTGAGGTCATGAGAATAAAGGAAATGATCACCAACTAAAGACGCTCTTGATTATTAAACAAATTCTCTTTGTCAGTTCCATAGCAAATGTATGGAAAAAAGTGTAGAGAAATAAGTATACTGATGTTAGGGTGTGAAGGGTTAAATGCGGCCTTTCTTTGATGATGATCACAACAGTTACTTTGTCATAAAGTTTACGTTACAAAGAATGGAGACAACGAATTTTTCAGTTTCAGACTAACGAGCAGAACACGCGTGACTCGCGCTCCGGACTCAGTAAAAATCTCAGTATTGGAAAGGAGCCACTTAGAGTGATAAAAAAGAAGAGGGCTCAAGGGGAGAGGCCGTCAACTAATCCTTTGTTCGCCCCAATTTCCTCTCGTCCACTTCTACACGCATATTGACAGAAAGCGCTCGCGAAAAATGTGTGGCTAGCATGCTTGTCTAATTTTTGTACTACATCTGACTTTCTCGTTTCCTGGGTAATAGGGGTACGTTTACAAACATGATCCTTTTCTCGCTGATTAAGAGTTCAAGGCCTAATCTTTAAGATCAACTTAGTTGGTAATATTGATGGTTTTGATGATTTTAACATTAAACTGTAAGAAGGTCAGTAACCAATACTCACCGTGTTGTTCGCAAACCAGGTGATGTCTCCTTCATTTCCGGTATAAAAGAGAATTGGTCCTCCTTCTACCCAGTTCTTTCTGGCCACAAGGTAACGCTGTGGAAAAGTGCGATTGTCACTGAAGCCAAAATGATCCAGCTGTAAAATAAAAAAAAAGGGAAATCGTTGATGTTGATAAAGGTAAAACTGTTTCTATGTTAAGATCATCACTAAGTTTCCTTCGCGCCCGGCAAGGATTTGATTGTGTTATTTTTAAGACATTGAACGTCACGCACCACTTATACGTGACAAATCCAAATTTTGAAAAGCGTGACAAAAGTTGGGTAAGCTAGGAGACGACGAATTAAACTCGGGAAAATACGGGGAAAATTCTCTTCTCTGGAGTCCGGTCTCGAACGGCAGCTTGTTTTCATGCTTTAGAGATGGGACGTGATATAAACGTGACCTGCTTGTCAAACAATAACTTTTCTTGACATTAGGTGTTAATCTGAAAATTAGCCCTCGAATTCACGAAAATTCACGGTAAATCAGATTGATGTTACAAATAAAAAATAAAAAAAACTAAATCAAATTGACCTTCGATTAAAGAATCATACGAAGTGATGAATGATAAATTTCATAAATGCCGATGATCTGCAATATTTGGCAAGAATATTACGAGGCCAATTACGGTTGAATTTTAAGACCTGTGTACCGAAATTTAACCAACTGTAAAACAGTTATAAAGCTGAAGATCTTTTACCTTCTGGCTAAACGTTTTAGTCTCGTAGATGCAAAACGGACACAAATGTCTCTTCGCGTGAAGTCCAAAATCCTTCCCTTGCGGTCGAGGAAATCTAGCTCGAAGACGGAAGGCATCACTTGCAGAAATAACGACTAGAAAAAGGAGTGTAATCCTACAAAAATCTTCAAATGCAGCCATGATCATTAGTCGCTTATCCCTTGCATCTGAAGTAGTAGGTACTGTGACGTCTTTCGTGTATTTGTCTGTTTCCCAGCCTAACTCGTGACTTCGGTGACCTCGTGACGATTCATCCGTGTGATTTCCTCGTGACCGGCACGGGTTATTGTTGTTGTTTTCAACTATAAAAATACCTAGATCCTTTGCCTCAGAAGATGTACCTTTTGGTTTCGTTGGCTACTATTATTGCTAAATTCTCGCACTTTCTCTTCGATGAGAGAGTTTGCCTTCTGATTATACATGCATTATTAATGTGAATTTCATGGTAGTTTTTGGATGCTGGCCAATGAATCGAGCGATGTAAACAGGTTGTTTTAGTCAAAGTATATTTTGTGCTACTAGTTTCCTGTGGTGTGGATTAGGAATAAACCATGTCTCTTATATGCATAGCAGGCTATTTTATTGATGCGCTTTGAGAGGTTGAATGGCGAAGCCGTATCTGTGTGGCTGGGACGGAAAATTGTGGGTTTGATTTTTCCTCTCTAACTTTCGTTTCGCTTTATCCCTAAGAAGCAAACACCTGCACTGTCTAAATATTTCCAAACTTGGCTTTAAATCAATCCACATGTCAGCACACAGGATGAACCTAATCTTTGCCTTGGCAAAAATCCCTCGTCATTAAGTGGAAAGGGCAATCAACCTGAGCCAATTTTTCACTTCGCTCGCTTATGTTTTGTGGTGCGTCGGACGAGACTGATTATATGACCCTACCAGCTCTACTTTGACGACTTAATTTTTCTCTTATTACCAGAAATGAAGCGAATTAAACTGGAGCCGCCATGTTTTTAAATTTTATTTTAAGAATGTCAGGGGAAGCGAAGGACTCTGGGAAAGACATTACTCAGCGATTAAATTCAGTACGAATAAGCAATTTTTTGTCTGAATTCGCTGCTGTGTGCGTGGCTTGATACGCTGAGCAGGGTTGATGAACTGAATTGACAAGTTAAAAAAAATCCCCTGATTGTTAAGAAATAGGAAGCCAACCATCGAGGTCTAGAGCGATTCAGTTGAAGGATATCTCAAACAGCCTAAGGGGGCAAAAATATGGAAAAAACTGAACTGATTATATCATATTTTACTCAGTTTTTTTTCCCTTATCTCAGGTCATTAAATCGTCATAAATACAAAGATGAAAAAACTATTTTTCGTTTTCAAACGAAAGTGATCGCAGAGCTTTTGAATGTTTATCGGTCCGCCTTTCAAACCTCGCAAAATTCATTTGAATTTCAAATAACTTTAAAAATTAAATATTCACATTTGCGATCACAGTCTTCGTTTCACGTGGAAAGAGCTTACAAAACTACTGGAAATTTCAGGGTTTTTTTCAGCAACTCAGGGGACCAAGAAACACGTATTTTCAACCCTGGTATCAATTACATCAAATATCGTCTGCTCGTGAAAGCTAAGGTTAGCTTGTGTCTCTGATTCCTCCAACTTGATGTGTGACCGGAGTGGTTCAAATTCAGAGGATTGATGTACGCACCGATCTTTCACGTGTTCTCAAGGTAACTAACTTAACTTTAACTGAATTTTAACAGGAACACAGCGGTTGAGTCAGATTCTCGTGGTCGGTTTTGAAAATTAAATCGCAGAGTTAAATGTATAAAGGAATTTCATGTAACACACACAGTGCAGTGTGGAACGATTCCTTAGTGCAAGCCGCCATGATAACTTATCATTGCACCACGTGACTCTTGGGGCAGCTTCATCGACCAAATTCGTGATTTTCTAGTTAGGGTCTTGATCTTCCATTTGATTATTTTTATTTTTATTTTATTTCTTGAATTTCTCTACACCTCATACAGTTATCCATGCTTATAGTAATTTCATATTAGTTCTTCATCTCCCAGAAGTGATCAAGATGTGACTTCTCCCCACAATATCCATATGTAATCCAGAAAACAGGTAATAAGAAAACTCAAACTCATCAGGTAGAAGCTGTTACCTTCATTTAAAACTAAATTCTCCTAACCAATTAACAAAGAAATTTGTGGTGGCCAGAGGGGAGATTTAACAACCTGATTACCTTGGGAGTTAAAAGATTAACACGCTTGTTATTATCCCCGACCACAGCCAAAGAAAGAAAAAGAGGTCGTTACGGCATTTTAACTAAAAAACTGTATTATCTGGATTCCAGAGGTTTTGCTCTCATCTTCCACACAGAGACCGTGCATGATATTAAAAATTTCCATTATCTCGAGTTAAGTGAAACACCGAAATTTCTGGCTAGTCTCCTGAACTATGTGTTATCGATGAGCAGATATCGTTTTCTTCTTGCCGTATTATGTTTATAGAAATTGCAACGTTAGCTCACCATATTAGACTCGTTGCTTTTTGACTAAGGATTTTTAAAATCTTTTTATCTGCCTTCAAGGCAACAAATATTGTTAGTCATACACCTAACCTGATTCTAATTTTTTTTTTCAATTCAGAGCCAACCAAAGTAAAAAATGAAGGAAACTACCTAAAGGAAATATGAAATAATTGAAATTAGTGTTTCCATTGTCCGTCTCCGACTTTTTTTTTTTATTTTTGCCTGAATAAGATGACTTGTCGTGGATTATAGCACTATTGTGTTTATAAAGTCACTCTACTACAACAATTTCTGATAAAATTGAAACATTGTTATTGACGAAATATCTAGTTCTGCTATTAAGAACTCGCATCCCTGTGTCGTATCAAATTACTATAGTAACGGTTTAGTACGTCGAAAACCGACGTAATTTTGAGGTAAAACTGCGCTCAATGGCTGAGGAACGTTTCTAAGTCATTTAAAAACTCCTGTTGCCTACCTAGGGAAACTGATTAAAATCATCAACACCCGATGTAATGGACATTGATATCACTCATTAGAAAATTACTTTGGCATATATTTTCTTCTTTCTTTAGGATAGCAACAGGCATAGAATGGAAACATCTAGTAATCAGCATCAGGGAGGAAGGAAAAACAGGAGAACGAACATCGAACAGGGTCAGTTCTGTAGTTATTTTGTAATTAAAGGCGAATAGGTGACCAGCCATCATTTATCGCCGGGTGGATGGGAAGTCTGATGATTTTGGTTATGTTACGATAAAATGTACCTAAAAATCCCATAACGCTTTGTTTCCCTAAAAACTATCTGATCCTCCAAAGACTCCTGCGGTCCCCCCGCCCTCTCCCGCCCTCTCCTGGTGATAATAATGACTGCTCCATTGACTGTTTGCTCTCGAAATTTTTATCGATCCCAATTGATTGCTTGAACATAAATAAACGCCGATTAGAATGTCGACAATTCAAATTTAGCTTAGTCAAAACGATAAAGGAAGCCAAAACGACAAACAAAGAAATAAATATTTTTATGTCTTATTTCTTGGATCTCATGATGGCGATTTCAATAGTTTGCAGTACTGTTGGTTTGACAACCACTTTGTTCCTTTGTTCTAAGCATGAATACTTCCGAACTTCCGAACGATCAGGTTACCATAGCGACGGTTTACAATGGCAAATGCTCCTTAGTTAAGCTTGGTAATCCCTTTTGTATATACACTTTCAGCATATATTTACTAGCATAGAGTTTGTCCATGTGCGAGTTAGTTCTTTACTTTGCTACGCTGACCAAAAAATCTCATGGTTTATGCTCCAAAAAATTGTGTTTCTCGAATTTTGTCCAAGAATTTCTTGTAAACCTACGATTAGTGTTAAAAATACGCAACAAGTTTCCTTTAGAATTGTTTTTTTACTTGATACAGTAAAACATCTGGAGCTTCTTTGTTTAAAACATTATGATGGAGGAGGAGGTATGGGGTAAGTGTGACTGAATCATATACGCACATTTTACATTTATAACTTGAGGTGCCGAAAACCAACCTTGCCGCCGTTTTAGAGTATGGTATACGTACTCTTTCGACAGAGACGTCCAAACGTAAATTCACCGTTTGATGTGGCGTTTTTGATAAGCTTCTTTTCGATCCCCGAAAAGGCCTTTGGTTCAAAAAGTCGCAACGCACTAGGTTTCCATGCAAAGATCGTTACATTTATTTCAACACTACAAAGGAATTCGCAAGAAATAACATCTCAGTATTTTACATTCTTAACTTACGTTAGATCTACATTTCGGGTTACCTATTTAGAATTACCAGCCAAGGTCAAGTGCTTTAAGCAACGTAAACCGAAAAATACATAAACAAGCAAAAATTTGGTTTGCTATCCAGACCTCGCGGGCTCACGGTTGTGGCACCAGTTCAGGCTTTCTTCTCCTGGTCGATAGCTAAGTCAAACACAAAGAAAATGAATTGTTATTAACATCAGTATCCATAGTCTCCTTTATACATTTCCTTTGGTACTGACCATGAGCAGATGAGAATTAGTTCAACAATCATAGCTTCTAAGGTTGGCGATCATATCCTTTACTCACGTGATATTAATGAATGATTCGACAGTATTACTGTGAGGAAAAATGAAATGCTGGTCACTCTGAGGGTTTAAAGGGTTAAAGTGCTGTTTGAGCTTCTCAGGTGGTCTTAGTCATTATGTAACGCTACTCCCCAAAATAGATTGTGTTACATGGGAATTGTTACATGACGAGATAGACACAGATAGACACAAGCTTAACCTCGCTTCCAGGGACTTCACGAACCACGTAATTAATAGTCATTTTTAATTTTTACTTTTCTCTTAAGAGCGGTACAGATAGCAGACCCTTATTTATCGAGCTCTCTCGTTACGGAATGCCAAGGCAGTGAAATTTTATCTCTTGAGTGGCTTTCATTGTAATCTTTAGTGTTGGGGAGGGTTAATAAAATTTTAATTCTTTCGTGTTCAGTGAAGAATGTTCGGATTAAAATTGACGCTCATGACTCCCTCCTTCTCCACTTCCAGAGGTTTGTATGCAAGACGATCAATCGGAGAGAGGAGGGGAGGGGGATATTTTTAGCCTAAATAAGCAGTGATACATCATTACTCAATACTGGAGATTTAAACTCTCCGTTTTTAAGGGGAATCAGTCGTCGCTGGCAGATCATAAAGGAGGACTACAGAAATTAGCGGCTAATTCGGAGAGATCATTAGAATACTACAGAGCCATAGGTGGATCAGGTAATCAGGTAACTTTTATTGTGACACAAACAAAATTCTCCGACTTTCCCCCCATATTAGGCGATAAATGTCTTGACTGCCCAAACATGATCTCGTTTCAGCGGTAAAACAAATAGCCTTTTAACCCTCTTTTCCATGAATAAACCTTGTTTGTATAGAAACAGACAGAAAAAGCCAATTAGCGGTCTACTGGCTCCGGGCAGTTTCCATGTATTTCCGCCTTCGATGTATCTTTTTTACAGAATTTTTAAAAATTGACTTAATCAGTTTGCAACGTTATTTACGAATTTCATTCCTTATAAACGGCTAAGATCAAACCATCACGACTTCAAGTAAATCAAATTAGTGGAATGAAGCCCATTTCGTTTTGTTAACGGCGCATGAATTGATTTGTTCGCCTGACTTCTTCCAGCGCTGACAAACTTGCGACGTTGCACACTTTGTTGGTTTACTTCATGATCGCAAAAAGCTTGTGTGTGTGTAAAACGAAAAAAAAAAAACTCATCTCTTACTTTCCTTGGTCGGAAGAGTATTCTTCTCTTTAGTCTCGGTCTTCTTGAGTTTTGAAGCATCAAACTTACTGATATCATCGAACACAGCATCTTTGTCTGCCATCCTGGGGAAAAAATATCACACGGAACTCGTATTTAGCTGCCTGGAAGTCAAACATTCCGCGAAATAATTATATTATCCACAACTTCAACAGACAAGTTCAAACACACTAAAGTTCAAACGGAGAGGTTTTTACCTTTTAAGATCTCAGTTTCGATCGCTTCGGTTAAGAAACAGTTCTCGCTCTTCTGATCGAAAGGGAACAGGCCACTTCACGTTAACACGCCTGATGGAATATGCAGTATTAATGCATCAAACTAAATCAAACACTAGCCAATGAGAGAAAGTTTTTAATGAGGCGTATTTGTCATTCCGCTAAGATTAAAGGCTCAACTTGAAAAACAAATTTAACAATGTCTGAGCGTATTGATATAATCGAATCACTACCGGAAGCCTTAAAAAATGCTTGGCCAATATTTGAAACCAATCTAACGACTTCCCTCAGTATTTGGTTTCATCCATTTATGAATTAACAAAAAAAAATTCTAAGGGCATGGGGTTATTAAATGATGGAAAGTTATTGACAAACATTTAGTAATAAAACAATAGAGTTCGTGTTTCGCGAAATATGTTTTGGTCCCAACTCAGAGTATTAAAATTTGCGCCCAAGAGTATAAACTGTATTGCTATCGTCATCACTTTGGAGGGCTTTAAGAAAATATGAACAAAACAAAATGACAAGAAAACAGTCTGAACCATTACGCGAGCGTGCGAGCGGGCTAAAATATATCTCAGCCCGCCAATTTGTTTTTTTTTTTAGCCCGTAAAATGCACTACAATGCCTGACAAAGTGATAAGAATTATATGTGACGACCTAAGTACGAAGAAGTAAGTTGGTGCCCATAACCCTAGCCTACAGACAGCAATCATGTAAATCACCTAACACCCACTGTTAAATCCCTCAAATTAACGCATCAGTCAAACAGTATATCTAGAGTAATAATGTTGTGCCTCAGAAGGAATCCAACACACAACAAGTTAATTTGATGTGCCACTGAAACAATATTGATTTATCATTTAGCTACCACAAAAGCGGTGCGGCCTTTGATTTCAAAACAGACGTCAACATTTCGACGAGACGATAAGAGTCGATAGAAATCACTCGTTGATTTCTTATGCATAACCTTTACTAAACAGTAATCTATTGATTAATATTCAACTTAACAATTAATAAATCTTAACCGCCGAGACATCCTCAGTGAATTTAAATTTTGTTGATAGCTAAGATAATCAATAGCGGATTGCACTCCCGGCGACGGCAAAACTGTCTTTTGTGTTGTAATAGGTTAGAATATTTTGATTACGCTGGAGATATTTTGTAACTCGCATTGAATGAAAAACAAAAGAGAAAGCAGATTTTAGTTTTATAATTTAGTTAACAATCTTAAATGACACGAAATAATGGCTTCGAAAACGAAGAAAAACACATCAACAACACACTCAAATAGAAGCGGAACAGGAGAAAAACAACAACAACAGATACTATATTAGGGACCTCGAGCGGTCAGGACGGCAACGTCAAGGAAGACTTCGATTAAAAACGAATTTCTGCGTTTACTTAGAATTTAAAAAAAGGCTGCATGTGTTTACCGTCCCTAACTGCCCCACACCTCAACTTCCGCATAACATATAAAAGAAGCGCTGAGTTCCAAATGGAAATTAAAATAATTTGCCGTCGCGGTTTCGGTTCGTAGACGACGCAAATTGTGATTTCACGTTGTTGTTTTACGTAGGACGGCTAAGAAACGTACACAGTTTTAAAACGCACGAGCGGAGCTATTTTTCTGCCAATTAGATCTTTTGTTTTCCATGTTCTCGTTGCCGTCACCGTCGTGGTTTGCTTAAGATCCCTGTCACATTAAGGACGGCAACGAGGATATGACGAAACAAACTATTTACAATTTAGCCGACACCAACATTTGCGTGATCTGAGAACGGAAACCACGACGGCGAATTATTTAAGTTTCTATTTTGAACTCAACGCTGCTTACAAACGTTAGTTGAACTTAAGGTGCAGCGCCGTAAGAGACGGTAAACACATCGAGCCATTTGGAAAATTCTAACTAAAAATATAAATTCATATTTAAAAAATCGACGTCTTCCTCGGCGTTGTCTTCCTGACTGCTTAAGGTCTATGATAACAAATAAAGAAGCTAAGACCCATTCTCTAATCATCTCCTCTACAATCTGAAATAGTACGTGACCTCTGGGAACAAGAATGAGCCATTTACGACCCTCTCGAGCAAACAAAGCGCAATGTTCTTCCTCGATGGTCGAAGTCTTTGAAAAGACTTTAGAGAGAGGCTGAACTTGGCAATAGTTATACGCTCGAGTCACACTCAAACATTCTCGACAACGCTATCGCTCCATTTCAATTTTGGACACCCAAGTGAAAGCCACTGCGGCCTTTTGTTCTCTTTGAAACATCCAAGCTAAGAAATATTTTTCATTAGTGGTCCCGCTTTATTTAAACTTGAAAATAAAACGAAATACACTGGTATCTTCAACAACTCACTCATTACTAAAAATCTGAATAACATCTAAAGTTTACTACTCCTCGCACCGATACAAAATATTTCAAAATCAGAGCACTCCTCTTTTGTCAACTCGTCTCAAGTTGGAATAAACATTTTTATAATACCTAGCTTAACGAACAGCCTTCCAAATTGACGATTAATCATTTCATCTTTCATGCAAAACTTCAAAATTGAATTATAAATAGTAGTCAGACATCTACACGTATTTCTGAACTATGAAACTGTGCCGTCTGAAATATGGCTTATTTTTTTCAAGTACCTACATAAAAGATTTTGCAAAGATCAATGCTAGCATTCAATTTCTTTAAGGCAGTCCGTTTTGTTAAAGAAAGTAGAAAAGTATTGTATTGAAATATTTTTCCCTCGTTAAGTTTCGGTGTTTTGACACATTTGCCTGTCATTGTCTGAAATGTCCATATTTGCAAACTGACATTCAGCTCATTCAGTATAAAACAACTCAGAAGAAAAAACTGGAATAACTCCACTGGACAGAGAATCTGAAAATGGAAGTGGACAGTTCTTCGATCATTAGTAAAAAAATATTCACAAGTACTAAATAACTCCAATCAGAAAGAACAAATGAATAAATAAATGTATCTTTGTTTATCAAGCTTACCAATACTAAGATTACCACAACCACCAGCGCAATTTTTACGGTGGTTGCAAATGTAACGCACTTTGACAACAAACAATCCACCGTCAAGCCCTTGTCCTGGCATTTTAAACCGAACTCTCCATGCAAAAGACCTGCAGCAAACGCTGAGGCTGCCAAACGCGACTCAAAAACATCTACGCTTAGCCTCCTTAATATTTTGTCCTTAACATAAAAAACGAAACAAAAAAGCAATCTAACAGAAAAAGAATATTTGGCGTTAATGCGACCGAAACTTTTACATATCTATTGAATTAGACTTGATAAATAACGTAATTTTAACTGGTAACACGGCTAATCTACTCTTCGTCACCAAGGTATGACGAACTCTCCTGCATTCCTGCAAAAAGTCTATCAGCCAGCAGCGACAAAAACGCGTCCATTGGATCCATGGCCCCCCGCTGCGCCCACTTTGGGATGGTCAACTGCGCATGCGAGAAACCAAGCTTCTGTAAAACCCAGTCAATGTTGACGGGATCCATGTTCTTTCCTGCCCAGGATAAGAAGCGAACACGAGGTTCTAGCTTCCAGTACTTGCTCCGGAACTGACGAATTCGTTTGGCTTCCGATTTGGGAGCTTTCTCTCGGTCTTCTTTTTCAGCCATGCGCTCTCTGCGCACGCGCGAGGGAGGTGACATCCCGCGGGGAATTGAACCTGGTGGAAGAGAAGAACAAACGTCAACGACATTCTGTAAGAAAAGGTGGATAATAATTTATTAATAATAATAATAATAATAATAATAATAATTTATTTACTTATATAGCGCCCTTTAACATTTATGGGATGATCAAAGGCGCTTTTCAATCCAAGAAAACTAATATTACAATGGATAATTACAATAAAAATGCTATTTACAATAGATAATTACAATAACAATACAAAAAATAAAATAATGATAGTAAATGAATACATAATGAAAGAATGAATGAATAAAAAGTAAATAAATAAGATACAAAATACCGATAAGATTGTAATGCGAATCTAAAACGCTTGCTTAAAAAGATAGGTCTTAAGAGATTCCTTAAATAGCGCTAGCGAATCAATCGTGCGGATGTGCGCAGGCAAGCTGTTCCACAGCGCAGGCGCATAGGCATGAAACGAGCGGGCACCTAAAGTTGTGCGCATAACCCCTTTTGGGCGTTCTAAAAATATTGTATCATTATTGCGTAATGAATACCTAGACGATGATCTGATACAGATCAGATTACTTAAATAACTAGGAGCCATGTCATGAATCGCCTTAAAAGTAATCATCAAGATCTTAAATTGAATACGATAATTTACTGGCAGCCAATGAAGGTTGTAAAGTACCGGTTTAATATGATCGAATTTCATTGTGTCCGTTATAAGCCTGGCTGCCATATTCTGTACGCGTTGTAATTTCGATAGTTGGTACTTGGGTAACCCATATAATATACTATTGCAATAATCCAGCCTTGAAGTTACGTAAGCATGGACTAATGATTGTCTGCATTCCTTAGATCAGTATTTCGATATACGCCTAATGTTATGAATGTGGTAGAAGGAGGTCTTGCATATTTGGTTAATATGGCTGTTCATCTCGAGAGATTCGTCTAACATAACGCCGAGGTTCCTGACACTGGAAGAACGATCAATCTTCTGGTTGCCAACTTCTATGCTAAAAGAGCGAGGTTTGCTTAAATTCGGACGAGTTCCGATAGCAAGGAACTCAGTCTTCGTGTCGTTCAATAGCAGCCGCCCATCAATCATCCACTTGGATTAAGGCTGTGATTTCAAATCTTTTGTGTAACTAATCATCTTAGGACCACCGAGCAGATATGTTACGAAGTACCATTTAAAATGCCATGCAAGGTGCATAATGCAATTTTTACAAGAGACTAGTGGGTAACCATTAACATTAAAGGTTCCGGGAAGCGTTTTCATGTTGCCCTGTTTATCGTGCTGGATAAGATGGTTCAGATCAATGTCATTTTCCGAGAAATATCGCACTTTCTCACCCCCTCAACCCAACATTGACCTTACTTGTTATCAGTTGACTGCTTTTGAAAGCCTCCAGGAACAACTTTTACGAGTTACTGCTTGCCCTCAATTTTGCACAACTTTGATATATGCACCTTTCCACATGAGTTCAGTAAATCTTACACACTTTTTTTACGCACCTGAAGTCGTGGTCTCGTTTTCTTTAATATACGTCTGTACCACGTCATGTAAGAAGAACAAAAGACCTACATCTATTGTTACGCAAAGCCCATCATCAAAGGTTGATGTAAGGCTTGTCTCCACCACGTGCGGACTGGCTGGTGTCACAGCCATGGGCATGACCACCGGTGCGCTAGTAAAGCAACACCAACATTGGTTAAATTTAAACGGAAGATTAACGACACACAGCCGAAGTAACTAAGAGAAATGTCAGTATCTGAGCAACTGTCCACCTACCCCTCCCTTAACCCCACATTAACCCTGACTTGTTATCTGTTGTTGGGCTAGGGGAGGGGTAGGCGCACAATTGCTTAGATACAAACACTGATCCAGTATCTTCATGGTGAGTGAAACGCTTAAGATTCAAAAACAAATTTTGAAGGACGAAAAATTAATTGTTCCCTCTCATTTCTCACCATTTTTGTTTACGGACCCACTTGGAGGCGATCGACGTCATCGGCATGTCGTGTTCAGATCTAAATTCCATCTCAAACTTTGGAATAGCGAATATCGCCTCCGTCTCGTGTTCGTATCGGAAACCGATACTTGCTCGTCGTTCTTTTGAGGCAACTTTACCAGATGCTGTCATGGACTCTGAGCGTTCTCGAGGCTTATCAAAACTGCTGGGGGCGGTGTTATCAGACGGGCTTATGTCCCCTCCGGTTGCACAAACATAGTTGAGCCAATCCTGGACAGTGCTTCCCATAGATGGGGGGTTCCTCCTACCACGAGCAACTTTTTGGACGATTCCCACGTGCGCTGTGAAAAAAAAGTGATTCACTACTAATTTGTCGCTACTAAACCTTTTACGGCTTGACAATGATGGGTAACATTAACTAAAAGAAAACTTTCGCGGAGTGGTTCAACCCCTTCCACAGAAGCAAGTTTTTAAAGATTTCCTTGTGATATAGACTTGACTCAGTTCTTGAAAAGTTCACTTTTTCACCCCAAATAACTCCGTCCTTACCTGAAGAGGGTGAGAGTTTTCCACTAAGAGAGTCTTCTGCACCATGCCCCAATTTGAGTGACAGATCCTGCACGGCTTTCACGCGCCTAACTTGACAGCTTTTCTCTATTGTGCACACCTTGCTTGTAAACGTCATATATGGTCTCTGAAGCGTGAACAATACCCAAGACTGGGAGCGAAAGTTCACCCCGTGAAAACATGCCAGAGAGACACCCTTGCCATGTAAAGTCAAGCTCCCTCCAAGCAACACACCTCTCTCTGGTAGGGGACTACTGAGCATGCTCAGTTTAAGGCCTCTGACCGCGTTCAGCACTTTTCCCCAATGTTGATATTTCAGACCTGTCAATACGAGATATGCGTCAGTCTTCCTTTCATGAAATCAATTTTCTTTAATACTCGCGGTGAGTACAGATCACAAAGTCAAAGGTGAAGTAAACATCAACAGGAGAAGCAGAGCCCATATAACAACACAAATGCAAGACTCCTTGGAGTCTCTTCTCACTATTTTCAAGTATACTTCATAGCCTATAAAGTAGTTAGGAACACTTTGTGTCTCCTAAACGGAAATTCCGATCGTCTCTTTAGAAAGGATGACATGACACTGATACGAGTCTTTCCTACTCCTCATACATTCTAATAACTAACTGAGAAAAAAAAAATAGGTATTTTCACTGCGGAACTAAATATAACTATTTCGCTACAACAGGGGCTTCGTAACACAAAAAACACTACCAACCATCTTTATTTTCTTCTTTGACTTGAGATCCCGTGGAGACTGGCGTAGACAGTGACGACATCACATCCCCCGTGATGAGAGGTATGTGAGGACGAAGAGAGGACAATGCACGGATGCTGTTTCGGTGTTGCTGGGCAACGAATTCCTGAATCTTGGCGACCATCTTGACTATGTCGGGTGTAGTGGAACGACAAATCATTATCTTGAAATCATTCCACGCCAAGTCCCCGTGCATGTAGATTTTGGCGTTCACTGGTTCACGTTCCTGTTCGAATAGAGAGTCTGGAAAACAAGGAAAACTTACATTTCATCATAACATAACTGAAAGTTGTTTCCTTGTCTTCACTTGCGAGAGAAAACTACCTTCATAGGAACTTCTTTCTCTAAACATCAACAACCAATATCTGGATGGCACGGGTTCGAATTCCGTCGAAGCCTGAATTTTTCAGGTTTTTTTCCTGTAACTGCCGAAATTGAAGTCAATCTACGAGGACCATCTCTCTTCTTAATTGTCATCCGCAGGTCAAAGAAAATTTCTTTCACAAAAAAATTGTGAACAATGCTATTAAGGAATACTCTCACTCAGCCAACCACACCATGCTATTGGATTTTAAGAGAAACGATTCCCACCCTTAACTTGTTGATTCAATTTTTTTTTTTGGGGGGGAAGGGATACCCAGTATCATTCGGTCAGTTCTTCGTTCCACGTGAACATAACAACACGAAGAAAACTCAGCTCCAATTCTTTAAGCCATTCAACTAGGCTGATCCACAGAAACTAGTTTGTGAACGTAGCTCTCTGAGGCTTGTTTGATTGGCTGCTACTCCCTGTGAGGGGTTTTCTTTCACAAGTAACAACCTACTCACCGGTGGAAGGGCTCTTTGTCTCCTGTAGCGTCCATTCATCACGCAGGTCAGTCTTGAACGCGGAGAGGTTTCCCATAAATATACATGTTCCCATGTAGTCAATACGAGCCTCAGCGTACCGTAGACCCAAGTGAATAAAATGCTGCGGGTTACAGCCTCGCTCTTCGTTGACTTGGGCTAAATACAAAAAAAGATAATTAATCTGCCAGCACTCTATGAAATTTTAAGATAACTCTGAAGTTTTAAACCGATATAACAGGCGCTCTGATTGGATAAATGGTGGAGCTTTATTCTCCTTTATAACATAGAGGACATGATCACTAAATCCAGATTGGCGGAGTCAGGGAGTGTCTTTCATTTATTTTGGTAATTTCCCGTGCAAAATTACTTGAAATCTAAACTTTGTCTGAAGTACTGCAATTTCATCGATGGCTAATTCTTTTTTCAACACGGCTGGTTTCATTACTTTGATGTGTTTTACAAAAATAAAATTTCACCCAGCTGATTCGTGCGTTTTACAGTTAATTGACGCCAACTTAACACTGAGATAGCTTCCAACGAAATAGCACAAAAGTGTGCCATTTTCACCTTCTTAGGTTTCCCCTTATAACATAAACAAGGCATCGCATGTTTTCTTGTAAATCAGGGATTACTATTACTTGTGTTTTCCTTGTTTTGAAACCTTTATCGACTGGTCGATGGCGTTACTTTGGTTTTGGTCTATTGACACGCAATTGAAGACTTCTCCAAATGGCAAACCTGACTGCTATTCTTGTTAAAGCACGTAACCTGTAATTACCAACGTCGTCGACATGCGTGTCAACAGCAGAGTGTTCATTAAAAAAGCAAGGGCAGTAAGGCCTCTTTGCGCGCCCTCTATAACCGAGTCGATTGTGTGTTTTTCCTACCTCGCATTTTGAGCTCTTGTATTTCAACATGTCCGCCGACAATACCACTTCGTGCCTCATACACCGCCTGGCGAACACTCACAGATCCCTTCAGCTCACGGCGACCCATATTTGTGAGAGTGATGTGACACTGAGAACGAAGGTCACTTGTACTCCATCTTAGAAAAATAATAAAATGAAAGGAAAGGAGAAATTCATAGGGTTACAATGAGTGGTACAACTCTTAGCACACCCTAATACTTTTGGATTCTTTTTTTTTTTTATCTCTCCTTTACCTCTCTCTCTCTCTCTCTCTCTCTCTCCCATTTCAACATTACCTGGTGCTAGTTTTGGTGTAACCACCTGGCAACATTGTTTAGGAGAAGAGGGGTGACTTCTAAGAAACTAGATATGTTTATTATGTTGAGTGGAGGGTTGTGGACCCCCCACTGAGAGACGCATGCCAACTACTTTTACCAACCACTGAATATGTTTTTCAGCTGCTCACGACCGAAATCAACATTGCATCAAGCTGATTGAAAGAAATGTTCAGGCTTTGTTTCAAAAGTTTCGAATTACTTCTGCAAGTAAATAGTTTTGAACCAAGGAATACAAGAGGCTCTCAAAACTAAAGACGTTTAACTGCCGTTTGCTCTCTCCCTGCGAGGGCACCGAGTGTTTCCATCTGTATGTGACCCTTAGAGTTGGTCCACTTTTGATCGTTTACACTACGATTAGGTTTTTTTTTTTTTTTTTGCATCACCGGGTGAAAAGGAAAGACGCGAAGAGAAGTGGGAAAGTTAACATGTTCTTACAGTGTTTGTCCCATCACGCTGCCCATATTTGTTGACATGTCCAACCTAGAAAGATTAACAGCCACGACAACCACTGTCTCCCATTTGGACCGAGTCCCTGCGAGGCTGGACGAAGATGAATGGCTCAGAGGACCATCAACTTCAGATTCCGATGAACTTTCAATGACTTTCAGTCCACGGCGTTCAGGCGGGTTGGTTTTCATCCCAGCTGAAACAAGGTGTGTGATAGATACTGATTAGATTGTGCAATTTGGATAATTTACAAACCAGAAAAATTACACTCGCGAAGAATTTTATTAGTTCATCGTTTCCCACCTAAGGTTGAAGGCCGTTTTCTGTTTGGAGGCGAGGTTACAGAGGGGCTCAGTAATCCGTTCCTATTTCCGCTAATTGTCATTGACCGCAAGAGACCAGGAGAACTAGGAAGTAAACCGAAGAAAGAACTGCCAGACGACGCCATTTTCCGTTGACCTGTAAAAAAATTAAATAAACAAAAGCAACAACAAAAGGTTAAAGGATTTAGTGAAAGCAGTGACTTTGTCCATAGTAATAATGGTCAACAGTGGGTTGGTGAGGTCTGCTATAGTCAGCATTGGTGGAACATGAGTTAAGTTATGGTGGATAACAGGGCGTGAAATTAACTTTTTTTTCTGATAGCCACTTGGCTCCTTAATTCTTCAAAGTGGTAGCCAATTCAAAAAAAGTTGGTCGTCATTTTCAAAGACAAACAAAATCTTTCTTTACGCTGTCAGCGTTCTAGATAGACCCTCCAAAATTAAGTTAGGGAAAAGATCTTTAACGTGCTACAAAGTGGACACTAGGATGGATGATAAACAACATTCAGGCTCATCTAAATCCAAGATGGCGTCTAGTTATCGATCGAGATGCATGTCCTACGTTTTGGAACCAAAATTAACGAGGAAGTTTGCCGCGGATTTATCTTTGGAAATCTTTTTAATTCACTATATCTCTTGGTAAGGTTATGATGAAACGTTCTAGTCGCCAATTTGGCGACTAACTTTCAGGATTTGGTCGCCAAAGTGAAAAATTTAGTCGCATTGGCGCCTGTATTAGGCGCAATTTCACGCCCTGGATAAGGAGGTCCGTTAAGGAAAACAAACTGGTCAGACGTTGCAAATAAGTTGGTTAGCAGAGGAGGATAGGAGGATGAAGTGGTCTTTAGTGGAAGACGAATACGCCGAATTGGCCAGAAGTGGAGTATCAAGAGACCAGTATTCGAGGATTACAAGTTAGAAGTAAAGAATCATGAAGAGATAATTAATAGAGGCAGATTACGCCAACAGCAGAAATGAGGTGATCGGTTGAGGTCGTAGTAGCGAACAAGACTGTCGGAACTCGAAAGTTTGGAGGGTGTGAATTTTTTTCTTGGATTAGCGCTCGTGACGTAACAAAAAACATCCTTCTTTATGAGTGGTAAAAGTAGTCCTAGACTGACCTGGCCTTTGTTTGTTTACGGGCGATTTTACCGGAGTGACAGGTGGCGGCTCCTCGTGAGACTCAGACATGGAACGAAATAGGGAATGTTTTCGAAGCTTAGCCGGCGTTGCAGTGGCTGCAGAGGTCTCTCTCTCGTTGAGGGACAAAGATCTACAAAACAACAACAAAAAATACATTGTATCAGGAAAACCACATTCACGAAGTACGACAAAAGTTTTCTAAGAAAAGTTTTAGATACAGATCTCTAATCATTAACAAAAAGGAGATATTTTTTTAAAGGTTTTCACTGAAGCGTTATAAAAATGCTTAAGGTCGAAGCATTACTCAAAATCCATTATTCAAAACCGAATGTTGTGCTTGGAGGGCTTTCTGGATAACATTACTGGGAATGTCCTTCAATTATAGACGCACTCTCCCACCCAATTACCAATAATTTAAGAACGAAATGATCCTTTCAATAACGTTTTTCTCGTTACTCCTTGTGAAATACCTTCTCCTGTCCTCGTCGGAGGATTTATTCATTGGAACTGCATCAGGGCTCATTTCAGATGTCATCGCTGACGTCTTCGTGGCGTAAGATCCCTCCTTTCCTAAGAATAACCGCTGGACAAGTCCACCCTTGTACCAAGCTTTTGGAAAGTCCAGAATCTCGTTCAAACGGCGCATGTCGTAGTTGAAGGTTGCTGAGCCAATGTCGCAGATACCTTACGAGAAATTAATTCAAAGGTATGTCTCTGAGCTGCAGTAATAAAAAGCCCTCGCTTTAAACCCTTTGGCCCCTTAGAGTGACAGGCATCTAATTTCTCCTAAAAAATATCACCTCTGAATCACACATTAAGGTCACAAGAATAAAGGAAATGATCATCAGCTGAAGAAGCTCTTGATTGGTAAACAAATTCTCCTTGTCGGCACTTTTGGAAATGTATAGAGAACAATATAGAGAAAATGCATATTAATGTAAAAGGGTAAGGAAGCAATTTTGTTTTAAGGTTATTTGTGATGTTTTACTCACCAGAAACCTTGACAACAGTTGAGGATCCAGTCCCCGTCCCAGCCAGAAGATCAGGTGATGGCGTCCTACTCTTATCTTCCGTCGAGCCACCAGTAGACCCAACCCTTCTGCGTGACAAATTAAACTTGACGAATTCCACATTCAAACTCAGCGAGTCCTTCTTACCAGATAAGGGTTGAGACGGTGCAAAACGGAACCGCGGGCGATTTTCTTCGAGGTTGTCTTCCGCCTCCGGGGAGCCACCACTCGGAGAGCGACCCAGACCTGTGTGCTGCTTCCCGTATGGATGGAAGATGCAGAATGAAAAGCGGGAGAGGCATACGGTGAAGCTGATACCACCGCTGTCAAAAGTCAACGAGGATGGAGGCAGGCTGTTTTCCATCTGGTCTGTCCTAAGACGCGATTGATCACGGCTAAGGAGTCGCGAAGACGGTGTTTGTACTAGAGACTTGTTAGGACTGGAGTTGGAAGAAAAAACGACATCTAGTGCAGGAAGTCGCAGCATACACTCCACACGTGAAATAGGGAGACAGCTGAAGCGAATATCAGATGGCTGTACACGAATCACGACCACCACATCTACAGGAAAGGAAGAATATTCGGACATGGACGATGACACCACAGAACCTCCCATCTCTACCTCTGTGTCGCTGTCCTCACCTGAGGCTATGCCTCCCCCTCCGTCGACCACTTCGTCTCCACCTGGGACGCTGATTGGTTGCAGAGCTTGTTCAATAAAACTTAACAGACGTGGTTTCAATACCATCTCCTGAGGTAGTGACTGGAACAACACCCATACATACAGACCAGCTCTCTTGACGATTTTCCTGTTTTGGGTACAGCTAATGAATGAAGAATCCATGCTTCGACCTTCTTGATCAGTCGATTCAGCGTAACTGATAAAAGAAGAATTGTCTGTGGGTGTCTCTGGCTGAACTTGTATCGTGGGCGGACTCCCGCCTACAGAACCCGGGGAAACGGAGACTCCGACGTTTTCAGAGTCAATGGTGGAATGGTAGTGGACACGGACATCCACTGCAGGTAACAGTACTTTTGTATCTTCAGGTTGAGGTTTCTCTTGTGCGTTTTGTTTCTGTCGCTTCTGACCAATGGTAGTCTGGAACAGTGGAGATGAAAATTTACCGCGTGCAGGATCATACAACTGGAATCGTTTGTCTGAAGTCCTGGGGAAAAATAATAGACACTCTGCTGTGAACACCCAACGTATCTGAATCATTTAAGTACCATTTTGGACCAAAACCGCACGCTAATCCATATTTTTTAACTGTAGACCAGTAAAAATCAACTTGCGCTTTGCAATTTTTTGATAAAGGGTCGCGAATTATTCAAAACTTTACCCAGTAGGCTTTGAGATTGTTTAAAAAGGCGGTATTCACCTAGCCAATCAGAAAAACTACCGGTATTTAAACCAAGCCTGTCGGTGCTTTCCCGCATTCGAGGCCGATTCAGTCATCTGATTGACAAATGAAAAGGGCTTTACTTTTATTTGGTGGAAAGTTTGATTTCGATATCATACTGATGTTGGAAGTTATTTGCTTGAAAAAGGTTCGGGCCACTGATCCTGTGCTGGAAGAGATATATCCAACCCAGGAAGCCCGCTACAAGTTTTTCCAAACTTTCATTTGCCAATCGCGGGATGCTGCTTATCTGCGAGTGCTGCTTATACGCCGGTGTTTTCGGCAAGTGCGATATAGAACTTGAAAAACTGCAACGTACTTGCTGTCTGCAGTGTCGTCCTTTTCTCCTTCATCAGCAGGATAAAATACACACTGACCACTGTCAATCTCTACTGCCACGTCTAACTCAAAATCAAGATTTTGTTGTGTCTGATGTTGTTGGGATTGATGCTGCGTCGCAAATGACTTCTGCGACGAGCCGCTCTCGTAATCCGACTCACTAGGGGTCCTAAAAGTCACTCTCGGTCCTCCTGTTTCCTCTCCTTCTTGGTGCAACATGCTTCGCAACGGCAGCGTGTCTTCATGAATCGACTTAGCTGCGCTGTTGCCCACGTTGATGATGTCGGGAAGAGATGGCGAATATCTTCCGAAAATTGAGTTCTCTGACTCGTCCTCGCAGATAATCAGCGGAGCATCGCTGGTAGAAAATCTCTCAGGTCTCCGCGGTGACCCCATCTCCACCATTTCGCTCTCGACGTCTTCCTGGTCGCTACTCACTTGGCGACGCACTCTAGAGCGAGTTCTGGATCCCCGAACCTTCTCGGACACAGCTTTCCTGCCGTGAGTTTTGCCTCGGTCTGAATCGGCAACCTTCGAATGGGTCGATCGGCCAGACCGAGAATTTCGCCGAAGCCTCTTCCGAACGTCTTTCCGAAATTCGTTAAAGACTGCGCTTTCAAGGTCCTGAAGTCGTTTTGTTTCTCGTTCCATGACGTACGACTCCACGTCGGTTTTTCTCCTATGCAAATTCATAAAAAAATCAATGAAACTTCTATCTTCGAATGCAATCTTAGAGGCAACGAATGAAAGTATCTAGGCAACTGCGATCCTACCCCTCCCCCAACCAAACAACAGTCAACTGATCATAACAAGTTGGGGAAAATGTTGGGTTGGGCGAGGGGTAGGCGCACAGTTGCTCAGATAATGACATTGATCCGAATGTCGTCAAGATATAACTTGGTGGCAAAGAGTTGGCGACCACATTGAAAGCTCCGCTGAAATTTGGCGAAAAGAAATCCCTATTCAATTGTTGCGGTAAGTTCTTTCACAGAGATCAAAGGCACAGATTTTTAACAAAAAAATTCAACCGTCAACCAGATGCAATCCAAAAATGGAATAAAATAAAAATAGATTGCTGCCTAACCTCAGTTCATTAACCTTGCGGGCCTGTTCCCACATATTTTTCTCGATTTTTTTAGATTTCCGTCCATCCACCATGCCTGCCATGTTATCCACCTCATCTCGGCCTCCGACTGATGTCCTCGGAGTTTGGTCCCTGTCTTGCAGTTCTGTAACCGAGTCAATGTTAGCCACATCCGGCTCACCAGCCAAAGCGGTCAGCGTTTGTCCCAGAGATGACAAATGCTTACCAATGTTGGTGTCGCAATGTAATTCGATACCGCACATGCGCCACTGGAAGGACATAACCCACTTCCCTGCTTTAATCATGTCTGTTATAGAACAAGAAAAAACGGTTATAATACCTGCTACAAGTTAAGTTGAAGGGTTTTACTCTTGAGAACCTAATGTCCCATTTGACTCGAGACATCCCCCGTTCTTTTCTTTTTTTTTGTTTTTTTTTTTTTTTTAGTATCAAGCGTCTAGGTGTGTTGCTTGTCTCCAGGGGGACGCCTGCCCATTGCTGGTTTTGTTAGGTTTCCAGTTTTCTTAATCCATTAACCCTTTACACCCAACATAAGCATGCATAACCTCCATACTGCTCTCTGTATATTTTCTAAGGTGTCGATAAGAAGAACGTTTAACGATCAAAAGCTCCTTCAGTTGGTGCTCATTTCCTTTTTTCAGGAATGATCCTGTAAGAAGAAATTAGATGCTAATCACTCTCAGGGATCTAAGGGTTAATAGTGCTTGGTGGAAGAAGCATCGTGAACAAGGCGGCAGAGTATGAAAACGAGCAGCGGAGCTTCGAGTCATATTCATTCCCAATCCTCTCAGGGCTCTGCCTCTCAATTGCAAGGACTCTTACCTGGTGTCACAGGATACCTTTGTGTTCTGGAGCATAGTTCGTAAGTTCCTTCGGGAACAACACCTGGAAATACAAAATCATAAGATTATCGTTGGCGGCTGTAGCAAATAAAGACAAATTGTTCAGCTCCCTTCATTTGACTCAGGCACAGCTCAAAGTCATCAACGGAAACAAAAAGTAAAATGCCTTACATCTACTACATCGCGTCGTTGACCCAGACTCAAAGTTTGGTTTCCAGTCCTCAGTATCGGTATCAAATTTGTCGGCGAACCAAAGACAGAAGCTGTTAAACTTTCCTTTACTAACAAAAGAGACGCTTGAGCAACACGTGAGTAGCATCTGTTCAACCCTTAATACCATAGCAGGACCAGGCTCTTGTTCTAAAAACACGTAAACAAGAAGGGAAATAAAAGTGCATTTGAAGTGAGAGTCCGTAAAAATGTGCAGAACCAGGTCGCGATTGGTCGTAGCTTTTTCTTATGATTGGTTGAGAGAGTGGGTTGGGTTTTCTAGACCAATCAAAGAGCAAAGTAAAACAACCAATGCAATAACGAGTTACTACCGACACTCAACACAAAATTGCCTTCACTGAGACATTTTTAAGTCAGTTATTTGCGATCTGATCAAACCTTTTTCATCATTAGTCATCCGCTTATCAACACTAACTCTTGTGTCTTGCTCCATACCAATCATTTAAAGCAAATTATCCAAGACGATAAAAAATAATCAAATTAATGTAGAAACGAGAGTGCTCTTGTAACTTATCAAGGATCCACTTACCAGCATATCTCATTTGAAAGCCTTGAGCGATACCCTGAAAGAGGAAAGAGAAGACGTAACTCCATTGGACATACTGATAACTGAATTCACGCGCTTTTCTCGTCTTCATCCAATAACCCGCGTGGCTCGTTACCTCGGTAAACCGTAAACTCTTCGCTTAAATGTTTCTTCTCATCGACATTAATGGTTACAAACCTGATTGCCATTATAGAGGGGAATACAAACGCCAAGTTGGTCGACAGTAAGTTGAAGGAAAAGTGATCCCGACAGCTGGGAAGACGGGGCTCTCTGAGGCAGTTTGTCCAGCACAGCTTGAGTGGCAAAATGAACCTGAAGTGAATCGAGGGAAAAAGTCACTTAATTCGTCTGCTACACTTAAAAAAAAATAACAATTTCGTCTCACATCTTGTTGCGTTCAAAACTACTTTTCCTGAACAGTTTAGAACGATGAAATATAGAAGAACGCATATCGAATGAGTGTCGAAAGGAGCAAATGAAAAGTCGAATGAAACGCGGGAAAACGCGTGCGACCAAGTCACAATTGGTGTCACTTTAGCATCTGGTTGGTCGAGAGGGCAGCCACAGTTTCTGGACCAATCACAGAGCTAGGTAAATCAACAATTGGAAAAGCTAATGACTATCGACAGTCAAAACAGAATGCGCCTAATGAATTAAAGCGTGCATTACTCTTTCAAATAAGGCTTAACCTACAGTATGTGATCTGACTGTCTGACAAAAAATATGATCAACATTGTTGTTCTAATCTCTCACTTCGTTAACTCGTTTGCGTGACTCGTTTCAACATTAAAAACCTTTGCATCCACAAGTCGCAAAATAACAAAAATACATTTTAGGGATAGCGCATTTAAAACATTGTAAGAAAATAGCAACAAAACAAAAAAATAACTATCTGCATTACATGTACTTACAAAACATTTTAAGTAACGTCTTGTTATTCTTGGCTAACTACAAAGAACTACTCGATCGCACACACTTTGTTCTAACTGTCTAACTCACCGACAAACTGATTCTTCTACCAAATAGACGAGAAAGTTTATTGCTAACTAGCTGTGAATGAATGTACACATAAATACGTGAGTTATGGACCATTTGGAAAACATTTTTTAAAATGGGACATGGATACCAGTTTGTTATGCTATGGAGCGGTGCAAAAATAACACCAGAAATATAAGTTATGTCTAAGTGTTTGATACACTCTACACAGACGTCTCAGGCTGTACATGTAAGTGTCGTAAACCATTGAAAGGATAGGACGTATTGAGAGAGCAAAAGTAAATGAAGAAAAGGCCAGTTTCGTCAATAAGTCAGTCTAGAAAGATATCAACTAATAACGAACTGCAAGTACGAAACAAAAATATTTGGCGAAAAAAAATTCATAGGGAGTGTAAGGACAAGATGGAAAGTTGCAGAGTGCGTGTTGATAAAAATCAGAAGATCAGTACTAACATCACTTGTGGTGTTCTCCACGAGCCACTGTATAAGAGAGGGGAATCATTGATAGAGTAAATTCAAGAAGACTGTACATAACAATCACGTAAAAATTCACATTCTGTGCGAAAAGAATCAAGGCCTGAAAGATTTGATATGCCAAGGGAAAAGAAATGAAGGCAGCACCAGACGTGGAAAATAGATTAGGAGGAGACATGATTACATTTTGGCGGGAATTTACCAAGATCTGAGAAGGAGGAAGCACGTGCAGGGAAAGAATTCGAACACCGCGTAAGCAACGCCTGAACGCTACGTGAGCGCCATGTGAACAACGCATGAGCGCCACGTGAACACCGCATGAGCGCCACGTAGAAAACTGAAGTGACTGCACTTGAGTGTACGAGGACAGAAACAAAGCTGTGGCGCGAAAAACAGAAGAAGCCGCTGACAGTTACGGCTAACTGTGGCGGGAAAACGCTGTCGGCATTACTCTGAACACATCAAAAGATTAATTAGCCTCGTGAACAGAATACTATCATACGATTATGTAGGCTTCTAATTACAGCACAAACATGCAATCGAACATGTCTCGAATAAATCAAAGTGTATACCAACCTCTTTGTTAAGCGCAAGGCGTTGCTCGTTCCAGTGTTCGTAAGCGTTCTTATAATTCAAATAAACAAGAACCGCTGAAAAAAAAGAGATTCAAACCTTCGATGTATTTATTACGTGTATATAAAAATATCTCTTGCGTACTACACATTATGCATTACCTACTGTTATGTGTGCTATGTACCACAGACTATTGGCTACTTACTGTGTACAAAAAGAACAGAACAAAACCGAAAAAAACCCTAAAACAAAGAACATAAGATGTTTTATAAACTGCAGCCCGAATACAGTGAAACACAAGCGCACTAAGATATATACTATTCCATATAAAGTGTATCTCTCCTGTGTACCATTTCTTCAGTTACAACCCTTGTCCACCTTGAAACTAAACTACAGACCACTTTCAAGTTTTAAAAAAAGTGAAAATATGGCAAAACTGCGAGACAAAAAAAAAATGTTTTAAGATACCCTGTGGAAATAACGATCACATCTCATTATTCTGTTCTCCACTAAATTACACACGCAGAAAAAACCTGCAATCAGTTTACCCCTGCTTCTTTTTCAGAAATGATTGTTTCTGTGGCATTCCCCGATCAATAGTACCTCTGAGTAAAGGTTACTTATATCATTTTAATGATTTCACCTTTGTCGAATGCCACTTGCTGTACGTACAAACACGGTTTAGTTAACGTCACCAGGAATGTCTCTTTATCTTCTGTGCCAGCTAACGATCTGCTATCCTGTGAGCACAAAAAAATGAAAAATGGATACGGCTCATCATTTTTCCAAGTAACCGAGATAGGACTTTCAAAAGCTACTCTTGCAATCATTCTACAAAAAGTGATCCAATGTATATTCTTGTTAATCGTCGTTCAAACTGAAGGTTGCACTCGCTGATTGTTCGTCTGCAGATGAGGCTACCAGCCAGCTCTCGAGGCTCCGACCTTTTCTGGTCGCTATGACGCGTAATAAAAAACAACTCTGGCGCCTAAATCCGCAGTGAAAGCCGCCAGTTTTGGGCGCCTATGTCCGTTAGTAACGTAATGAGCTGAACCATGTTTAGTTGTAGTGCTGTGGTCAGCGTATAGTTCGATTATATTGCGAGTTCCTACGACTAACATGTTATTTCTGACAACTATGTTATGGTTTTAGGTCGCCAGACCGCGACTTGGAATAAATTTGAGCGAAGAGTCCTGTACCTGAAATGAATTGCTGACTCCAATCCTGGTTTTGAAGTAAGCCAACTGCTGGTATTCGAGTTCGTTGTCTATGATGCGGCTCTGTCGATGGAGAAAAAGGACTACAACTTACCACTCGGGTGCTTCTGAGTTATCAAAATTATCTTTGTTAATTGTTACCTTGTTAAATTGTCCTAAAGAGAGATTAACGTCCACTTGCGCTTTTCCAAACAGTTTCACATAGCTACTACCTATAACAAACACCACAGAATCACAGGATTAATAATTCAATAAATTTCCGAGCTAGATGCAGGGTACTCGTTTCCCGCGCTTAACACGTAACTTTGGCAGTAGGCTAGGGTTTGTTTTCCCGTCCTTTCCATAACTGTTTTCCACGTCTGATTTCGCGCAGCAGTAAGTTTTCCCGCACTCAGAACCAAGCACACGTCTCGTTCCGACATCTGCTTAATTAGCTGACCAGTTAACCGCGTTGTGACTGACCCATAAAAATAATCGTAAAGAGTTTCTAAAGCTGACGTTTCAAGCGTCAGCCCTTTATCATTCGCTCTTTAGAAACCTTTCGCTGGGCGGCCAATTTACATTATAAATCAAAATCATGGTAAAAGCAAATCATCTCATTATACACCGAAGCAGCACCACAGTCTCTTCAGAAACCTCCCTCTTGTGTATAAATATATTTCAAGTGTATATAAATTTATTCATATATAAAAAAAATTTACTGAATACTCACTCCTCCTCAGCTGACCAGGAAGGAGGCCAGACGATGGCGCTGAGTTGGACACCTCTAATGACACTACACCAGTATCCAGTCTCACCGCGGTAGACGAAGGAGTTGTAGCTGTCACTTGGATTCCCTGACAGAGAAAAACATGATGAAAAAAAGCCTCCAGAAGTGTGTCTCGTGTGCCAAAGAATCATATCTCAGATAACTGTTGATTGCTGTGGGAAAAGTCTATCCAACAATGGTGCGGTGAAAAGCTTACAAAATTTGGTGAAATTGTCAAAAATGAAAAAGAAGGGGACCCATATTACTCAAACTTACCACAAGAGACGTCATTATGAGAGAGAAATTCGACACTAACATGAGTTAAATAGAGCAATCTTACATCTAGTACATGCCGGGATTACCTTCAGATTAAGACGGAATGAATAAAGCAAGGGAATTTCTTTCTCCTTTGCGGTGTCCACATCTTCAGTAGAAGCGGTCCTCCACAAAGGGACAGGTTGGCTCTCACCCGACACTCGCTGAAGAACATCATTCACTTCCTAAGAAACAAACGAAAATCAAGACACAACACTGTGGTTACGATACTGTTTCCAAAGAAACGCTGACACAAGGCAATCAAGGAACATCCAAAAATGGTACACAAAGGGAGAAAAAAAAAAAAGAAAAAAGTAGGCAGTATATTTAAGATTTATAATAAAAGAGTTTCCAAATGCTTAATGTAGCTATGCAATTACGTAGTGTTTACTAGACTAAAATGTATCTAAATGATAGCTTACAATTTTTTTTGTCATTATCATCACTATGGTTGAAATTATTTCAGTTATCATTATTTTTCTTTCATTTTTGTGAGCGATGTTGGTATTGTATATTTAAAAAATAATTGGAATTGTTACAGCAATTATGATGCAAGTTATATTTAGATGAATGAGGCGGGTTAGATTTTAAGAGACTGTGGTGCTGCGCCTGTGGGGGAGTATGACAGGAAAATTTGGCACCATCAAATGAGTTGGTAATGTTAATTGGCCACCGTTAATACTTTCAAAGCTGACGTTTCGAGCTTTAGCCTTTCTCTCCGAGCGAATGGATAGATGATAGATGTGCATATAAGTTACGTGCCTTGATTAACAGTAGGTTTTGTGCGAGTTGTGTGTGTCTGGCAGTGTGTGTAAGTAAACTAGTGTTAAACATGGACTACAAACAATATCATTTGAAAATCAAACATGATTAAAACACACTTACCTTCATAAAGCTCTTCTGCACAAACACAAGATGGTTCAACAGATCTGTAGTGAGGCTGTGCTGGAAGGCACCGATTTCCGCAGATACGTGCAGATAGTTTTTAGGCGTGGAACGACGAAGAAAACTCTCCCCAGTCTCCGAAGGACCTTCCTTGGCTCGGGCGGGCCGAGGAAGCTTGGAAATTAGTTCACCTTCCACGTGGACTGGGGGTAGTTCCACAACTGTAGCTGGCGGGATAGTATTATCCAAGGACTGAACCTTTACAGAAAACAGTCGAGTAACACAAAAAGGTTAGATTTGAGATATAAGTAAAACGGCAGCGGCAATCTCGCCACTTTTTTCTGCTTTTCAGCTTGTCTCCGCTGACCAAGAGCCTAGCAAAAGGCTATTTGGGAGAGAACACAGTTCCAAAAGCGTACGACTTTTTTGGCAAAGCTCAAAACAGAATGGTAAATAAACATGGTTACCAGTGATTAAATAAGCCTTGTGTTCGAAAAGTCTCGAGTTTTCCTTTTTCCCTATTTTGTTTCATTGAACAGACTTCTACGAACGTTTTGATCTTTCGCTTATTTCGCGGCACAGCGGTTTCTTCCTATATTTTTCCCAGAAATTTTGAGCGGGAAATTGGTGTGCGGCCAGCTGTAATTGATCTTCTTGCGCATGCTCGACTCTTGACTGCTGTGTCAAAAGATCCAGGGTTGCGAGAATAACTCAGCGAGATAAAAGCTGCTTCTTCATCAAGGAAACAAGTAAAGCACCTGGATTTTAGGAAGATATACGTTTGCCGGAGTTTTCATATCATTTATTTTCAACTTTCAACTGGCAAGTGTTTCAAAGCCAGCCGACGCAGCACATAAGATGCTTTACTTACTTACTAGAAATTTTTCACAAACGCTTTACCTTAGAAGTAAAACTCAGATTGTGAGCCGGCATGGCCAACTTGAAAGTGCTGTTTTTTCCTGTGCGACCTGATCCTGTCACTCTTCCAATCTACGGAGAAAAATGTAAAAACCTATATACAACCCATAACTTGTAAATGAAAATACACGAGGAAACAAAATCAACCGCTCAGTGTGCAGGCTATGATTTTAACAGCTGCGATCATCGCAAAAATTTAAGTCGGTTTGTACTTTTTGCGACCTGTCCCACAAAAAATTTTATTCGCAGGGACAAATGTTTTCAGCATTGTTCTCCGTGTCTCCACGATATGTCAAACGATTTCTCCCCTGGCACGTTGACAATTCTTCCCAAAAATACTTTAACAGACCACTTCTCAATCGAGTGTCGAAATTAATCCGAGCATGCGTCGATTTTGTGTCAACTCGTCTTGCGATTGGTCTAAAGTCGCGCCACTCTCTCAACCAATCACATGCATAACTGATACCGGCCGAGAGTTGCCAAAACAGTTTCCCGCGCTCAAGGCAGTCCGCTTGTTTTAAGTTCTCAATGACTCCTTGTGAGATTTACCTTCTCTCTGAGCGGCTGCTGTGACTTTGTTTCAATTTTACGACATTAACTTGAAAAGTGTTCTGACACGTTACGATCTACAAGGTCTTAAAAGTTCCAACTTTTCCAACAAAAAATTTCCACAAAATTAGTGAATGTTTGAATGATTGTTCTAGTGGTATTTGTTCCTGGGAAATAATACAGTTCATTCTCAGTTGACTTTCTCTAATTTTCAATTCTGGAGACACGTAAGACCCTGCCTGACCTTGTACTCAGCTCGAAGAGAAGGCAGCAACGAGGCTCCGAGGCAAAAACCCTTCAACACGCAAGTGAAAGAGATTCTAGCCACTGTGGGGAGTGGTGAGGGTCCGTCTACACGATCCCATGGAGCAAACGGCTTAACAGATGACGGAGACACAAGCTGAGCGAACTTAGAGAAATCAGATGGCGCACCAGAAAGCCTGGAGTTAGCAAGGCGGGACTGGGATCGAGTCTCCAGACTCGCCATTGATCTATGAAACACAATCAGGAAAACGATTAATAACTTCATACAAACAGGAGAGAAAATGTCTTCAGTTCTTTAAACAATAGTAGCCGCATTTTCTACCAGTTTATCGATGAAATAACCAGCGCGGAATGCATGAAGAATGACACAAAACTTTCTAGATAACTCTTCTTCGTCTCGTAATCAGCAATCAATGTGCACTTAAGGGGGGGGACGTTTCTGAAGAAACTGTGGCGCTGCGTCTGTGGGAGGGAGGGGGAGGGAGGGTATTTCAATATCATTTTGTTTCATCAACTGAGTTGACCAAGAAATATTATCAACTCAGTTAAAAAAAACCACATTTTCTCGTGTTCCCCTTAATTCCGAATGGGTTATTACGCCAATGAACCAATAGAAAGTGCAGTATACCGCTTCCATTAAACAGCTATGGGTATATAACAGCAGGACACGATAGTTTCTTGACCAATCACGATGTGTTGTATATCATGTATTTTACAAATGCATCTTGACTTATTTATTTCATCCCTAAATCAACTTTTCCACTTGAATAGCCTTCAGGTTTTATATATGTATTTATGCATTTTCAAACTTCCTGACTTAATCATGAGGGGAAAAAAACTGTCCTCACCAATAAGGGCCTCAACTAGTGAATCAGTTTACCTTATGACAGATCTCTGACTTTGAATCTCTGAGATGTGTCGCGATATAGTGCGTGAACTTCGCGTCATCATTGAGTGTAACGCAACGGGGTGCTGAGGGATGTCGATGTCAACCACTCCCAACGTTACCAGTGCGTTACCTTTCTCCTCGCTTGATTGCGTGACGGAAGAGTAGAGAGCATGAGAGCGAGACAAATTGCAGCTCACCACGGTCCTAAGAAGGTTGGAAAAACGACGATATATATAAAGTCCACAGATATCAGAGGGGGCCTCTCTGGCCAAATAGGCGGCGCGCTAAACCTCTACCATGTAGCAAAGAACTTTATAACGCGCTAACTTTAACGTCAACGTTTAACTTCTAACGTTCACGCGCAATTCGAGTCATGAGTCACTGAGTAATTCGACTCATTCAAGATATCCATAGACGAATCAACTATAGCATGCCCCCCCCCTCACCCAACGTACGATTCAACTTACGATTCAACGAATAATGAAATTCGAAGATAATACATTTATCATTGCTATAATTGTTAAAGTTTTGCCTCTTGAACAAAACATCACAAAAATAATTCTCAGCTGAGATTTTGAGTCATTTATTTACCCTGTGGCATATTTCGACGTCTCTTTCAGATCCATTCTTGTTTTTCCTACATGAGCCGTCACGGAGGACGCGGCATGGTCTGAAACTGTCGGGAAAATGAAGTATTACACGTTGGAGGAATTTATGCGAATGTGGGTGAGAAAGTATTTTTAAGTTTCACTCTAAATACAACTATTTGTATAAATAGTATTTCCAGGAATTTATATAAAACAGTTTCCAAGTTCAAGAGGCAAAAATACACTAAAAAAATTGCCGACCTTCACAGCTTTTTTCCATCTTCTCTTTCTTACAAAACGACACACTTATTTCTCTGAGCTCTGTCTCCAGTATGAGCCCGCCAATACTGGCCAGCAGTTTAACCCGTGGTAAGGTCACTACACCAAACACTGTGGACAGCGGTATCACACTTTGCGCATCCTCCTGATCCGTTATGGTAGTTGCTTCAGTGGTGCTGCGGCTGGCCGCTGAACGTCTTTTCTCAGGACTCCCTGAGGTGCGGGCGCGGCGCCTTTTACCATCTTCTATCGCACCATCTTCGATGTCGATCTTGACATCACGTGGCTTATCTGGCGACATTTTGTCAGCTAGCAAGGGGCATAAAGAAATATGTTGAATTAGTGTTACTATGCAGAGAGCTGAACCATGTAATGGGCTTACATGTGACAAGCGTCCTGCAATGGATCAACGGAGTCTTATGCATTCTGTGTGGCGATCAAGTAAAAGAGACGGTAAGAACGGCAAAGGGATGGAAAGGACAGTATAAACTCAAAAGAAGATCAAGTTAAAATATTAGATTCATGTATCACCTCCTAATACTCTCCCGAGGGTACTTCGCTTCAAAAAGCCCTTAGTTTTGGCCTCACGCGGTAGCGACGAATAAAGGTCAACAACCTGGTACATTATTCTCCAACACCTTGCAGCTGCATGGGGCACTTTTGACCTCAACGGCAGACCCCCGTCAGCTTGGTCTTCAGGGGACATCAAACTTTGGTCTCCAGATGTCAGCGGTATTTCGCATTCATTGTTTTTGGAGACAAAATTTGACAGTAACTCGAGCATGTCCACAACTTGTAGAACCAGACGGAGGAAAGAGAGATTGGCACGTTGCGTAATGTTGCCACATCCCACGGTAAAGTTGACCTGCGTCAATTTGTTGTTCTCCTTCATTGAGTAAAAACTGTTACCTGGAGTCCAATTGGGAAGAATATCTCGAGGAGTTTCATCACAAAGAAACCTAAAAACGAAGTCTCTGGCGATGAATACTGGGTCTCTCTCCTGCAATAAAGATATAGGCATGAAGAATTCAATAGATATAACGAAGAACTATACGATCAGGCTTAGTCGGCAAATAAAGAAAGATGCTACTCATTTTTTCGAGGCCACGACATGGAAAATATCCCATACAACACAATGGTAAGGAGTCCACGCACGTGCGACCGTTGTAATGACTAGGTAGCGTGCTTTCAGGCATTCAGAACCAAGTTGTTTCACAAATGTTACCAGCAAAAGCCAGTAAGTCCAGCGTTTGGTGACGCTCATAAGAGAGTGGTAAATTAACAAAATACCCGTACCTGAATAAGCTTTGTGTTTGAAAAGTCTCTAATTTTGTTTCCTTTGACACTTTTCTATGAAAGTTTTATTTTCATTCGCTTATTTTGAGAGACAGCGATTGTTTCTTGAGTTTTCCTTACAAATTTCAACCAAGAAATTTGCAAATGGAGACCCAAATCGATGCCCCCGAGCATGTCCTTCGTTCATCTCCTGTGTTGCCCCATACGAGGAATTTAGCCTCCGACCTTCCGATTTCGCAGTCCACTACTCCAGCTGTGAACTGGTGAACTAATATAAGCAGCAAGTTCTTTGCAATAAAAACTAAGCTCAGAAGCAAATTTTTTGGTGTAAAGTGGTATCTGTATTTACAAGTACGTTGTTCACCATATACATTAGCAAAGAAAAAATACCAGTAGAGATTTTATCTAATTTCATGTTGAGAAAGATGTTTTTTCGTCTTGTCACGAGCGTGAGACAAAGAAAAAAAAAAGAGTCCCTTTGAGGAATCGAACCTCAGACCTTCGGATTCCGCGCTCCGATGCTGAGCCACAGAGACTATAAACTTGGTAAAGAAATATAGTAAAGAAGTAAAGAAATATGTTTTTTCGTCTTGGCAAGAGCGTGGGACAAAGGAAAATTCAAAATCAAACAGCTCAAAAGCAGACGACAAAATTGCATTCTTGCCGCCACCTACCTGGCGGCGTCTCTTATTCCTATCCTCAGTCTCCACTCGGTTCTTTCCTTTTCCCTTTCCTTTCTTAGCCAGGTTATCAAAGCCTCCATCCACTAAATGCACGTGTAGGTACCTCAGTTTAGTGCTCACAGAGAACGTGCTGGCCGTATCTTGTTGTTCAGCAACCCTTGGAATCAGATTTATGGCCTGCAGAAAGTTCCTAAAAGTCTCGCGCTCGTCTTTGATCTGTTTACCGCTGGTCGGTACGCTGACCATGTCGCTAAACAGGCCGGGTTCCTCAGGAGAGGAGGGTTTGGAAATTAAGTCTAAATAAGCAAGGGAAAAAAAAGAGAAACTCATTCATTCACACCATCTACAGTAAAACCGAGTACAACCAAATGAGCAACCTTCCACGTCTCAGTAGTCTAAAGGGGCGCCCAGAGCGCTGCTTCGAACATTTACTGTGGTCTACAACAAAGATTTCTTCTACCTTTTATCTGTTCTCCTGTATTCGTTTCCACTCCTGCCTCGACGTTAGCCTTTGTTTGTGATGTGGGAGGGGAGGTAGTGGGCGGCGATGATAGCCAACTGTATAAACTCAACTTCTTGTTGTGTCCGAGCTTTCTACCTTCCGCAAATGTTGTGGCTTTAGGTGGCTTCCTCATAGTGGTTGGTGGGGATGAATCCGAGTCCGTCTCAGACTCCTGAGACGCCTCTATCCTCGGTCTGGGTAAGTCCAAGTGGACTGGCCTCGGGGACTTTTTGGCAGGAACTAATGGTTCAAGCTCCAATGCTAAAGAGTCTTTTGCTATTTTCTCTGGTGTGTCTTTTAGAGATCCCTCTAAAAAACCAATAGAGTTGGATACAGAACAATCAACCAAAGAAACAATCCTCGCATATGGACTGCAATTTTAGGAATTACTAAAACGAAGCCTGCAAAAAATCAGGCTGCGACGGGATTCGAACCCAGGCCTCTCAGATACTGGGTGGGCGCTACTACCAACCAGGTACCGAAGCCATAGGTTGGGAACGAGGCACGTTTTAGAGAGTTCATCTTTCCCGTAAAGGAATTTGGTCACACTTGATAAAATACACATGGCACATTTAAGTACAACAATAGCTGATGTAACTGTCCCCTATAAATGTAAAGTGTAACAAAAATTTGAATCAAAACATACCATCATATTTTGATTGGTCTGCTTTAGTTAACAACGGACTCTCCTTTGCTGTCTCTGTTGCTTGTGGAATGTTCAAATCCAATGGCGTGTCTTCTTGCCTACTCACCCTCTCCTCCCTCAGTAAAATAGCCCTGTCTCTTTGAGTCAGTACTCCACGTCCGACTACCCGACGCTTCAGTGAACTGGACCCGTAGAACGCGACTTCACCTGCCTCAGTTCCCGCCAGAAAACACTTCCATTGTCTTGCCAGGGCGAAGATTCCTTTAGCAAGGTTTTCGTTTTCTGGGATATTTGCTTTCTCAGCTAGCGAGTGTTTTATTTTGTTAAGTTTGGAGCCTGTTAGCTGCCTTCGGAGTATATAAATAAGTTGGCTGGAGTGGTCCTCTTGTAAAAATTTGGATTTCTCCGTCGAACCACGGGTTACAGTGTGCTAAAAACAAAATCAAAGTAACCTTTAGGCTTCCGTGACTCTGGTTTTGTCACAATATATAGAGCTAAGTCATGTAAATTACACATTTTCAAGAGCCTTGTTATGCAACCTTTAGACAAATGTAACTCTAGCTTCGTAAAATTTTAATAAGTTCAATCACGTAAATTTTATGCTTGTGTGATTCTACTTTCAACAAATTTTAGGGAGCTAAGTTGCAGTTTGGTCTCTTGAAAACAGCATTTTAAGACTCACCGCTTTGGGAATCCGTCCATACTCAGGTAGCGCCTGAGCCAGTAGACAAGCAAACAAGCTCTTTAGAAATCGTTGTTGATTCTCTTCCAATTTATTGAGAGTTGACTTCAGTTGTGTGACAGACGGGATCCAGGCTGTCACGAAAGGCACTGCAGTCGTGACGAGACTATTGTATAAGTGATAGTTTGAGGGAACAGTTTTCAAAGAAGAGGGCGACGACAGATTGAACCAGATGTTGGTGAAATTCATGGCTACGTCCGTTCGCCGCGCGAGATCTGCGTCTTTCGGTTCGATCTCCCCCTGTTTAATCAAGTCTGAATTTTCTTTTCCTTTTACCGCGACGCGATCTCCTGGACGAAGTAGAGGCCTGGTAACATCGTCATCAGCATCGCTTTCTTTGTCAGAATCATTTCCACTGCTACGGCTGCTGACGGATCCACGACTCGACGGCAAAGAACTAGCTCGACTCAAACTCGTGTCTGATCCTTGTTCCTGTTCAGTGAGGGATGAGCGCACTCCAGCCACACCTAACTCTGTATCAAACATAGGATTGTTAAACCCGTGAGCTTCTATATTTCCTCCCTTGCTCTTTTCTCCAAACGGGAGCCTGTTCACCTTACTTTGATGGCCAGCGGCTCGCCTTTTCTCCCTTATTTTCGGCAACACTTCACTTCCGCTCGCACACTCACTTCCGGCTTTGAATGAAACGTTATCGAGGCCGCATTCTAGCATTAATAAACTAAGTGTTTTTCCGCGCTCGACACTATGCGTTTCAAAGGGGTCTGAGAAACTTATATAACTGCTGTTGTTTACTTGGAACTTGCATCGTGCCGACTCTTCAGCTATCGCAGTTGTCACGCAATTCTCAATGTCCTCTTTGTCACACAACTTCCGCAATTGAAAGTGAATTTGCGCACAGGAGGCATGACCGGTTGTCATGGTGTTCCGATGACGCGGTACCTTCTTATAAGGTAACATAGATTCTTCTTTGGACAAGGATTGCAGATCAACAGTTTTAGCAGTTTGTTTGGCGCTCGAAGGGGCAATCGTGTATGACACATTGGAATCTCTCCTCGGCACCTCGGTCTCCTCCGCTGCAGGCTTCCGCCTAACCGACAGAAGTTCCGCCGTGATGCCACTAACGGTTCCCGCCACTAAAGACACCGACGGCGACTTTTCTTCTTCTACGAAGCATTCCGGAGAGCCTGGAATTTCACTGTGCTCAACAGATGCAACTTGTAGAAAACAAAAGTTGATCTTTGAAGTTGAAAACGAAACAACCATCTGTTTTTGTTTGGGTTCCTCAATAACCGGACCTACGGTTGGCGAACCTAAGGGTGCTTCTACCTCGCGCCTGTCGTACAGGCTTTCAGTGGCATCCACACATTTGTCATGCACCAGATCTACAACAAGGGCCGGATGCAAAATATTGTCCTGTCGAGAAATCGAGGACACGTACCTATGAAATAAAACATAACACAAGCTTCAAAACTAGAGATCAACCACGCATTCCATACGATTCATTTGACTTTCGATCAAGAGCGAACTTTCTTAAGTCATCCCGAATTCTGGATCAATCAATAAGGACAATCGCTTCTTCGCTTGGATAGCAAGGTAACACTCCAACATTTCCTCAGGCTTCCCTTGACATGACACCCCAACGTCAGTATGGATATTCTCCACACTGTTCTCTATATTTCCTATGGTGCTGACTAAGGGAACTTGATTAACCCTTAAACTCCCAGTTCAAATTTGTCAATCTCCTTACTGTCATTTATACATTTCTCATTATTTTAGTTCAGAGAATTTAGTATTGGATCAACTAATTATCCCAAATCGATATTTTTCTTTATTCTTATCACTTATCTGGTTGATATTGTATTGATATTGTAAGAAGAAATTCTGTCTTGGTCACTCATGGGAGTTAAAGGGTTAACAATCAAAAGCTTCTTCAGCTAGTGATTATTTCCTTTATACTCGTCACCTTGTGTGTGATTCAAGGGTTATATTGTATGGATAAAGTAGATGCTAGTCACTCGCAGGGATAAAAGGGTTAAATTTCCAAGCACCCACTGCTTTGGTATTTCCCATTATCGCGTACCTCTGCAAAGCCTCCAACAACAATGGCGTGACGAGGATATTGATGTCCCCAACAAAGCGTAACAAAACAGTTTCTTCGTTGCGTGACTTTTTTGTCTTCCTGAGAGTGTGATCTGGGGAGCATTCCGAGCTGGAACTGGCCGACGTTCTGTCCTGTTGATTTATAGCTGAGTTCCATCGAGTTTTGAGATTGGAATCACGTTCACTTGCGTCTAATACTCCAGAACTAAAAAAGAAAATTCACAATAGGATATAAAGAAAATTAAGAGGAGTAAACCTGAGGCACACAGGCGTCACGCAACGAACAATTTAGCCATACTATTAGTTTACTCTGAAGCCCTGAAGAATACAAGCCCCCCCCCCTCCCCCAACGAGGCTCATTACAGCGTTTATTTCATTCTCTTCCCTTAAGTGACTTAGTATTTGCAAAATAAAGGACTGTATTGATTTGAAAGACGAACAAAATTTCAATCTAAAAAATTACGTCTTGCCACACATTTAAACATAGTAACCTGGCATCATCGTTTTTCGCCTCTCCCTGGGTGTCCTGTGCAGAGCTCGTTGCCTTCACTGAGACATTGGGGGAAAATAAGGATTCGGCACTGGAAGATGAATCTTCTTCCTCCTCCCAATCGTCATGATCTGTCCTCTTCTGAGTTTTCTTGACGAGCAGAGGAAATTCGATCTTCTCGCCGTCTTGGTAAGTAAACTGGGGAACTCCGGGAATGACAAAGTCTTCTTGAGGTTCTGTCTCCTACAGTAACAACCAAAAATAACAACAACATACAAAAAATTCTACAAAATAGAAGATTAGTCATCCATAAAAGCTAGAATTTTACTCGGTTTCTACAGAACGAACCGACAAGGCGCTTACTTATAACGATAAAAAATATCAATAATTTCTTTTAATTTCTGGAGGGTCAGAGAGTTTCTTACTCATATCGAACTAAACGGGAATAAATTTTTGCCATACGGTTTAAGACTTACAATTATTCGCCAATTTTGCAGTTCCCATTTTAAAAGATTTTGAGGTGTCACATCAATGCAGTGAATGAAGCACATAAAAATCGCAGCTTTACTTGAAGCACTTGAGATGTTAAAAGCTTGACTCTATTCTGTGGAAAGCGTGGAACGTTTCTTTTATTTTCTATCAATAAAGTTTCAACGAGTATTACTAATGGGAACTTTTGGTGCAATGTACATGCAGTCAGTTCGGCTGTGCTGTAAGTTTTTAATCTTTTTCGAATGTTGACGAATGAAACAATTGGAAACCAAATAATTCTTATTGCTAAGAGCTACTCTTTAATAACAGTATTCGTTTTCTCCTTTGATCCGCGCTAAGTGAGAACGTAGCAATATCCGGATAAGTTTAGTGAAGATTATACAGCCTATCTTTTGTGGCAGTTTAAAAGGAGACGTTTTCAAATTAAATAGCATTAATCGGAAGTAACACCGCTACAAATAACAATCTCTTAAAAGTTAGCATTGGGCGACCATTTACCAAATTGTTTAATTGTTTTTGTGACAACAAAAGAAAACCCCCATTTCCCGTAACTCGTCAGTTCGGCTGTGCTGTAACTTTTCAATCTTTCTAGAATGTTGACAGTCAGACGAATGCAACAATTGGAAACCAAATAATTCGTATTGCTAAGAGCTACTCTATAGAAGTAATATTCGTTTTCTCCTTAGATCCGCGATAAGTGAGAACGTAGCAATATCCGGATAAGTTTAGCGAAGATTATACAGCCTCCCTTTTGTGGCAATTTAAAAGGATATGTTTTCAAATTAAATGGCATAAATCGGAAGTAACGCCGCTACAAATAACAGTCTCTTAAGAGTTAGGCGCATTTGGTGACCATTTATCGAATTGATTAATTGTTTTTATGACAACAAAAGGAAACCCCTATTTCTCGTAATTCGCCTTTAGTAAACAACCAGAGGTTAAAAGCCTACCCATATTTAGTTGTAATTCAACCAGCTCGTTTTTTTTAATCCGCATCAATATTTTCCAAAACTTCAAAATGAAGGACACATCGACAGCTAATGCGACTCTACAGAGCTCGTCTGGTTTAACAGAGGTTTTACCTAGCAAGATGGAGGGAATAGCATGGTACAGTGTTTTTACTGTCATGTCGGTTTTGATAATCATAGGAAATTTACTCACGATCGTAACCTTTGCATTCAAAAAGAAGCTTCGCAGGAAAAGTTTACTTCTGGTCGTGAACATGGCGTTTGCAGATCTTATTTTAGGAGCTGTCTCCGTACCTATTTATATGCACATCATTGCAGTCCACTATCAGCTATGGCACGAATCCTGGATTATTAATGAGCCACTGAAAATTTTCGTCGATTTTACTTTCATGCAAGGATCCTTAATCTCAACAACTCTCATTGCGTGCGAAAGATTTTCCGCCACATACCAACCGCTGAAGCACCGAATTCTACCAAGACGTGTTTACTACATTGCTATGTTCGCAGCGTGGTCCCTTGCTATTTTGGCATCGGGATGTTTCGTCGTAACACGAACCTTCTTTTCAGCAAAATATGCCATCATTGTTTGGAACATCTACGCACTGGTTTTGAAGTTCATAGTATGCGCCTGTAACATCGGAGTTAGGAGGAAGCTCCTAAACAAAAGTGTGGCCTCTAGACAGACGAATAGAACACTTCAAAACCAACGCTTGACAAAGACCTTGCTGTATGCATCGATTATCGCTATGGTTTGCTGTTTCCCTTTAAGTACGACAACCTTTGTAAACATCGTGTATCAGGTTGCAGTACCAATGAGAACTGATTGCATAGCAAACTTTGTAAATTATTCTAACTGTTTTTTGAATCCTCTTGTCTATGCAGTTAGAATTCCCGAATTTAGAGAAGCGCTAGGTCTGTGTTTTACAAGACAAAAATTGACCAAGGGCAAAGCAGATTTAAACAAGGGGAAAATTACGCCTGTTGTTTTGAAGCAAGTAACAGAAAAACGGAAAAACAAACAAAACGACTGTGGAAATCAACGGGTGTGCTTTGAAGAGCAAATTTTGGATACAAAACTGTAAATCAATGAGGGAAAAAGAGGAATATTCAAATTGAATGAATGATCTGTGTTGACATGTTGAGGCCTAGTTCCCATGAGTTGCAATTAATATTCAGAGAAAAAAGAAGCTGATTCAAAAATGCTGTTTGTGAAAGCATCGCTGTATATCTGCAGCTGAAGGAACTAGTTAAAGAAAAGTAGTAATGTCACTATTCTATACAAAGCACACGGCCGCAACTTAACTTAAACATAATTTCCTCCAGAATAGTGCAGGTGTAACATGTTATTCGATGAAAAAGCATCAAAAGCAGGTTTATAGGCGGTCTACCGCCGCCTGAAAGACCTCTAGTCACGACCTTCTGTTTAGCCTGCGAGCAAGCACGCGAGTTTAGTGTTCACCTTACGGCACGGCCATCTGGTACACTATCAGAAGACGCTCGTGGAAAAAGTTACTGAAAATCCGGTAAAAGTTACGACGGAACTGATACTGGAGCAGCCTGCTTTTCGAAAGTGCGTCTTACAAGTGAACCAACCACAGCCAACCCAATTAAAAGAGAATATCGCTGGGAGCCAAGAACTATTGAACTCCAATGAAAGGAGCGGACTGACTAAAGTGAAAGAAAAGATGAGGGACCAGCATGTAATTAGTGTTGGGTTTGTATCTAAGCGGTCGAGAAAAAAGTTCGATTTTTTTTTTCTTTTTCTTTTTGCTTTGTTTTTTGTTTTGTGATTTTTTTTATTGCACAGGGCCTACGTAGAGCCAAACCAAACAAGTCTCGGATTTCTTTCCAAATGGAATCGAAAACCGCTTAACGAACGAAACGGAAACGAGGACCTTCACCTATATGGGCCAATGGTACCAAACTATGAGGAATAATTTCAATTCACCACCGCCCAAGATCAACTGCTTTCATAGCTGACTGCGAACCTCGATCGGAGAGAAAATGCAAAGACTCCGTTTTTAAGAGTTTTGCACCTCCATTTGATTTGTTGACGGATGTTGTAGGAGTCACTTTTTACTGCTTTACATTGAAGAGACTGATATTTAATTGAAAAAAGTTCAAACCCATCAACCACACCTTTAAGTTGTTTGTGATGCTAAACAGTCGCTGCTCAGCTGGAATCATAAGAGGTGAATTCCAGTTCAAACATTCCAATTGTCCCAGATGCTGTGAGTATTTGTAAACCAGACTTGGAGATGTGATAACAAAATGAGACGGAGAAAGCATCTCGTCGTCGAACTTCATGAGGTCATCTGGTTCCTCTACAGCAGATACAAACGACTCGAGAGAATTTACCCTTGAACTAGCAGGCCTGACAGGAAGAAAAACAAAACGAAACAAAATAAAAACAATTTTATGACCTACTCGAATCACAGTCGTAGTATGGTTGGTTATTTTTCGAAGGTTGGAAAATTATGTTGTTAGACAGATATTTGTTTCCTTTTTTCGCTCTTTTCGTATCAAATCAGCTGGCCCAAGCTTCTTGTCATAGAACCAATTCTATTTGATTTGCGTTGGAATAACATTGGCTCTTGACCACACTTACTGAATTATCAAATTTCACAATTTCCTTTTTGAACACAACTATTTTCAAGATTATCTACATTGAAAAAATTTTTATAGGTGAAATATTTTGACAGATTTGATAGATGTAAATTCGCCTCCAAGACTGCCTTAAAACAAATTGCAGAAACACAGACTGCATAATGATCTGCACGTAAACTCAGCTCGCTCAAAAACAATTTCAACTTCCCACACAAACGAGCCCTTTTCCTTATACGTAAATTATCTTTCAGCATGAGAAATTCTCTAGTGTCAAAAATATATGCTTTACATGAATTAGAAACAAACAATGATATGAAGATATCAACTTTCCTTACCTCATATCAATTTCATCCAACAGGCTACCACAGGAATAAAACGAAGCCTCGCTTCCACGAGAGAAGTGAGACTCAGTCCTCTGCAATGCGCCATGGGGTGATTTGGAGGTAGATTGGTTCCTACTCTGCCCCAAGCTCTGCTTTGACCCTTGGAGACTCGTGCTCCTGATGCGGCGCATTTTTTCATGCATGTTGGAAATATTGGACTCCTCGCGCTGAATCGATTCACACCAGCTAAGACGAGAGGGCATGGGGCTAACATCGTCATCTATTTTAAAGAAACAAAAAAAATTTGTGATAATAATATACGATAAAATTTATATTATTATACATCCGCGGAATATTCTTTATTTTTAGGATCTTAGAGTATCGCTTGGCCCGTGGAGTTGCAGAAACTTTCGAGAAACGCCCTGGGGCAAACCAATTTCCGGCCGAAATTCGTTTATACTGTTCATAGCTTTGGAAGAATCTACTTATAAAAACGAAATTGTTGGCTTTAAATATTGATAAGCGCATCACTGACTTCAAGGAAAACATATTTTTACGCAAAAACACTTTTCACTAACCTATCCCGAGTTCCTCGTAGGCTTCCTCATTTGAGGGCGCGTGGATAACCCTTCTTGCTTTTGGAGAGCTTCCCTCTGACCCAGAAATATGGTATCGCCGGCGCGTAAATGCTTCTATCGAGCCAACGGGCGACCGATCAAAATAATTAGAGTCCAGGGCATCTAGGTCGGCACTCCGAGAATACATAAGAGGCCTGGCACCACTGTCCACGATGTCGCCGTCGTCATAGAAACCTGTCTCACTGCCAAATCCGCCAATTCCGATGTCGTTTTCGCTGGCGTCTAATTTATCAGCCGTGAAGAATCGTGGACCATTGAAATTTTTGCCAAAAAAGTTGCAACCGCCGGTACAACCACAACAACCCCGTCTTCTACCAGGCAACTGCTCCTGAGGTTGCCACAAAAACCACAGCCGCTGGAACCTTGCATCATGCATCTCCAGGAAATCCTTTTGCTCCTGGTATAGTTCCGGGTGAGACGTTGCGCTCGATATATCAGAAACGATTGGTCCAAGTTGTGCAGCAGCCGCCTGAAGCCAGGATGAATTTTCTACCAAGGACAATGGCCGCCGCACGTCGCCGAGAATTTCTTGCGTCCTCTCTGGCCACGGAGTACAAACAAACTGGCGGAGTTTAACCGTTTGAACGAACAAACTTACACCCGAGCTGGACTCTGAACTATGAAGACTGCATGTGGCGAGTCTGACAGGAAAAACCTGCAAGAGGACAAAAAGAAACTGTAACTACCTAGTTACCAATCTTTTGAATACAAAAAGCTGATGATCTATGAGATAAAAGCCCTTTCATCCTTAAGATTGTAATGTCAACTTTCCCTTCTGGAATATCGACGATCTAAGCAATCTTCATTTCAAGAATTGGCGGCAACTCAAAACAAATTCTCAAAGACAGTAAACTTTCTGTCTTGTCAAGGACTCCCAAAAATCAATTCTCAATCCCTATTTCCTTCCCAGCTGTTGCGCACTTGTAAATTGGTTGCGAGTGTAAGTTTGTTTGCTCTCAAAATCAGTTTGCTGAAAAACGAACTGATAAGACTACTTTTCAATTGAGGGTCCAACGTAATTCGGGATTTCTCTGATTTTGCTTTACTTCGCTTCTTATTGTTCCAAAAGACTCGCACCAATTTCCCCACCAATAAGAATCAAAACAAACTTATCGCAACTTGGACACTCGCGTTTTCCTGCGTCTTAGGCGGTTCACTGGTTAATTTCTTTGAGTTCTCGTTTGTTCCTCGTTTTATTTTCCGTTGTTCTGATTGGCTGTTGTGATTATTTTGGTTTTTGCATCACAGACTCTCAGTCGAAAACACTCTTTTGTAAAGAGAGGTATCGGGCTTGTCACGTATCGATTTTCAAGAGTAAATGAAAATAGTGTCAGCCCGGATTGTTTTCATCTTTGGAAGCAGTATATTGTCGAATGATCGTAATCAAGTCTTGCACACATAAGCTACACTGTGATAAGGCAACAAATTTTTACTTAAGGTAAAATCGAGAATCGCCATACCTCCAGATTACACGCAGACCCAGTCTCAACAAGGAACAAATTAATGTTCCCCACAGAGACCCTTGTCATTTGATACTTCACGTCACTTTCAGGGATACACAGCTGAGGGGAGCTCTTTGATCTTTTGAAGGTTCCTTTTGGCAAGGACCCCTCGTTGGTCTCTACACTATGGTCCACGTCTCTAGGCACCTTTCGCTTCTTGTGCCTTCTCTCGCAAACATTTTGTTGTTTACCGTGAATGCATTGGACATACGGGGTACTAGGTCCCAGGTCGTTCTCTTTGTTGATGACGTGAAAGGCAAACGTTTGTACCCAGTTCGCCATGGCTTGGAGCTTTAAAAAAAAAAATTCTTAAATCAATAAAAAAGCATTTGTTATCGAAGGAAACACCCGGCTTCAAGCGCAATTCAAATAATGGCAAAATGATTTTTGAAAAAATCCACTCAAGAAAGAATCGGTTTTGAAGACGATTCTTATGATATTATGATACCTGTGGCATGGTGAGCCTTCCAGACAGTATGCCCAGCTGTATCTCTACAAGCCATGCGTACTCCAAAGTCTCACAGTCAGGTGGTCTATCCAGATTAGAGAACATAGCGTGACCACGGAGTTGGAGTCCAGACAAACTCAGATGACCCTGAGACAGATTGTGGTTCACACTACCGCGCTGTTAAATCAGAACAAGAAAATACTCAATGATTTTTAACTGAAATATAAACTTTTCTAAAGGAAATGATCCAGAAACCACGATGTTTTGCAGTATATGCCCAAAGTAGCCTTCTGATGGTCGAGTAGAGAGCAATTATCAACCTTGTGTCAAAATTAAACCAGGACTGCTTGGGTTTCGCCTTACTTCGTTGTGATTGGTCCGGAAGACTCGCGCTGCATTCTTAACCAATCAGAAGTAACAATACCAACTTGACAATACCAAATAAACTGAAGTACTGATAGCATAGCTAAACTTGGCTGTCTTACTTCATTGCCGTCAACAAGAACGATTGTGGCAGGACTCAGATGCAACTGTAACCGAGTCTCTGTGTACGTCTTGTGCATCTCAAACGACAGTCTCTCCATCAGCAAAAGCGGACTTGATGGCTCGCCGGGACCACAATGCTGCAAATTAACACATAGTAAATGCATTAAATAAAGCCGCATTTACGTAGGCAAAAAATTTCTCTGCCGAGAAAAACTATTCCCTTTACTATTACTAATGTCTTGGCCACACAAGCTGGTTTTTGCCACACAAGCTGGCGAATGCATCTTGACAAAGTTCTAAACCAAGACTTCTTGTTACAAAAAGGCGCTTCATTTTTCGGAAAAAAATGTCTTAAGGATGTTTCTCGACCAAAAAGGGCTTCAAAAGAGAAAAAGAATTTTCAATTGTTCGATTCGTTCAAATAAAGTTCCACAAATGTACTTTGTACCTTGTCACTACAGGCCTAACCTTAGTTAATTCCGCCTTGACATCAGAAAGTGTCAGGATGATGTTAGCTTCCATCGGCCTCAAGGTTAGTAAGTTAATTGTGTCCTTGCTGCCTGAGCCCAGTGTAGTGTCGCTCACTAATTCTTCTCGATTGTACTTGATGCCGAGCTCTTTAAACTCTTGGTTAATGCCAAAGTAGTTCTCCTGTGTTAAGAAAAAGGAAAAAAAACAGTGAGATGACTGATATGATAAAGACATTGTGATTATTACAGGATAGGAATAGCGTTTGCTAGAGTTTTCTGTTAGAGTAACCCCACATCACAGGAGAAACAGACGAAATAATATGGACTAGCGCTCCTTCCTGATCCAGGGAGCGAAGGGTGAGGCAAAAGCAGTTTCAGGATACGGAAACTGCTGCATTGCTTATATCTGTATGGTTGGAACAAACTCAGAGACAAGCCACAACGACAGATCTCTGAGATAAAGCGCTCTGCGTGTAAACTCCTTCTTTTTCCCCGCGAGCCGCTGCGATCATACGCACGAATACGACTCGAAATATTTTTGGAAGAAGCGCTGTCGAAAGTAAAAAATATCTGCGCAACCATTCCACATATCCGTTGAAGAAAGTTGTCTCTTGGACCTTTCCCTGCCTTTCCTGGCTCCGCCTTGCCACTTAGCGGGTCGCAAACCTCATGTTTCGAGCAAAAAAGTGTACCATCTTACCTTAATGGCTGCGAGCATAGCCAACAATGAGCCAAACACCTTGAGTGCGGCTGGTCCAGCTTCCAGTTCCAGGCTGATGACGTCAGGTTCCCACTGTGTGGGGTCACAAGGAAGTTCCACCCCGCGAGGTACCTCAAACTTGGGGCTCGGATACATAGGATGATACATGTACCCCAAGGACAGCCCCAGAATGGGAACGGACATCACATCCACCCACCCTGTAACAAAGGAGAATATCAAAAAAAAAGGAACCTTCATGGCATTGGCTTCCACTAGCTAAGTCTCCGTAGTAGATATCACTTCCATTGCTCTCGCTTTTAAATCATTCTTCCATTACGTGACGTAATCGCCATAGTCAATCGGAAAAAGAAAACTATCAAATGGAACCATTCGTTTACTTTATCCAAAGATTCAGTAGTAAGGCAAAGACGGTACAATTCCAATCAACTTTGGACACTCAACTGAAACTGTCTCATCAACAGTCAAATGAAAAACGCTTTGCAGCAAAGAGTAACGAATAGCTTGCGAGCACGCCTTCGTTATTAGCGCTTCAACAATGTGCGTTTCTTCGCCGGCGGGAAATTACGAGTCTTTGAGCAACACGAGCTGGCCAGAGGTCTACATTGATAGTGCCAGACCCCTGACAAACCTCTCCCTGAGTCGTCTCTAATCTTCCCGCGGGCGGAGAAACGTACTTCCAGTAGCGTTAATAATTGATAATAAGGACCTGCACGCAGGCTAAGCAATGAATGATCTAACTAATCTAACCAAGACTTTCGTCGGTGTGCCGCCTCCATCCTCCACTGATGGTCTCCTCAGTTGTGTTTGTGATAGGCTGTTCATCGGCACTCTCAACCGCCTCGTCTATGTTACCCGTGGTAGTTGATGAGCGCGATCTAAGACCCTGTTCCCGTTTCTTCTCCGAGGTACGAGCCAGCGATAACAGGCTGCGTCTGAGAGTGTTTGACTCCGGGACAAACATTCTGGCGACCAGCTTCTCGGCCTGAAAGACCAAAACATACCAAAAAATTGAAGGCAAGAAGTAACTCAGATTTGAATGTCACCAATAAAGAAAGATGCCAGTTAGTATCACGAACGCGCAGCCAAAATTTAAAATTCGAGTTCCCCGTAAAGAATCGCACCGGCTCTGACTTTCCGATAGCATAGTTTAATGCCCGACCCATTTTGCTACAAATAACTTGTTGGCAAGCAAACAGTCGTGAAATCTGTTTGAGAGCGTACTTGAAGGTGAGAACTGACTTGATAGCTGATTAAAGAAATTAAGTCAAGATGTGTCAAGAGGTGTCAAGCGTTCGTCACCTCAGTAAAATCCACCTCCAAAAAAAGGGGGGTGAAAAGACGTCAATAACAATAAAAATTACTTGAACGAGATTTCTTGAGGTAGAATCCAAATAGATCCCTAAGAGAGGACATGTTGCCGACAGAGTAAATAGGAACGGCTACACGATGCAAGGGCAAGCGCAGTAAATACATAACCGCATTGAAAATGATAAAATTAATAAATTTTTTAACCTACCTGTAGGAAGAACTTGATCTCTTCTATTTCCGGTATAAAGCGGAAGTACTGGAGGACAAATGTTAAGTCGAACACCTCACCACAGAAAGCCAGCTCAGCTAAAAACAAAACAAAATAACTCACAACACCATTGAATGATCTGAAAAGAGTCGCTTTTTGCAAAAATGATGAACAGATATTCTCAAAATTTCCTTTAAGGGAACAACGCCCATGAAACAAAACTACAAATTGCTCATGTACTTTCATTGCGCTTTATAAAGTAAAATGCCTGTACGAAAAAGAAAAAAATACCATTGAGCTCTCACAGCGCAAGAAACGTTTGCTGTTTGTAAAATCTCTTAAAACAGAATTCCCAAGTAAGAAACAAGCTTTAGTGTAATTTCAAGGGAGATGAAAGCGGATAGTTCCAAACAAAACATCGGTGACGAAATAAAGATATTTGACGCACCATTTTCTTGTTTATTTGACGTGCATTCAATCCAATTGTGCTGATTTCCCAACCAAACCATCTCAAAGTCTCGCAGTATGATGTTAAATGACCACTCATAAGGCACAAAGGTCAGTAGATCCGGTTTGTAGTTCATTGTCCAGTCTTCGATCATCTCTGCGGAAACAACAGATGACGAATCTTGATTGTGTTGTAAAACCAAGACCATTGATAGTAAAAACGACCAAGCGAAACTTGGGTTTAAAGTGCAAAAAAGAAACGGGTGGGGAAGGAAGCCGAGCTTCATTGAAAAAAAAAACAACAACAACAACAATAATATGTCTTTACCCAAGCCAAGTGGCCCACCCAGCTAGTGCTTATCCCGGTTTACATTGCATGAAGCGAATGGCATTGGACACTAGTCCATCGCAAGTTACCCCCTTGCATTTCATCTGGCTTCCCTAAAAATTCACTGGTACCCATTTATACTCCTGGATGGAGAGAGGCACTGGGGGATTTAAGTGTTTTGCACAAGAACACAACAAAATGACCCAATAAGGTCTCGAGCCCGGGCCTCTCGACCCAGTGTCCAGCGTACTAACCACTGGCCACCGCGTCTCCATAACAAAATAAATATATTGTTGTAATCCTCATAAAGAGGGCTCGAATTAAAGTTTGTTGCCCCACCTTGGAAGAAGAACTTGTGCGCAAAGATGAAACTCCACGTGACTTTCTGAAGGGTGATATCACATGACCAGTGCTGTGTTTGATTCCAAATGCGGGGGAAAGACATGTGGAAAGCCAGCTGAAAGGGAAATATATTGTACTTAATTCGATGAACGAATAGAATTGCTGTGGCTTAAATGGAAAGCAAACAGTTACAAGTGCATTTCTCTTACATCCATCATGTCTGCATCAATGAGCTTCCTATAGGCCAGACTGGTCGTAGCTTCGACTTGGAATAACTTGGCCACGACTGAAGTAGTATAACCATACTCGTTCACAGTCCACGGCTGGTATACTCGAACATGTGACCCAGACCCCACGCACAGGTGAAGAGCCTTAGTGACCTGTTCAAAAGAAGCACACACCTCTTACTAACCGAGTTCGAGGTTCGTATGGTAAGTTACGGACCAGCTTCTTTTTTCCACTCGGATTTATGAGCAAAACACGCGGGGCTTACACGCGGGGCTTACAATACAAGCGAAAAAACGAGGTTAGTAAGATATTCATTATATCTCGAGTCCAACAGAGGGGAAGGGGTCCAATTCAAACAAACTTTTAAATTTAGCGCGCCGTACAATGAAAAACGGCCTGCTAAATTGACCAATCATAGATATATAATAAACAATGATAACAGAGTTATAACAAAACAACCGACAAGAAAAAATTGCGACATCAGATGTACGCATGAAACGGGCAGTTGGGACGTGTAAGTAGGGTTCATTTAACCTACCCCAACAATAAACAACACCCAAAGTCAGTGTAAACTCACCCTATTCTTGGAAAATAAAATATCAAGTGTAGAGTCACACTCAAAGTCAAATTTAACATCCAGTCCGGTGTGGACTCGCCTCTGGCCAGGGACTAGCGGTTTCGTGACTTGAATTTCCTGATAGTCAAAAGGGTAGAAGAACTTCTGCAATGCATCTCTGTAAAGCAAAAAATATTAATAAATCAAAAGTAGCCAAATTTAGCAATAGCACGTTCTCTATTACCAAGTAACTCTGGAATATTTTGATTTTCTGAAGAGACGAGGCTGTTGAGGCTAGAGAAGACCCCTTAGGATCACCATCAAGAACTAATTACAAACCGATCACAAGCGTTGTAAGGTTCGGACTGGTTTAGAATCAAACCCTGGCCACAGCCGAGGGATGCAGACGTTCTCCACATATAAAAACTCACGCGGCCTTTCAAGAAATCCAATTTCCTACCGTTGTCTATCAACCCAAGGGCCATAGCACAAGGTGGTGTTCTTGAGAAAGACAACATCGATTCCCCAGTGAGGATCGCTGTCTGGTAATTCTTCCTCATTTTCGGCTTTGACCTCGGGAACATAACCTATGATGTAAAATAGCTTTTTTAACAGCAGTTTGCAAAGGCGTCGAGGTTAGCTTTTAGACACCAAGAGGTTAGGGTCAAACGTGCTAACCACCAGGTAGCCGCTTCCACAAAGGTGCTAAAAGCGTATTAAATACAACGTCCAGAAAGATTATAATTTTTACAAACAAAATCTCAACGGCGATGGTTGTCATAAAATCTTAGCTTGATGGAGGCCTTGATTAAGAGGGCCCTCAGTGCAAGTCGTTGTTTACTTTGAAATTGTTAGCATGAGTACATATGAATATTGAGGAAAATTGATCAGATTGAGAAACGCATCGAGACGATGGAAATAATAAGGTTGCTACGGTTGCAGTTGGCATGAAGACTAGATCACAGCGGAAATTCCATGTGTTTCGTTGTGAAGTAGGTAGCCTTAACAACCACGAGTTTTGCGTGTAAAGTGAAGCGGAAGTTTCTCTGAAAAGTTTCCCGCGGATCTACGGGAGGAGCGAACTTTCTCTCGGAATTTCGAGACCCACGAAAGTCCTCAGTGAATCAATCCGCGAAATTTCGGATGAATCCAAACAATAGCTGGCTCGAAAATTCGCCGAAATGTCGCGCAAATTTTGTTTCGGACCAAAATTGGCCGAAAAGCCAGGAATTTCGTCCAATTTCGTCGACAGACGATTGTATCTCTTTTGCACAATACTGTACAAGAAAAACCAAAATTTACGGTGTTTAAAGTCGATCGAGTTTTCTAAGTTCATAACAAGAAAAGAAACATGAGGGAGAGGTGGCTACTTTTTGAGAAGTATTGATGATAACCTAAATTGTGTAAAATGGAGAGATAAAAAAGTTAAAAAACCTGGTTCATCTTGATAGTAAGTGATTTTACAGTCAGCAGTTTGAAGGACAACAAAACCTTCTCCCATATATCGAGGGGGTCTGTAATGAAAAAATAATCACATTATAACAATGCTTCGACGGTAAATTATGAAATACACAAGATACTGCACGTAACCTCATTGGTCGATTAGAGAGCGAAGTAAGTGGCATAACCACGGTTGTGACGTTTTAGATTTGTGTGTATTTTTTGAGAAACAATGGCGGAGCTCGCAGAGTGCAACCTTCCAAAACATGAACAAAAAAATGAACAAAAGAGTTTATATGAACACAATACACGTATCCCCGTGTTGATCAAATTATTTTATATCCTCGCGCATCTTGTGGGCAATTTTTAGTTCTATTGAAAGAAGGAGACAGAGAAAAAACCTACTCATCTATCGGTCCACTGTAAGATGGGCTTGGCGAAAGCATCACTCGGACGTTTTTCCCTTGACACTTAACAATATGCATAAACTCATCTAGAGACGAGTGAGCCTACGAGAAATAAAACAAAAGAGAAGAATCGAAATTAAAATTACATTCGATGTCAAAACCCCCTTCTAAACCTTGCCGACTACTAGTTCAAGATTAACAACTTTTTTAATCTAAATGGGTAAAATCTGCATGCGTGAAAATACACTATCAAGATCTTTAAATGCATTAACTTGTTGCAAACCTGGGATGTTGTGTAGATTCCTGTAGCACTCTCAAACTTGAAACACAAAGTGGTCTCTAGCAACCTATTTCCAAAGGCAACCCTTCCCTACAGTAGAAACATTCAGTTTTAAATAGTGCTTATCATAAATGCATACAGGTTAAATTCAAACTGCTCATCCAAACTCTTCTACTTTAGCTTATCCAGAAGCCTCCCCAAGATACAGGCCGGATAAATCTCCTGATCTCCAATCCGAGTTACCAAAATTCGAAAAACGAAAAAAGTAACTTTGGATCCAAAAAGCCTACACCATCTAGCTCTTTTGCCTGTCTTGTAGTTCCTGGCTTATTTTGTTAATTTTTGTACATATTTAGTTTGTTACAAACAGATGAACACACTTCCTTTTTTGTATGCAACACATGAGCACTGACACTTACATTATTGACATCAAACTTAACAGCCGGAACAAGCTCCAGAAGCCATGTGGGCAATCCACCATTAACATCTTCTTGTCTGAAAATGTTGATACAGGGATGTTTAGAGAAAAATGAGTACATTCCTAAGACATTGCTAGATGACTGATTGCATTTCTCTTCACATAAAAAGAAAGACTTACTGTCAGTGTTTGGCTGAGTTTCACTACATGTAAACTACAAAGGTTCAGATATTGTTGGCCGCAGGGGAACTTATCAGTTTTCAGGGCATCCAGGTAGGGGGCATATTGGACTGGGGCCTTGATGAAGAGGGGGTAATAATATAGAGAGGGAGGGGGCTTATTATCATGCACTTATTGACTAAGCGGTGGGGAGATCAGATAGCAAAATATTTCCCTAAAGATCTTGACGCCTTGATATCAGGAATTTAAGCCAATCACCCCTTCATCCAGCCCAACCAAACTCAGTCAAGACAACTAAGCTTTCAAAAATTTGAAATTACAGGTATTTTTTAATCACAATTAGATGCCATCACAATACCATAAGGTCTATGCATTTCTTTAGTTGAAAAACACAAAAAATTCAAACTAAAATTAACGAAGGCTTTCAAATAAAAGCATATTCTGTACCTTAGCTGACAAAAAAAAATTAAAATATCTACCAGTTCAGAGTTTTTGTTTAGAGCAAAGGGAAGCTATTTAGAGAAGGGGGGAGGCTCGTTATAAAGAGAGTCTTCTCATGGTAGAAAGAAGAATTATCAGAATATTTACTGCTGTTTTAAATCAAAACAAACTCTAAGTCGTTCTCTGGTCCAAAGACTTACCCCTTTTCTACATCCACCTTTGGTTCAACAGTAGGGCTTACAGAAATGTTCAGGGCTGATTTAGCTGCATCTACAAATGGATGAAAAAAGCAATTTGACTATGCCTACCCTGCATGCTGAAGGAAAAGGTAACTAAAAACCTTAAAAGTTGACAGTTGCAACCAAACATTTAGCATGTTGAAATTACATGTCAATGATACAGATGATAATGCTGGCATCTGCAATGACTAAGATCACCCTAGCAATAAAGACAATTACACACTTAATTGCTGATGGCAAAAATTATAACGATATTGACAATGACACAAATAAGGACAATGACATTGAAGTGGATGGACAACAACAACTTAGATGGTTAAAAGTAAATGTTTATTATTTGTGTATCTAAGTACAAACAGGTAAAAGTCTTCACTGAAGAATGTATACTGTAGTCCTTACCTCCATATCTTTCAACTCTAAAGAGTTCTTCCAGTCTGCTATACAAACGAGACCTACAATGCCAAAATGATTTACTTGTGAGAATATTTGTTCAGTGAATTATGCTTTTGAGCCAGTGTTTGGAACAATTTGTAAATCTACCACTGAAATTCACCTTGGATATGTCCATGTCATCCCATATCAAAATATACACTGAACTGGCAAGTCTAGAATTGGCCAGAGGCTCATTTCTCAAAGGTCCCAGTAACATAATGGGCCAGTAAAGCTGCACTGTTTTCATTCAAGGTGGGTGTTTCAAAAGTCTTGAATAGTATACTATAAAACTAGTAGCTGCAAGAAAAAATGGACTGGTCAGGATGCCAGAACCTGGTTCTCTATTCTTTAAATTCTGATCTTAAAGCACATATATGCTTTTGGGCCTGTAATGTTACTGAGACTTTTGAGAAATAAGCCCCTGGTCTTGTGGTGCAAGTGTTCTAGACCAATCACCTAGCAAAGGAAAGCAAAACCAAAGTAATTCCAAATTCCTTTTGACATTGATCAGAAAATTACTTTATCAGGAAACCCTCTAAGTTGCAATGAACTTGTATTATATCTAGGAGCATTAGCACTTCCCCTTGTCGGTTCTTGCCACAGAAATCAGGATAAGCCCCAAACACTTTTGCAAATCAATCTCGCACAGAGACTCACCTGTTATAAACATGATACTCCAGACCATTTAACCACACTGTGAGACGTTGCTTGGTGGCAACTTCTGTTGGCAAGACAATTATTTTTATAAGGTAAATATGATTCATATTACTGATTGAAAAAGCAATTTACCACAACTGCAGGGTCCATTAATTGGACAACAAAAAAAAAGGGTTTCTTTAGAAAAAGTTGTGCAAGAGTGTAAAATTTAAGAATGATTTTTCTTAGTTAGTTGGAAGGAACAAACCTAAGAAAACCAGCCATATAAGTATGTTTCTCTGAGCCCCTCAATAATAAAATAATGCACAATCATATAAATGCCTGTGATGTGTTACGTCTTTTATATTTACTCACCTATCTCTGATGGTTCATGCTGGTAAGGCGGCTTCTTTGACAACTCTGGTTTGTATGTAATCCAATACTTAAAGATTGCTATGCCATCAATAACCCTATGATCAAAATCACCACTATGATTAGAAAATAGACTTTTTAAACTACTAGTGGCCCTGAATAAAATTATCTGAAATTTACTAATCCTATAATATTTCTTACAGTAGTTTATCAAATCTCTACAGTGTTTTTATTCAAAGATTGGACCCCTCCTATCAAGCATTCAAGGATCTGCTCCTGGTCTGATGATGACTTTGCAGGTTGTCTAAACATAATGGTCTCTTTCAAAAACAGCAGTCTTCCTCATGAGGAATTGCACACCAATTATCAAACTACACAAAAAGCTGCTCAAAAGAGTTCAAACCATCCAATATGGAATTTTAAAGCACTTTTTACTATCAAGCATTTAACAAAAACATGGCTATACTTCCTAAAAAAACAAGTGTTTTACCAACCTAAAACTGAGATCTTTAGTTACATACACAACATCTCTGAACATGATCTTCCCAGACAATATTGAAAAGGAAAATGAGCCTGGTGATACAAAACAAACAAAAGAAAATCTTAAACATTTCACAACAGATGTGACAAAAATGTTTCAGCAAACAGAGCCCTTTTGGAGATGAACCTGCCAACCTGTGAACTGAAAGGCCTAGGTTTATGGTTTGGCTAAGGTTAACATGGTACATTCTCAGCGAGACACTTTTACTTTCAGAGTACAACTCTAACCAGTCAAAACATGGGTAGTAAAATGTTAAAAGGTTTTTGATTCTGTACTTAAACCAAACCACCCATCCAGGCCTCATCTTTCATTTCCATAGCATGGAAAACTACAATGCACAGCAGAGTCTTGATAGGCCCTACTAACTTTTGAATTTTTTCTACAACTTTCATTTATGTCCTCCTGGTGTCAGCAAAATAGTCACTAAGTTATTGCAACATTGTTTGGGGAGAAAGGGAGGACATTCAAGTAGCTTATTGGAGTTAAATTACAAAAGTCTGTTTATTATGTCAAGTAAAGGGTTGTCAACCACCCACTAAGGGAAGAAGAGTCAACTACTTTTGCCATTCACTGTAGGAGTATTACCACTCCCTCCTGCAGGAGAAGCCTATCCATAATAGGTGACCCAAGAGTTTCAATAGGCTACCCTACCAGTTTGTTGGTACCCATTTAAACCCCTGAGTGATTATTTCTGGCCTTTACACCCATCATTGTCTTTTACCAAACCCCAAAGGTGAAAATTTGTTTAGCAAGGTACAGTGAAATTGTCAGACTTGATTACAGTATCCTAACAGCATACAAAGAAAATGTAGTTAAGAAAACACTCATAAAAATAGCATTCATGTTGGTAAATTTGAAGAAATGAAGTGATGTCCATTAACAAACTCACCAATTTTAAAGTATTGTCCATCTTTAATGTACTTGAAATTTATCAGCTTGGTAAGAATGAAACCCATTACACGCGAATGGTAGAATGTGATGTAGATTGACCACAGGCTAGCACAAAGACAAGACAAAACTACAAACACCAATCCACTCTCGACATTGCTTGTTTTTGCTGTGGAATCACTCAAGGGTACTGTGGATGGCAGTAATGTACTCATACTGAGGTTGTTATTGCTTGTCATGTTCACACTGTAGTTGTGGACAAGATATTTTGTACTCTATGCTGGATGAACGTTGTGCACTGAACTAAGTCACCGTTGGAGAAGCCTGAAATAATCTCTTATGGTCCAGTTAGAGGAAGTTTGTCCTTTTTTCGACCAGTTTCATCTTTCTCTCGCCCTTGTCCTCAGGAAAAAGTGTACATCACCATCTGGGCCAAGTGCGTTGGTTATTCAGAAATTCTGGAGCATAAACAAAAAAAATTAGAGCATTACCCTCGGGCGTTTGAAGCACAACAAAGTTAGGCTCGGCAGGAAGCACTTGATTTAAATTGTAAACAAGACATGTAACATTACTAGATTTAGTGCAGCTTAAACATACTTTAAATTGAAACATTCGTTTTCTGCGATAGAAATCCATAAATAGAACTCTTCCACCCCTAGCAACATTCTGTTGAAAAACTGCAAGATATTTAACACGTCCATTAACAGGAAATCATTTTAGGAAACAAAACATCTTCATGTACATTGATTTATTAAAATGCCTCGATCGATGGCATTAACAATACCCAATAACAAAAACACAAAACTCACATTTTTCTCGTCGTATCACCTCAGCAAAGTTTCCTATTGATTTTGACCAGTGGGATCGTAGGTCACAGCTTGCCTACATTTCGTGATTTTGAGTGAAATTTGAGAGACTCACTTGATACTTGCTAAGATATTGGAAGCCATTTTGAAGGAAGGAGCGGCTAGACTCAACCTCTCGCGGTCACTTAAACAAAATAATCGGTCCCAGACTTCTGTCGCCCTTACGCTAATCATCCTAATAAATTAATTGTTTCATCTCATCCATTTTATACAAGAGCAAATTTCAGTAATATTGATACACAAGGGATGAATAGGCCTTTCCAAGAGAAAACGAAATTATTAAAACAGTTAGAAAATTATCGATTTGACTCAAGGACTGCATCGAGAATTTCCGAAAAAAAATCAAGGGAAACAGCCTACTGGGGTAATTTGTTGCTACTCGACACTGTTTGAGGTTCCCATTTTCCATTTATCAATGACATCGTAATTGCGGTGTTGGCGTTTTTTTTTTTTTTTTTTAACAAATTTTTGATTATTTTGTAATATCACGACGTATAAAAAAACCCTGCATCTCTCTCGAAAATTATTTTTCCTTTAACAGCTATTTGTCTACAGAGAGAGAAAAGATTCCGGATATCAATTAATATTTGCAGCTCAAAGATATCAAAAATAACTTTATCTCCATTTATGTCACTCTCTGTCAATAGAACGCAAAAAACTGGAAATTATCCGCCTTTATAAATTTCTGAAAGATTTCTTATCAATTATACAGGCTTGGCACAAAACATACATCATTATCACTTTGTCAAGCATTATGGCGCCTTTTGCGGGCTAAAATGGAGGTTTTGTGAGGCTAAATATATTTTAGCGGTCATGTGATTGTTCAGATTGTTTTGTTGTCATTTTTTTTTTTTTTCAGTTTTTATTTTCTCGATGCCTCCCAAAGTGATAACTATAATAAAAGAGTTTATGATCTTTCATTCTCAGAGTTGCACCCAAAACGTATGATGCCCGCGCACATAAACTCCGTCTGTCTGTTGCTTTATCACCGCTAAGCCCAACAGCTTAAATTTGCGCGATGTAAATTTCACTTGCCATTATGGTTATAACTATTGAGTACATAATTAAGAGTAATAATTTTGGTAGAGGCAAATAGCCTTTTTGAAGAGAGCTTTTATCCTCTTCAAATCAAAACACTTCAGTCCTGATGCTTCAATTTAAAATTACACGCGAAAGTGAATATCACTTTTTCAAGTTTTTTTCATTTTGAGAGGCGAAGATCGAAGAAATACAACACTTTAGCTTTTAATTTTTCTTAAGGAAATAAAATGATGACCAGTGGCCAGTATATTTGATAATTACCGTTTTCATTGTTTACAAGACGGAAAAAAGGACGTGCCTGTCATAAATTAACGTTTCATCAGAGATGAGATATCAAGTAAAATGTAAACTCGACTCAAGCTTCTAAAATGTACCTCGGTGACGCATGATGTAAAAGAATTGTTTAGAAGTGAATTTATCAACTTTTAGATTCCTAACGAAATAACAATTTACTTTTTTATTTCTTTGTCTAAAAAGGGGGAGTTTTCTGATTGAGTTTTTTATTTTTTTCTAAATTCTCGCTTTTCCAATTAATCAAGATACATCAGCTTTTTGTGACAAAGGAAAAGAATCTCATTAATTAAGGCGAGGACAACGAGAGTCAACCTAAAAATATCCAAAGAGAGCAAAGACAAATGGTCGAGTTTCATCCTTTAGGTGTGATTATGAAGGATTATCAGTCTTTTGGCAATTCTTTTTGTTTTTGTTTTTTTTTTCTTTTCTTTTAACTCACCCATCCTAAAATATCAAAATTTAATTAAAATTCGACACTGTTTGAGGTTCCCATTTTCCATTTATCAATGACATCGTAATTGCGGTGTAAGCGTTTTTTTTTTTTTTTTTTTTACAAATTTTTTATTATTTTCTAATATATTTCAGTTTAAGCATTACAAATTTCTGATAATTTTTTAACACCACGACCTATAGAAAACCCTGCATCTCTCTTAGCAATTTTTTTTTCTTTCTTTTTTAATTTTTCTCTCAATTCACACATCCTAAAATATAAAAATTTGATTAAATGTTTCCTCGGTCGAAATGGTTGCCTCTCAGCGTAAGTAAAAACAATAGTAGACTTCTTTGTGGGCAAATATGTTGACAGTGTAATGTATACCTAATGACAATCTACAAGTCATAAAAAGATATTGTTTTGCCAGCTTGAAATCGCCGGAACCAGCCAGAAATTTTACTCCTTATAAATCAGTTCAAAGTCAAGTTTCTCAGACTTACGGAAAAACGCTGGGCAACGCAGAAATCTAAGGAAAAATGAACCATGAAATCAGTTACTTCACGTTAATCTTCGTCAGATACACGCTAGTGCTGTTATTACCGGTGAATATCATCGGAAATTCTTTTGTGGTTTCTATGTTCTTGAAGATGAAAACTGTGACCCGTCGTCAGTCCTCTGACTTACTTCTCTTCAACCTTGCAATAGCGGATCTACTGTTTGGAATTGTGGTTTTAACCTGCAGCTTGGTATTCCATTTCGTTGGAACAGAAATCAATGATTTCTACTGTAAGGCCACTGGTGGTGTGGTCTATTTGAGCTGTGGGGTGTCTGTATACACCCTGACAGTCATCGCAATGGAAAGATGTAGAGCCGTCTTAAAACCTGCAAGAGCTAGGATAGGAAGGTATAACATGACAAGAAATCGCAGAATCCTTCAGATCATTTGGTTTACAACACTTATTGTCATCAGCCCTATTTTCGTATTTCTGAAGAAAATGGACGTCTCTGACGACATTGTCGATTGTGGTTTCGTTCAAGACGCGGTCATGGCGCGGTTTGGGAGAATCTATGACGCTATAGTGGTACTTGTTCTTTTTTTAGGTCCCAATTGCTTTATTTGCTGCCTGTATGGCAAGCTAATTTTTAAACTTTGGTATGACCGTCAAATGCACCAGAAACCGAGACTTGCCTTGATGCATTCCCGATGCAAACTGACCAAACTGTCCTTCGTAATTAGCGCAGTGTTTACAATATGCTGGACTCCGTATTATTTCCGAACGCTGGTCACTCTGGTTTTCGGACAACAGATATTAGTTTTGAGTTTAGTGGTGTGTCGGGTTTTAGTTGTGGTCAATTCTTGCGCGAATCCTATCATATATACATTACAATGCCCTCGATTTAGAATTCATTTGAGACAATTGCTTGATTGTAGAAACAAGATATCACCGCATATCCCTTAAAAAAATTCATTTTATGTTTTTTCATCCAATTCGAATTCGAGTTTTTCGAAACTTCAGCTTTACAAATTCTTTACGGTGGCTAATTTACATTATCAACTCAGTTGACAAGTCTAAATTATCTTGTAATACCGACAGCGACGCAGCAACATAATCTCTTTAGAGACTTACCCTTTTTGTTTCTTCCAAAAAGACTGATGAAGATGATATGTAGGTGTCATTTACTAACTATGTTAACTAAGCGGTTTGACCATATTACTCCTATCATGTTGAAACTTCGCTGACCACTGTTAACTATCGCATACATTATAAAATTTTGCTTTTAGTACACAAGTGCCTTAATGGCTTAGCACCAACTTATCAATCTGAACATTTACACTACCATAATAGTCCACGTTTACTTCGTTCTGGTTCTCAAAATATTTTAGCTGTGCCTAGATCTAGGTTAAAGACGTATGGTGATAGAGCTTTTTCTGTAGTTGCTCCTAGGCTATGCAATTAATTACCCCTTGAACTCGCGAATGTTACCTCTGTTGGCCAGTTCAAGATGCAGTTAAAGGCATACTTATTTAAATTGGCCTATAATGTGTAGTTTTTAGTAGTGTAGTTTAGTTAATTTCATTATAATAGTTATTAGCTTTTGTATTTTATAGTTTAACCATTGTTGTACAGCGCTTTGAGCAATTAGTGGACACAGCGCTCTATAAGTGTTTTATTATTATTTATTGTTAACTATGAATGAATCTGAAACTAAAAAAAAAATAATAATTAAATTGTTTTTTCCCTTCAAAACTTTTCGAAGGATTTTGAGATTTCCTCCGGCAGCATTGGACTGAAACGGTAAAAAAAATTTTTCCAAGAACATTTTCAGAGCATCCCCGTTCTAAGAGATCCAGTGTGGATCTAGAAAAAAAGTAATCCTGTGCTTAGTAGAAGGCTCTCTTCCACAGGGCAGCCAACGAGAGAGAAAGGAGGGAAAAAAAACAAGTGGCGGATTTGGACCAATCAGAATGAAGACTGCATAGTTCCCTCTATTCTCCATGACATCATTTTTCAAATCAAATGATCAGAACCATTTCGGAAATCATGTGCTTTCCATTTTTGACTCTGGCTGGTCCAAACCGGTCATGTATGTTTTTTTTTTCCACATCACTCATTGGTTTCTTCCTGAGGAAGAACCTATTCCTATTCCTTGTCATAATTTTTTTTCAATGGACGTCTCTTATTTCCCCACCAAACCATTAAAGCAACCTGTGAGGTACATGTAACATTATTTCCAGCGAGCCACCAGATAATTTCTTCAAGTTTAAAAATAAATCGATGACGATAGCCTTGGGAACAAGAAACATATGGGGTGCAGTCTCTTAGCCTCATCCTCTCTTACTGCAACCTAATAAAGCAATTTTAAATCAAGTATCGAAAATAAATAAGGATTGCTATTTGGTTTTGGTCCAGAAAGTTCGTGTCATCATCTCAAACAATCATAGTCAAAAGTAGAATCGATCGCGACGTGGTAATTTCTTCTTTTTTTTTTTCTTTTTTTTTTTCATTGAGGAGGAAAATCAAGCTAAATGAAACTTTCTTGTAATACTCTATTTTCATGATTTGATTAATTAATCCTTAATAGTACGAGGTCTCATGGGATTACTTGTTTATCAATAAAGGGCAAAATTTATACGAAGGAAAATCACGCGCGCAGTCTATTTTAATCTGGGAAGCCTGTTTAGCGCTACGGCAAATCATCAATCAAATTGAACTGACCAATCGATTCAATGAAATTTTATTCTCCAAAACTGTGTCGTGATACACTGCCAAAAGTCTAGAAAACAAAGCTCATTTCAACAGAGCGTTTCTGCCAACAGAAAAACAACAAAGTGCTTTTAACTGAACAAGGTAATCATGCCCTCTCTTGGTTACTAAAAATGCCCTCGATTAAGAAAAAATGCCCTCTCTCTCAACCAATCAGCGCTCAGTAATTTTGCCCTTTATTGATAAGAATTAAAATCAACTCAGCTCGTGAAATGGTTTTGCTCTGACTAAAAGGCATGCAAATAACTAATTGCAACCAAGAATGAGATAATCCGATTGCCGTAACCATGGTCTCCAAATGCATTGAATAAAATAATTCTCCCAAATGAATTACCAGACGGGGTCATAAGCTGTAATATTTTTCGCTTTATTAAACCCATCATTCATCAATTTATTCATTACTTCATACAATTATCCATAGATTCATTAATCCTTACTTCCGTCCTTTTACTCATTAACTCGTACGCGCCACTGTGTCCAACGTATAATAGTACATATTATTTCCTCAAGCCTTCCGACATAAAATAGCATCTGACCCTTCAGAGGAGTCAAGCTGTTTTGCCTGAATATCGACAAATCCCTGCTTTTCTAAAAGCTTTCTGTATTCATCTCGTGTTCGTTCCTTGCCATCCACTTGCACAAGCATATTTAGAGAAGTTAAAAGAGTACTTTTAGGCCCAATTTTGTCTTCATCCAGGAACCTTTCAGCAATAAGGACACGGCCGCCTAAGGTATCAAAATGCAAGGTTCAATTTAAAACAAGTACCAGTTGTCTGTTCTTTTTTTTTTTTTTTTTTTTTTTTTTTTTTTTTTGGAGAGTCGCAAAGACTTGGATCAACCCCAATTATCCAGATTTTGTGGTTGTCACTTGCACACGTATATTTAGAGAAGTTATAAGGCACTTTTAGGCCCAATTTTGTCTTCATCCGGAAACCTTTCAATAATAAGGACACGGCCGCATAAGGTATCAAAATGCCAGGTTTAGTTTAAAACAAGTGCCAAATTTCTGTTCTTTTTTTTTTTTTCTTTTTTTTTTTTTTTTTTTGAGAGTCGCACAGACTTGGATCAGCCTCAGTTATCCAGGTTTTGTGGTTGATCTAAGGAATATCAAAATTCGCATGCCGTACAAAAACTGCAAGTGTGAAGGCATTTGTCTTTCCGCACCTTCCACAAATAGGTCTGCTCGACATGCAAAGGAGTACTTTAACGAGTCTGGGAAAATTCAAAAACGATCAAAACGTTATTTCGACTTAAACGATCTTTTTTTGTGGACCTGTCATCATGAACAAGACTGCCCTTGTGTGGAGAAAGCTAGAGGGCACCGTTCAAATCAAGCAAACAAACAACCGACGGTTAAAGCTGGTGGTTAGTGGTTTCCCAGAATTCTCGAAGAACCACTTTAAATACGAGAAATTTCCTTCAACATTCATGTTCGAGTTGCGGATGAGAATGAAGTGAAAATGATATTTCATTGGTCGCTACCTTCCACAAGATGTCTTTTAGATATCTCACCGGAAATGGATAGAATTTGATTACAAAACACTATTAGCAAAATACGTGTACGAGGAAAACACACCGGGGTGGAGAAATAGAGATGGCATGTCTGTTGAAAATTAGATTTGTAAAACAGTAATACAGAAATAAATAGGCCAGTGATGTCTCTCTTGAAATTTTTACTTCTGTTTTTTTCGCCAACATTTTGCAATCAGAAGTTTGTTTTGGGTTTGTCTAGATCAATCATATCACTGGTATAAACAAACCGGACTGTACTAAGTCCACTGATCTTACCGTTACACCACAGAGTCTTGATATACACCTTTCTTGCTGTTTTTTGGATCTTTTTTTTTTTTCACTTTTTGCATCAGAATTAGATTAAGACCTTTGATTTTCTACACAGGAAGAAAAACTCAGGATATCATTTCTTACCTGAAGGCAAACACTCATAGACATTTGAAAGTATTAGGTCAGCCTTCTCGTCAGACCAATCATGAAGAATACGGGACAATATGTACAACTCAGCCTTTGGTAGATCTTCTTGGAAGAAATTCCCTACTACATAAGATATGTTTCCTTGATTGGGGCAATCTTTTAACGAGGGACGAAAATGACGTGCAGAGTCCACGACAGACTGCAGGTCGCACACTGTGATCTTCATGTTTGGGTAGTACTGACATAAAGTGTATGCCATTGTTCCTGGCCCACCTTTATTCCGAACCAGAAATACAAACAAAACAAAACAAATATCTTTAAAAGTATTGTTCACGTGCTGTGCGTATGAAAGTTCCTTTTGCCGTTGCGAAAAATATATTCGCAAGTCCGACACAAAGTAATTGATTGACTTCTTATCAGAAACACTGAATAACAATTTGCCTGTAAGGAACCATTCAGCCCAACATAACCTAAGCCAGAATTCTTCTGCTATCCTGAGAAACTGTAAACAGGAACCCTCCGTGCTGTACTCGTCTTTCCAGACATCTTCTTTAGAATGGCCAAAGGTTCTCATCCACTGATTCGATCCTTCGCGAATTGCATTCTCCAAGTTACTGAAGAGGGGATATATGACTTTATTCGAGTGCTTTATATAGTCAATGAGGGAATCTGGACTTGATTTGGTAAGGAACTGCCTTGCTATTACGCTATTGGAATACAGCCACGATCCATCTTGCTTTTTCTTTTCTAGCAATTCCACTGCAACCAACGTGTTCATTAGGCACTCTGTTGCATCAACGTTAGATCCCATCTTTGAAGAAATGTCTTCAACTGACTGCGGGGCATCGGAATCTTGCAAGATATCGAAGACACCCATATCACATGCTGCAAATAGCACTTTGGATTCACGAAAAGCGTACATCAGATCTTGCAGTTTACTTGGAATTTGCAGAGGAATTACGATCCTTTCTCTGCAAGCCATGGCCAAAATTGTGACTCAGTTTTCTTCCAAGTTGTAATCTGATTTGTTTCTCTTCCTTACGTTGTGATGGTTGATTCTGCGGTTTGCGTGAGAGAGGTTCACGAAACAACAATATAATCGCCAAAGTCTTGTCCTCTTTCATTCCTATCACGGCAGTAAGTTTCTAAGGAAACTGTGGTGCTACACGGTTAGAGCGATTGACGAAAGGCTAACGCTCGAAACGTCGGCATAAGGTAAAATATGTACTGGAACATTGAACTATTGGACCACTTTTGGGACCATTTTTCGGACCACTTTAGGCCCGAAACGCCAGCTTTTAAACTCTTTACGTTGGCCAATTTACTTTATCAACTCAGTTGATAATACTAATTTAACCCATTCCTATCACGGCTTGTTGTCTCCTTGCAACCTGCAACAGCGATTGCAACTCAAGTTAGATTGCAACACAAGTTAGGCTTCTTCTTCATCTTAGTAAAGATTAGCTTTACACTGATTTATGTTCCTTGTTTCACCTTGCAGCTTATGTCAACGACTCTTTTCCCTCGACAGAGTAAATTTCCATAGTTGACTTTTCAAAACTAAGAATCTTTTTTTTTTTTTTTTTTTTTTTTTCGGGTGTGTTTGATAAGCTTGAATATTTTAAAGCGTTGGAAAGGAAATGATAAGAGCGAACGAAAATATTACCGCTGCGATCCAAGTCCAAAATGAAAGTTAAACATATTCGGCATAAATAAAGACAGTAATTACCAATGCAAATAGTGTGTACTGTTTAGAAGGGGCCTTACGGAAACCCAGCAACGAGAACGTGGTAAATCTATTAGGCGTAAAAACTGCTCAGTACAAGCGTTTGAAAACTTTCCATTGATTTTTCTTGGCCGTCCTCCTAAAAACAGCTGCCTGAAATCACCAAAATTTGTGTGGACTGAGAACAGAAACCCCGACGGCGGATTATCTGATTTTCCACTTACAACTCAACGCTGCTCACATACGTTATTCTGAGCTTGTGGTGTAGCGCCGTAAGAGACGGTAAACGCATTCAGCCATATGCGAAATTATAACTGAAAATATAAATTCATTTTATAATCGACGTCTTCCTCGGCGTTGCTACCTAAGTGTCCCTAATAACATTGACCAGATTCGTACCTAGACTTCCCAGTAGTTGCAGTCACCGTTACACGGTAGAATCTGGGTATAAGATTATACAAAGACGTACAATGATCAATCATGCAAAAAGGAGTTGCTGATAGATAATGGAATTCAAAAATGTTTTCGAATTCTGGTTGAAGGAGAGAGTTTTCTATAATTTGAATGATCTGTCTTTGCTTCCTGATGATAATGACTGCGAGCAATTTGAAATTCTCAGTGAAATGATAGACCATACGGTGAACTAAACAAACTTGTAACAATTTCAGTCCTTGAACTGCTTCAACCATTTTAAAATTTCTAAACAATGGAATGACACAAATTAAAATTGCTTATTCAACTGTGTCGTTGAACTATTTAGCTTCATGTTATTCTATTCCACCTGTTTGGTTTCCGCAATGGCCAATACCAAGTCACTTATTCAATCTTAGAGAGCTGGAAATATGGATGGAATGGCAACTAGGACAGAGTTCTATCAACCAGTTTCTCTTTGTGTATAGTTCGATCACGTCTATCGGAGACAAATTCAGCCGGAGGAACTGAACGCTCTGACCTCGAGGAGCAGCAAGAAAAAAGCGGGCAACAAGACGAAGAGGAAGATGGGATGCGATTCCCCCAAGCAGTGATGAAGAATCGGCCGACGACGAGACCGCATGTGATGTTGGCGAGATTCCATCGTTAGAACGAACTGAAGAAATATTCACTTCAACAGCAGAATTTTGTTTAGTTAATTTTTCTTTATTTTCCTTGTTATGGAACTATGGGATTGCCGTCACCTTTTGTTTTTTATGCTTTTGTTGACATTGATATTCGTTCTTTTAATACTGATCATGATCTGTCTTTACTAATACGCTTTCCCGTGATCGAAGTTAAACAGAAGGAAGTTGCGACTGTGACTAGCGTACGTTATTCGTGCAAAACTTCGAAAACTTCTAAAATGAACAGTACCATCATTTTGGTGCAAGAAACTTACGCCTGACGGTGAGCAAAGACTCCAATGGATCAGTTCAGGTTGAGAAAATCATCACCCACCGAAAAGGCCCCTTCAATGACTGCAAATATATGAAAATCATATATATGTGAACTGCGGTTGAAGAAATGATTATGAAAGCTATCTTAGCATGCGCAGTTATGAATGCTACTCAACTAGTAGCAAAAAAATAAGGCCATAAAAAAGTTTAGGCCCATACGGGATTTTAACCCATCACCTCTGCGATACCGGTGCAGCGCTCTACCAACTGAGCTAACAAGCCAAATGGGAGCTGGTCATTATGTTGATTTTAAATAAACCCTTCAAGTAGTGAATAAATGACTGCAAACCTATGAAAACTATATATATGTGAACTTCCGTCGAAGAAACGAATATGAAAGCGATCCTAGCAGTTATGAATGTTACTTAACTGATAGCGAAAGTATGGCTTAAAAAAATTTAGGCCCGTACGGGATTTTAACCCATCACCTCTGCGATACCGGTGCAGCACTCTACCAACTGAGCTAACTAGCCAACTGGGAGCCGTTCATAATGTTGATTTTAAATAAACCCTTCAAATGGTGAATAAATGACTGCAAATATATGAAAATCATTTAAATGTGAACTGCGGTTGAAGAAACGAATATAAAAGCGATCCTAGCAGTTATGAATACTAATTAACTAGTAGGCCCTTTTAAGTTGGGATATTGGACTAAGAAAAAATTTATGAACCGGATCGGGATTCACCGTTGTAAATCATCGGAATTAAGGGATTGAGAGAAAATTTTTGCCGAGATCGCGGGATTGAGGAACCCTATTGGAGACCCTCATGAATATCAAGTGATTTAAATCATCCTACAGAGCTGTAAAGCTGCCTTTAGCTGATTGGAGAGTGTGTCCACGAGAGCACCAGGCAGTCATGCAACATGCCATCTCACCGATTTCAATGTAACTTTGCTTACCCCAACGCTCAAACAGACAAAATGGTTTCTTTTTTGGTTATTTCCGGTGGGAGATAGATCTCCCGTTTTTTCTTGGTTCACCAAGGAAATCGCCTCAAAATACCTAATTCTATGAATATCTCACTGCGATGGTATTTGACCGATTACTCTAAGAGATTGCATACATATTGTTACATCCTAGATCTGTGAATGCACGACGCAAGTATCAGTCAATTTGATTGACAGTTTGTCAAGGCAAATACATGACTGTTTTTTTTTAACTTTTCGATTCATCCAAATAATTGATAACTTTTAGGTCAAATATCTACCCTCTTTAGAAAGCTTTTAATAATTTAAATAAAATAATTTAATTCCCTCATATAATTCATCATTTCATCTCTAAAAACCATCAAAAACATTTTGGGGCACTGCCATGATTTTGTCTTGGATGCCTTTTGAAATCTTCTATTGTGACATGCTTCTCTCAACTATACCTGCAATGCAATACTGGCTCGCTAAGCAGTCACTTAAGCAAATAAAACTATATTTTATAGTTCTTTATACAAAACAATTGATTAAGGAAGCTAACAAATGTACACAGCTTTCGAAATATTTTGCAGGAATGGAAAATTTAACGTTTAGGGAGAAGCATGTAGGCTAACTTTTGATGGGAAAACTGTAGCGTTTCTTTTTTCTGTCGTTTATTACTTTGGAGACTTGCTAAAATCAGCAAATATGGCATTTGTTCGGCACAGAATATTAATTAGTCCATCATTTGATTGTTTATTGTCATTTTCTCACAGTTCACAATTAAGAAACTGTAACCAGAGAGGAGATTTTAAAGTCACACGTCGCGTGCTTATTTCAACAACCGGGGTCAGGAGTTCTCTGGTGTGTTATAACTTCGTACAATGGAATTCCTGATCCTATTGAGGCGTTTTAATTGCTTGGGATAAATGTGGACTAATTTGCTATCTTTGCTTGTCTCATTCATCCCCTGTTTATAAATCTCACGTCCTTATTTTATTTGTTTTTTCTCATTCAGCTGAGAGAAATGTCATGATAGAGATACTTTAAAATCAAATACAGACCAAGAGATCTTAAAATCGATTTACATGGTAGTAGAAAATTGTATGTTGTGTTGGGCTAGGAGATAAAGTCAGGAGTAATGAAAGGTGTGGATGTCATCTACGAGAAAAGGAAAATCGTGGCTAATACCAATCATGGTTTTTATTAAATGATCCATTGTAAACATAATTCATCCAAATATCGCTTAAACCGAGTTCACTGCAATTGTTTGGCTTGCCAGCACCTAGATGACTCGTTCATCTCGATCACAGCATTTTCAGCAATTCACGCCGACAGTCTTGATAAATATGCGAATCCAACGTTTTTCATCTAAACTGTCATCCTTAATTTAGTTCCCGTACGTTTACTCCTGACAATTGAAAAAAAGGGAAAAGATAAGTGACTAACTTAAACAATAATATGAATATATATATATATATATATATATATACATACATGTTTAAACTAAAAAATGTCTAGTGATAACATAAACGCCATTAAAGCGTCTACATAGAAAGTACTCTCATTTTTTTAATCAGTCAATGCTTAAACGAAACTTTCATTTTCATTCAGAAAAACACTGTATAATTGGATAGAAAGTACTGAAAGTAGTCTGAGAAATCTCAGACTCTTTTAGGGCTAAACACAAAAATGTTTATACTGATAAAGCTCTGAAGGAAATTGCAGAAAAAGGAAATGAAACTGATTTACGAGAGCTGATTTCCAAACTGAAAAATTCAGTTGTTATGAGCTTATCATAGAGTAAAACGAAGATTATGTTTCAGATGCTACTGACTTTTAAAACAAAGAGAAAAACTGATTCTTTAGTTCAGCCGTAAACATCGAAAAGAATATTAAAGGAGGAAGCGTCAGATAAA